TTGTCGAATTCATCATGGTGGGCCAACTGAATGAACGCAGGTGCGATCATTCTCACCTATCATCTTCCACTGGTGCCCCGTCGGTGTATACTGATAGCGCGGGCGAGGTTACCATTCCATTTCCACCCATTAAAAAAAAATTGAAAAATTAACAAAACCGTCCGACAATTGCCGTTTATGTCGTATTGAGAATTGCTGCCGTATTATTTTGTAAAGGACCAATACTCGTATGTTTTTTTGTTTGTTTAATAACGAAAAAAAAAACAACATATCATGATGTTAGCTAAGTATAAAACGTTAGAATGTGACGAATCAACAGTGACTCAAAGCCGGCATAGATTAGACGGACCAATAAAGCAGACGTGTGTTTATCTACAATGACAGAGGAAGAGGTTGTTAACCGTGTACGGTCAGCATCAAAAGTCGATCAACATATGAATATTTACAAAATATCTTTAAACTACTCTACTCTACTACTCTGTAACATACATATTCTATTGTATACACGAGTAGCAGCATATCTTAAATAATACTAGTCTTTAGCTGCGACTTCGTGGCCGAATGGGCCAATTTCATGACGATTGTTTAAACCCATAAAGCGTCAAGAGGTGACAAACAAACTCATTTTCACATTATTAATATTAGTAAGAATTTACTAAATAATAAATCTAGTTTATTTCATAGTCCAATAATGGTACCCTGCCAGCGTATACCGTTAGCGAAGACGGGTGCCATTCTATTATCATACATAAAAAAAACTTATGTTTTTTTTCTTCAACTTAGAATGGCAAACAAGCTGACGGCCCACCTGATGGAAAGTGGTAACCGTTGCCTATAGACATGAGCATTACCATGGGCATAACAGAGTATACTGTTTCGCTCATGATACTCCACATGCGTTGCCATTCCTGAGAACTCAAGTGTTATTCCTCTGCACCCTGTAAATTTACTGCCATATCCCTCCCTTCAAATCGAAACATAACCATGTAAACACTACTGCTTCACGGTGCAAACACAAATGGGACAAAGGTGCCTAAGCAAACGACTTTTTTAGTCCCGCTCTGATATGTATGTACGCAACGGTATTTTGATTTCATTTTTATAAGTGTTCATCGCCTTTTGTTGCTAACTGTACTACTGTGGGGGGAAGAACTCGGAACTATGCCGCTTCCATTTCGAACTAGTTTGATGACTATGATCTTGGTTTCATAATCAGTATATAAATAACACTAGCTGTTCACCCAGGCTTTGGCTGCGAGAATCAGTATGAAGTATGTTATGTGTTAAGTTTTTTTTTTATTATGATAACGGAAAAGCCACCCTGCCTACACTATGACAAATTCATCAGGAATTAACCACAATGGTTTAAAGGGGAGAGGGCATAGAGGTCGACCTTCTTGGGTATATAATTCCCCCTCCCCTCAATACTAAGTGTTAAATTAGGATATTTTATTCTAACTTTATAATGAAATTTGGTAAACAACAAATTTCATTAAAAAATTCGTTTCAACATCTTTTCATATTGTCACACTTATGATAACGGGACATTATATTTTTAAGCATTCTCGGAAGAAGGTTTTTATTTCGCCCGAATTTTGCTCGTATTTTTCACAATATCTTCACTTTTTCTCAACTAAATTAAGTACTACGTTATGTGACGTATTTAATTAACAATGTGTGACAATCAGTGCGTCACACATAGTTAGATAAAAAGAGATAACAAATGTAACGAAATATAATTGTCGTTTTATCGTTATAGGCAAATAACATATTTAATTAATATCATGCCAACCTGCTTGTTAAAAACTATTTCGAATTTCATATTGTCTATGTATTTTATTTTGCCATGTGGTCTCGATAAAGAATGGGCTCCCCCTTCTTTTCCCGTGGGTATCGTAAGAGGCGACTAAGGGATCTTAATGGTCGAGGGATAGGCAGCAGCGTCCCTTTTAAAACCTCAGCAAAAGCCTAATTTCATATTCCATGTCGCCTACCAAGCGTGGCAACTACTGGCAACCCCCCCCCCCTCCTTCTTTATAGGGAAACTGTGTTCAGCAGTAGGCAGTAAACGTCTGATATGATGATGATAATATATATATATATATATATATATATATATATATATATATATATATATATATATATATATATATATATATATATATATATATATATATATATAATTTTAAATCAAGGAGGTCCTTAATTTGTCTGACTTTTTATGTTTTATGACTATGTTGCGCAATTACGTGGCCAATTCTGGATCGATAATCCCAATTATTTATACAAACGATAGAATTTACTCTCGTATTGGTCCCATATTAATTGTACGATAATCGAGCTTGTCATTTTTCTTTGCGGTACAAAAAACTGCTTGCTGCGAAGCAAATCACATAACTTTTCGATATTCTGAATTCAAATATTTTGTGTAATGTGTCTAAGAAGCATATCGTTCATCAATTTGCATGTGTATGTGTGTATGTGCGTGCGCCTGAGCGTGCGTGTGCTTGCGTGCATGCATATTCGTGTGCGTCTTCATATTTCTTTGGTGAAAATATTCAATGTCGCTAATAATTCTTCTTAAGGATACTAACAATTTTGACTCGACTCTGTATAGTCGTCAGAAAAGTATCAACCTAAATACCGATCAAATTATATCAACAAATGAATTCGTTTCATAACCACATTATTATTATTAATTACCTATATACATAGTTGTTGATCGGTCGATCGTGACAATAGCCGGGTAGGTAGGTATATAGGTTGGAAATGTCAATGTGGGCCAGAGATAAGGTAATAAATAGTCATAATAATCTAATAATAACACAATCAAGAAGTTTCGCAGTTGCATCTCGATCTCTCACCTTGGGGAAGTATAAGACTGTATCTAGAACACAGTGACTTAATTTAGCATGACTGAAGATTATTTTACAAAAATATTTACTACGAAACTACGAAATACTCGAATTTACGAAAAACTTTTTCGTGACATAACGTGGGATATGACAATGAATTTACAGGGTACAGAGGAATAACACCTGAGTCCTTAGGAATGGCAACGCATGGGGGGTATCATGGGCGAAACAGTATACTCCGTTATGTCCATGGTACTGTTCATATCTATAGGCCACGGTTACCATTTTCCATCAGGTGGACCATAAGCCTGTTTGCCAATAAAAAAAAAATAAAAACACGGATAAACGATTCTTTATAAAGAAAACTAGCTTTTACCCGCGACATCGTCCGCGTGACCGAGATATATTTACTGTCTGGCATAAAAGCACCCTATATCCTTATCCATCCCATATACTACGTGTATGGAAGAAATTGCTTAGCAATAAGACCGCCTTTTGTACTACACTACACGTATTGAAAATTGTTCAACAAATCCTGTTATGTTGGTGCAATAAAGTGTTAAATAAATAAATAAATATATTAATTTTCATAATGATTGGTAAAGACGTTAACACTCTATAATGTAACAAAAAAACTCAGTTCGGAAAAGGAGGGTGTGGCCCGTCCTATGTCGGGACCACACGGCCCGTATTTATAATGTGAGTAAAAATTGACATATCCATTTAAGAAAATATAACAAAATCCTTGTATCGAATCATTGCATATTTTTTTGGTCAATCTCAATCTAGACAAACCTATTTCAAGGGGTGAAAAGGGATTGTTAGTAATTGAGTCAAACAACCCTATTAGTATACCCTATGCTATATAGTATGTATATGCTAGTAATACACCCTATCAGGTCGACTTTCACGCGGTTCCCCCTAGAAACCATCGTGGTTAATTCCCGTGGAATTCATCACGATAGGCTAACTGACCTGCTTTCATCCTCACCTAACATCTCTCACTGGTACCTCACCAACATAGATGGAGTTAATCATTATGATAAGAAAAAAAAACTATTTCCAGAGATTGTTTACGGGATCTCTATTTCTATTTTGTAAGCAGACATACTGTTGAACGATCTATTGTATATTATTAAACATGTTGCTTTAACAATACAGTAAATTTACAAAATATGGATAACATACCATAGCACCTACGATACGAAAGAGAAATCAAAATTCGATTTTATTTTCATTTAATTAGTTGGCAATGTTGTATTTCAATTAGGAATGTTTGAGTTTCATATTTTGGCAATTAATTACATTTTAAATGCATAATATGTTACTATAAATATGAAAATTTATTTCTAGTAATTGAAGATTGTTCCACCATAAAAGAACCGTTGTCAATTGTGGCAAAACCAGTCATTTTGATCTAACTAAACTACTGAATCGATATTGATAAAATCTCTATGGGACCAATCTGTAAATATTGTATTTCCTTTCAGATAAAAAAGAATTTTCCAAATCGGTTTATAAATTATAATTATAAGTTTATAAAAACTGACTGAGTTATTATTTTTTTTTTTAATATAACTACTACTATTCTCTTACAAAATAATAATACAATAAAATTTACAGCTACATAGGTTACAATTTAAAACAATCTTTGTTAGAGACTTGTGTCAGTACTAGAATAACCTGTCTTACAGATCCCCAGGCTCCCAACTCAAGGACGTCTATTTTACTTGATTTGTTAAGGTAAGAGTATGAAGTAAGAATTTAGTTTAGGTAGAGTTATGAAGTAGCAATCATAAAAAATACAACCGAATCGGGAACCTCCATCTTTTGGAAGTCGACTGGAAATGTTTGTATGTTTGTTAGTCTATCAAGCTTAAACAGCTGAATGTATTTAAATTAAATTTGGTGCACAGGTAGGTTAAATCCTAACTTTAAAATGCCGCAAAAAACAGCTTGCACTTTAATATTATTCCAACGTGTATATATATATATATATATATATATATATATATATATATATATATATATATATATATATATATACATCTTTATGGTCTTATTAGGTGCACTATTGTAACAACGCATCCTGAACACGGCAGAGTAGCATCTAACTTAAAAACTAGTAAAAAAGTGAAAACTTACCTTGAGACACTTTAGACAGAATGTGTGCTGGCACGGCAGGACCCTGGAGGAGGTGTCCAACCGCTCCAGACACACGGAGCACTCTAGTAGATCGTTGAGTAACCCCTCATCCATACCGCTTGGCACCTGCAATGTTACAGTATGCACTGTAATTAAATCGAAATCTGTACATTAAACTAATATTCATCATCATCATCATTTCAGCCATTATCCGTCCACTGCTGGACATAAGCCTCCTCCATAGACTGCCATAAAGAACGGTCCTGAGCCACCTGCATCCACTGACTCCGTGCAATGCATTTGAGGTCGTCACTCCATCTATTGAGGGGTCGTCCTACACTGCGTTTAATTTTTTAAACAAATAATTAAAATAATTAATTAAACTAATATTATAATGAATATACTCAAAAACTATTTTTCAAAAGCGATATTTAAATTTCATTCACCTATAGAAAACTATTTAGCGGTGTAGGTCCAGACATAGAATGGGCCACCCCTTCTTTTCCCACGGGTGTCGTACGAGGCGATTAAGGCTTTTAGGAGAAAGATGGGCAATAGCATCCCTATTTAAACATCGCCAAAAACCAAACTCGCCTGCCAAGCGTGGTAACTACTGGCAAACCCCTCTCATGGTGGGGGGAAAGGGATTGTTAGCAATGGAGTTTGACAACCCCAATGCTTGCAATATATTAAGTCGACCTCCACGTGGTTCCCCTTGGAAACCATCGTGAACAATTCTTGTTGAATTCGTCACGATGGGGTAACTGACCTGCTTAATCCTCACTTATCATCCTTCACTGGTGCCCTTCCGGTATATATCGATAGCGCGGGTTACCATTCCATTATCATCCATTAAAAAAAACCCCTCATGGGGGAGGTTATGTTCAGCGGTGGACAGTTAACGGCTGATACAACATAGAAAGCGGGGGGAAAGGGATTGTTAGTAATGGGGTCTAACTGACCCATTGCTAGCAATACACCCCATCAGGTCAAGCTCCACGCGGTTCCCCCTGGAAACCATCGTGGTTAACTTTAGTGGAATTCGTCACGATGGACCCGAAAATAGTCGAGCATTGTTCCTAAAATTACAGAATGCCTTTACGAGAACGCTTGGACATTTACCTAAATTGACTACAAACAAAAGTTTCGTCGAAAAGTCGCGATACAAAAGTAGGTAAAAGTTCAATTATTAATTAACATAGTCAGTTCTATTTTAGATCAGACAGGTCAACATTCATGTGGCGTTCCTATCGATTTTGGTATGGAACGTCGCGTGATCGAATTGGGCCAAACATTTGAACTGAACGCCTCGTGAACCGAGATTGAAACACGCATAAAGTTCGACGGTTAGAGTTGTATAACGTTGCTAATATGCTGAAAACACGGAATCAAGGAAAGATAAGAAAATACGAAGGCTTTTCTCGGAGTTTGGTGCACTGAAATAACTAGGTTTACAGTCTCCCGTCCTTGCTATTTGATAGGAGCGACGGAAAACCAACGGAAAGAGGAAGAAAAAGGGTGACTTATTTTAGGGGTGATAAAAGAATGGTAACGCCGCCTGCACTATCGGTATACGCTGGCAGGGCACCAGTGAGGGATAATAGGTGACAATAAAAGCAGGTCAATTAACCCATTTTGACGAATTCCACTAGAATTAACTACGATGGTCTCCAGGGAAACCGTGTGGAGGCCGACCGGATAGGGTGTATTGCTAGCAATGGTCATTTAGACCCCGTTACTAACAATCACTTTAACTCTGAAAAAAAAGGGGGCGACTAGGATAATATGTAGAATGTAGGTGAATGAAATTATGCACTCCGTTGAAGATTCATGCCCTATTTCCTAATTTACATGTCTAGGAACGGTAAGAGTGTCATAGAAGAATTTGAAAGGGAATCTAGGATCCCCAGCACTATGAAGCGAGGAACACCATATAGTTTTTAGCCGGTAGGAGTCCGACAGTACCCACACGCGTCCCCCGGGGTGTGTATGACGCATTTTCCACAAAAAAAAAATAGGTACGGTAGAGCAATGGTAGTTAAAAAACGATTGTTATTTAGGTTACTATTTAGATATTATGTTATTTATATGTTAATTATGTCACATATTTTTCACCACATCTGCCCTTCATACGCTTTCTGTTTCACCTAATAGTTAGTTGGTAAAGAATGTCATATGGCATTAAGCTAGCCACTTGTACAAAGTTTTATTGTGAAATAAAGAATAAATAAATAAATATTATTACATAGTTAAGTATGATAAGCCTAACTGCGGTTGTCAGGGGGGAAAAGGATTATTAGTAATGAGACTAGAGGCCCCATTGCTAACAATAGACCTTATCAGGTCGATCTCCACGAGGTTCCCCTTGGAAACCATCGTGATTGTTTTTTTTTTATGAACTCATCATTATGGGCGATCTGATCTGCTTTCATCCTCACCTATCATCCGTCACTGGTGCCCCGCCAGTGTATACCGTTAGCGCAGGCGGGGTTACTATTCATTATCATCCATTAAAAAACTGCGGTTGTCAATCCGCCTACCAAGTATGGCAACTACTGGCAAATGCCCCCTTACGAAGAAGGTCAATGTTAGAGAGGTCAATTCTGTACATGAAATATGTTTCCAAAATAACTATCAGGCGATGATCCAGTGAAACTAGTGATCGATACTGATGCCAAAAATGCAATCAGTAAAATTTATGTCTGTCTATCTGTATGTTCGTTATAGATACAAAAACTACTAGACGGATTTAACGACGAAACTTGGTGCAATTATTCTTCATACTCCTGGGCAGGTTATAGTATACTTTTCATCACGCTACGATCAATAGGAGTAGAGTAGTGAAGGGAAATGTTAGGAAAACGGGAGAAGTTACTCCATTTTTAAGCTTCCGTCGCGTGTACAGCCTTAATGACTTTTTGAAACGTAAAACACTTTTTGAAATGTAAAAATGTCCACCCGTGGAAAACTGGGACGGGCCGCTAGTTATTTATAAATAACTAACTTTCACCTTCGTCCACGCGACTAAGAAATGTTAACTGATCGGGATAAAAAAAAATTATATACCAAATATTATATACTACATTTCATAGTGACTGGTTAATGCTTAAGTCGTTAAGTCGTTATAAGGTAACAAACAAACTCACTTTCACTATAATATTAATAAAAACGGTGCATATAGGCGACGATATATATTTTTATTAGAAACTAGCTGTTGTCTGCGACTTCGTCTGCATTTCCGTCGTTTTTCGTAAAATAAGTAGCCTATGTCCTTCCTCACGGTTCAGTGGTTTTGATGTAACAGACACATTTCTCTTCACTGCTCTGCTCCTATTGATCGTAGCGTGATGAAAAGTATACTATAACCTGCCCAGGAGTATGAAGAATAATTGTACCAAGTTTCGTTAAAATCCGTCGAGTGGTTTTTGTTTCTATAACGAACATTTGGCATCAGTATCGATCACTAATCACCCCCTGATAGCTATTTTGGAAATATATTTCATGTACAGAATTAACCTCTCTACAGATTTATTATAAGTATAGATAGAAAAAGATAAAAGTATCACTGACAAAACACTAAATTGTCACGCACAGTAAGATTTCAGAGCAGTTTTCTCTCGCGAGCGTACTGTTCGCAGAATGAATTTCCTGTCGAGTCTTTCCCTAGAGACTTCAGCTTGGGGTTCATCAAAAAGGGCGTAACAAAGTATCTTAGGATTGAGTCGACAACGCGGACGTGACACCCCTGGTAAAAAATCATTGGTTGCTATAAACAAGTAGCTACATATATTATACTCCGCAAAATAAATCAACTATTATAGTTAACGTATTGATAAACGACGAACTATTTAGTAGAAGCCCTACAATTACTTTGTCCGTAGATTCGTAAACTACAATGAATATTACGAATGTCGATTACTCGAATTAAATAAAACCGTATAATCGAAAATCCGGATAATCGATTTCAAAGTCAAACCAAACAATAATAAAATTTTAACATATTTTTTTTTTATTATGAAAAGGGTTTTACGTAAATCATTTAGACAATACGTTATAAAAAAAAAATTATGAATTATAAAGATCAAACAAGTCAAATAATTTCTGAATCCGTAATTAAAGCCGTGAAGAATATGTCCGGATAATCGAATATTCGAATAAATGAGATTCTACTATAACTATTTACCACATTTTTGCAATTTTTTGTTCATGCAACTTAGAATGGCAAACAAGCTGACGGCCCACCTGATGGAAAGTGGTAACCTTACACTTACACTAAATAACACTTTTTTTTTTTTATGCAACTTAGAATGACAAACAAGCTGACGGCCCACCTGATGGAAAGTGGTAACCGTCGCCTATAGACATGAGCAGTACCATGGACATAGCAGACTATACTGTTTCACCCATGATACCCCCCATGCGTTGCCATTCCTGAAGACTCAGGTGTTATTCCTCTGTACCCTGTAAATTCACGCCATATCCCACCCTTCAAACCGAAACACAGTCATGCAAACACAACTGCTTCACGGTTGAAACACGAATGGGACAGAGGTACCCAAGCAATCGACTTTTGTACAAAGTCTCCCTCTGGTAAAGTATTAGGTAACTGTGTGTTTAGGTATAAATTCTTTACAACGAATTTTCTTTTGCTGCGCGAAAAAAACGCAAACTTAATTTGTCATATAATTAAAATGAGACCAATACAGATGTAAACTTTATTGATTGAACAATATTGTTGAAAATCGGTTACGGAAGCGCGACACTATCCCGTAACATACACATTGCTGGATTCAAGATCTGCTTATCCCAACTTACATGTGTGATGATGGACGATAATGGAATGGTAACTTCGCCTGTGTTAACGGTATACACTGGCAGGGCACCAGTGAGGGATGATAAGTGAGATTGAAAAGGGAGGTCAGTTAGCCCATCGTGATGGATACACCTGGAATAAAACACAATGGTTTCCAGGAGGACCACATGGAAGTCGACCTGGTAGGGTGTATTGCTGGATATATATAGGTTTGCAATACTTACAATCCCTCTCCCCGATATGTGTGATAATGTGAAGTAAACAAAATTCATAACAAAATATTAATTATTGAAGTTCTTTTTTAGTTCTCTGAATAGAACCTTAGTCAATCAGATCAGATTTATCAGGAAGTTTAATGCTTATACCTCATATTGTATTGTTTGAATGGCATTTTCATAACAAAGGATTACTGGAAAATATCACTGTGGTAATGTGTGGTTAACAAGAAATTCATTAAAATGAATACAACTCTTAAATTGAATGTTTTTCAATTGACTTCAATTAAGGTGATTTTATACTTTTTTTTAGCATGTAACTTATATGTCAATAATAATGAGCCAATTTTAATGATTATTTTCAACCAACACCAAAAAGGAGGAGTTTATATATTTTCATACCTATATGATTACTTTACCAAATATATTTTGTCAGTACTGGTTCAATAAACGGTTACCAACCCGCCTGCCAAGTGTGGCAACTACTGGCAATATCCCCCTCCCCCCATAGGGGAAGCCTATGTTCAACAGTGGACAGTCAACATCTGATATAATATTTCATTCAAATAGTTGTCCATAGATAACAAAGGTAAAACATTAATGTAAATAACATTAATATGCCATTATTGGACACAATTCTCTCTCTATAAGAGGAAAATATAAGTCTCTTACTATAGCTGAAGATAAAAATTGACACATGTATCTTTTTATATATTTATGTATTATAATCATTTTAACCCTACTGCATTGAAAAATCAATTTAAAGCATTGGCATATTTAGGATAATTTTTCATTATGGCCCCTTTATGTCTTAATGTCCCAGAATATCAACCAGAAGATTTAGCTGTGCAAAGACTTATTTAAGATAGATGTAGGAGGCCCACATCTATCTTAAACAAGTCTTTGCACAGCTAAATGTTCCGGTTGATGTTCTGGGGAGGACATTAAAAAATTCTGAGGTGGGCACAGCCTACATAGCTTCATTAAATATGAACGAATTATTGAATATCTCGATGACTAAAAAAAATTTTACATATCTCAAAATTTATATTATATACAGGGAAGGGTTAGTTTAACTACAGTCTGACTATCTTGGCATTTTAGTGATCATAATAAAAAACATAAAATTGGTACAATGCACACATATTGTGCCAAATACACGACATATTCTCTCAGTAATATTCAATTTATTACTGTATTTGTTTTATATACCACTGAGGTGTATTTGATGTTTTTGTGCATTATACATAAAAATTATTAATTCACTCTTACGCCACTTACACACTTCTATATGTTCTCCTTTAACCAAAGGTTGTCTGTAAGAGATCGCCCTAGTGATAAGACTGCCATTTGTATCTTTATATGTTTATTTCAATCTATATTTCATGCTACTGTATTTCAGTTGAATTGTTTTATTGTTTATTTTTATGTTTTTGGTCCAATAAAGAGTTAAATAAATAAAAATAATAAAAATATACCACTGAGCTGCCAAACAAACATACAGTGCCCCTGATGGTAAGCAGTTACCACAGCCTATGAATATTTGCAATACAAGAAGCATTGTGTATTATGTGTGTTGCTGACCTTGAAGAAACTTTTTATCCCTTTTTTTTTAATCCTATAACAAATATTATAATAACAAACAAAATATCCTATCACTGGTATCAAATAATGAGGACTGGATACCCAGTTCAAATAAGTGTACCAAACAATGAATAATTTCAAACAAAATAAAAAATTATGAAAACTTAATGTAAAAATACATATATATGTAAACATGTAATTTTTATTCTATTTACTTTGTATTTATACTCTTTTTTTACTTGTATATTTCATACACTAGAGTACCCACTAATAAGTTTCTCTCTCACTGAACTAGCATTGCACTGCACTGATATTCATTCAGTGATATTCATTCAGAGTCAGTCATTTTCCTGGTAGAACCAGGGCTGGCCTTAACCTACCTAATGGCAATTTGGTATATACTATTTGCTGCAATTCCATTTAAATTTGATGTAATTAAAGAATTCTGCTTACTATAGATATAACTTTACCATCTATAAAGATATATGGTAAAGGTATACCTATAGTAAGCAGAACTATTTCCTGTTCTTATTAATACACAGCATATATTTATCCTGAAAATATGAGTAAAGCCACAGGCTACAAATAGAAACATAAATATTAAATTTTGTAAACAAAATTTAGTCATTAGATGTTTGTGACTCAATCACTTTAACAAATGAATGGATTCAAATGAGATTAGATACACAGATGGACCAAGCTCTAAATTAACATACTCTTTATTCTAATTCAAGCATACAATGGCATAATTTTTAGCAGATTAAAAATGAAGTAGTTTTACAATCTAACAATCTATGGATCACATATAAGAATTTATTAATTTATAAGCTTTCTCATCCTTACTATTAACTGCATCATATCCATCAGTGAATAATATACAAGCAGTAAGATGTACAAGATAAGTATAGTGTCATAGGTTTCAAAATTCTATTGAATCTAAAATTAACCGATTGTATTGAAGTTGTAAAATTTCTACTGTATGACAAAAATAGAAGCACTTCTACTTTCTCATATGACAAGTAAAATAAGTGGTTGTTTACATTTTAAATAAATAATTCCTAAATACTTGTGTATCTTTTATGTGTCTATGGAGAACGAAACTATTTGTTCAGAACACGATACAGAAGTATTTACGGAATTCACTGTATTTTTAGACAAGACCGTCCAAGCAGGAATCTTGGCAGTTATTACTACGTTAAAACTCAAAATGCTGATGACTCACCCAATGTTTTAAATTCAAACGATGTTAGCGGGAAGCCTGTCCATTATTGCACGATACAACGAAACAATATCCTCTCCTCTGGATACCATACCACCCCGTTGGGTCACTTCCAAATTTTTCGAAACACTAAAACTTCCAAATAACACATAATTCAAATCACTATTTTGTACTACACACAAATATAGATAAAAGTAACCGGTACAGTTTTTTTTAATAGAATTTATACACTTGTTCTCACAAAAAATGAGACAATTTCACGCACAAATGCCATTCTCGTTGAACTGTCGGTGAAGCGGAGGGCGGGGGCGGGAGACCGGAGAAGCGACTATCACCTACTGGGGTGAACATACTTAACCAAAAGCTACTAAATAAAAGAAATATTAATTTATTCAAGATTAATTCTGCTATCGGTATAATTTTCATGAAAAATATGAATCATTTTTAATACCAGTAACGATATTCAACTAGAAATTAATTGAAATCTATTCAGCCATTTGAATGTAATAGAGTAATAAACATCTAAATAGTTTACAATGTTTTCCATTTATAATATTAGTAAAATAAAAATTGCAAAATGTTCTATAACATTTTTTTTAATAGATATATTTTTAATATATATTTACATCTCTTTCCATATTATTCTAAAATTTAAGCATTTATATTAACAAATTTACTTTTTATATAATTTATATATAATATTTTTTTTAGTTTATTGATAACTAGATTTTATGCTTTTATAAAATAACTGAAAATACAACTTTAATTGAACTTTTTTGCTGTTTCTAGAATTAAATTAATGGCAAGATTAGGTTTAATTTTTATGACCTGCGAAACAAAGTAGAATTTAAAATAAAATACAATTTTATTTATAAATCTAAATAAAGAAGATTATAAATATAATAAACTATTATACTATTTTTTTTTTGTTATTATTTAAAAATATTTATTTGATAGATATATTTATAATTCTATACTCCTTTGAGATTGTAATATACCCTTACTTACCTATTGTTCATATTTTTTCGGAATTCTAATTCCATATCTATGGAAATCAGATGGGTACACAGGTAACTATATTCTAAGAACATGTATTTATGTCTGCATTTTAATTTTTATGAAGTACTGTGTACTGTCATTCAGTATCAATCAATCAATCAAAAACATGTTTTCCAGAAAGAGACTAGTTTAGTGCATGGTATTTTTTCGTTTTCTTCCGAATGTAAGATAAACTTTTAAAAGCATTTTAATTAAACAGTTATGTGAAAACATATTAAGTAATAAATTATCCAAAATGTCGCGTGATAAAAGCGTGTGGTTTGCAGAAGAAATCTTATTAGATGCCAAATTAATCAATTTTCAATTGGAAACTGGAGAATGGGATGCTGTGGAGGAAATGTTAAGGGCAGAGGCTCAACTGTCAAGAGATACCGAGACCGGTCGATTAAGGCCGTAAGTGTTTGTAAATATTTTAAGTGGTGATTCCATACTGGCAAGCAGGGTAGGTCGATCACCCACCTCTCATTAGCTGCAGCGACGTCTTTTACGGTTATCTAGAGTAACCAGATTAAAGTCGTAGCAATAGATGCAAATGGTACTAGATCATTCTTTATGAATATGATGAAACTTATCCATAACTCCATTGTTGCAATGATAAATATAAATGATGACTTTCAACGAACAGTGGTGTATACAATGCATTGCATAAATGAGATTTTATTTGAGTCAAATTAGGAACAATACTTATGTGAACTGGCCAGTATTTGGATGTTCTGGGTTTTGTCTGTAGATTTTCATTTCCTACTTCTTAATAACACAGAATATCCTATCTTGAGGGATACACAATTGCTATGATAGTGAAGCACTTATTATAAAAAAAAAATATTTTTTTATTGTAAACAATCTTTTTGTTACAGCAAAAAAGCATCAGAATATACATTGCGACTGATCGCTGAAGTTCTACATATAATGCGGTTGGATGTAGAACAAGCTTCCTACAACCGCAGCACCCTTGCTGTAGCTGAGCAATGCCTGCGTTTGATACGCTCTTGTGCTGCTGCTGGCACTAAAATGCAGACTTATGTATCTAAAGAATTGTCTATATTAGATTCCATGTTGGTTCTAGCAACTGAATATCAACATCCAAGTGTTGAAATCCTCAATGAAGAATTACAAAAAAAATATGAGTCTTGCATGACAGTTCTAATACAGACATTAGGGAATTTAGTAGTCAATAATCCATTCAATCAAATTATGATTTGGAACAAGTTTGATGCTATAATTTTAAATTGTTTAGTAGGTCAGAATGATAAAATTGCTTCAGCTGCTGCGATGATAGTTTACAATATACTATTAGGGCAGCCCAATGTGTTGCCTGATGATGTTACATTATTAAATTCTCTAGCATATATGTACAATAATGGTAACACAGAATATCCACATTTAATAATAGAATATTTAATTGGTGTTGAAAATACATATATAGAAAAATTGTATTCAAAATTAGAACCAGAATGTCGCATGCTTGTCCTGAACCTCGCTTATAATATATTAATGTCAATGGAAACACAAGACATCAATGTGTCTGTGAATTTTGTTAGATTTATGGCACATGAATTTAAAAGCAAATCTGATTGTATTCTGAAAACTGTAGACAAGTATGTGAACACTATAGAACCACAGGAAGTAGTTTTCTTGCTAGAGATAATTGCCACTGCATCAAGCATGGACACCTACATGGATTGTTTGCAAAGTGATACATCATTATTTATCAATTGTGCTTGTAAGTATTAAATTCTATTTAAATGAAACAACATCCTATAATATTATTTATAACATTTATTAATACATGAATTAATACATTAACACATTAATCAACAGACAAAATGTGAGGACAGAACCTTCTTATTATAAAACAAGATGATTAATGTTATTGGTTTGGTTATTAACTACTTAATCTAACACTTAAAATATTTATATGATTAATAAGTCAAATTTAAAAATATGTATAAATAATGAACATGTCTATATGAACATGGCTATATAAATATATACATATATATTTGTATTTCCTTAGTATTTAAACATTATTTGTTAAATATAATAAATTAATAAATGTAATAAACACATCTTACAGGCTATAATATTTTTATACAATTGTATTTTATTAATATTTAAACATTTATTGTTATTTGATGAATCATTGTATTTTTTTCCTAATACATATAATTTTATTTGTCCTGTAGTTCTTCTGCGTGCTATACACAAATTGGGCAAAGAGAGCAACAATTTTTTTTCATCTCTCAACAAATTGTATGCTGCCACTGGTAAACAATTAATCAATGATGAAAATTTGAATACCCCTACTAGTAATCCTCAAGAAAGTAAGTTATATTTTATATTATTTTACATAATTATTCTTGTATGATGCCTATGTGTGTGCAGTGGGCAGATAATGGCTGAAATGATGATAATAATGTTCCTGATGATAAGGAAACTTATATGTACGAGATATCTGCAATGTTGTCTGAGGAAATAAAAAAAATTGAAACTATGTAGGAAATATTATTCAAATTAAATTAAGATGATTATCACCATCAGTATCATATCAGCCTTGTCCAATGCTGAACATAAATTCCTACTCATCCTATTTTATTATGCTCCCCCTTGTGGGGGGGTGTTATGCCAGTAGTTGCCACGCTTGGCAACCACAGTCAAGCTTTAGAAATGTTTTAAGAGGGATTGCTAAGTTCTAATAGGGAGCTGCTGTCTATTCTTCGCCCTTCCTTAGTCGACTCTTATGACACCCATGAGAAAGGAAAGGGTGTCCTATTCTATATAGGACCACAGAATTGATTACTGATATTATTTAACTTAGTCACTTTACTTGTTATAGATGTTAGCTCTGTAATTATATATTTATGGTTTAATAAATACATAAGTGAATGCTCACAAGTTCTGCAAATAATAAATTAAACTTATTAACAGTGTTTATGGTCAGAAAAATTGTAGACTTTTATTATTTCAGATCCTCTTAGTAAAAACGATTCAGCAGATAACATGCTCTCCTGCAATGAAACAACATCGGAATGTACGGAATCGGAGAGTAGTGAACAGTTCTTTGAATGTAATGATAATCCTCCATATATAGATAAACTAGATACTATAAATTCAATAGAAAATATGCAGCAACCTATCAAATTCATGGAATCATTACCTGAACTGAAGAATGGTAAAAATGGGTGTTCTGACCGGAATGCCAATGTTCAAATTGATAGTGATTTATCAAGAGTCGCTTACAAGAGAAGCAGTTCCCTTCCAAAAGCAGATGATCGCATTCAGCAACTGCCAATAAGAAGGATCAGTCTTGAACACAAAATAGATATTGGCGATGATACAGAGCCCCCATTGATTTTGGATTCATCTTCACCAAACGGGAGTATGAATACCATAGCTGAAGTCATACCTGTTGCGTTACAGCCAAGGTTGGATCTGCAAGCCACAAATGGGACTGAATCACAAGACAGTTCCCCAAATGATCCTCCAACAGAGATTCATTTTCCAAAGGAAGAACTGAAGTCCGAAGTTAAAGCTTCACCCAGCGAGATCTCACCACCACTAGCAGATGTATTACAAGAGGTAGAATCACAAAAACAATCCCCAGACACACCGAAAGAGATCAAGAAAAGCCAAAATTTATCAACAGATTTCGATTTAAGTGAACAATTGCAGAAGATATTGGGTATATCATCAGAGAAAACTCGAACTGATACTGTGAATGTTGAAAAGAAAACAGAACCGGTTAAAGAAGTTAAGATATCGGAAGAAAACCCTGTGAACAAGATCCCGTCAGTGAAGATTGATTCACCTGACAGTCAGAAACCTAGGTAACTCTCATAATTATTATTTTTAAAGTGACACTGCTGTTAATCCACGATAAGCTCTCTTACATACTTAGATAGACAGTATATACATATAATTAATTACAAAATTAATTCAAAGCTTAATTAAAAAATTGTTAAATATGTAATAATAGAATTGATTCTGATGTGCTACTTCACTAAACCTATCATAAAATGAAGTATGATATCACAGCAATATCTTTGTATTTTTAATTCACAATGATCCAAAAAATGAAATTGGTTTAAAATAATACTACCTAAGAATCAGCCCTAATATTAAAATAATCCTTAAAACTTTATATTTGCTCTCCTTACAGATTAGGCGCAGTGGACATGACCACTACGAAGAAATCTGTAACAATTGTAGAAACTGTTGAAAGGCATGTGGCCTTTGGATTCAAAGCGACTTTAGTGCGCACACTCGCCAATCTCTGCTGGAAAAATCAAGAAAATAAAAGACAGGTTATTTTTTATGCTATTAAGTAATTATTGCTGTAATAGTTAGTTACTTATTATTGTCCCAGGTTATATTAATAGGTTTATTTTTTATGCAATACGTGTTGGCCATCACTGCCCTCGAACGCTTTTTATTTTTACCTAATGACTAGATAGTGGGGGGAAGGGATTGTTAGTAATGGGGATTGTCAACCCTATTACTAGCAATATACCCTATCGGATCGACATCCTCGCGGTTTCCCCCGAAAACCTTAGTGACTGGTTCGTTGTTAAATTTGTCACTATGGGCTAACTGACCTACTTCATCTTCACCTATCGTCCCTCACTGGTGCACCACTAGTGTATACCAATAGCGCAGGCGGGGTTATCATTCCATTATCACCCATTAAAAAATGACTAGATAGTAGAGATACACTGCAATAAATATGATGTTATGCTCAAATTTAACATTGTAGTCATCTATGTGTAGGGCTACCATCCGTCCGGAATTCCCCGGATTTGTCCTAGTTTGAAGGGCGCCCGGGGCTGTCCGGCAGGGGTTTTTGAAAAGTGTCTAGGGGTGTAACCCAGACACTTTTCTTATCAAGGGGAATCCTATTTCTTTATAGGTAGGCGATCAATTGAAATAAATCTTAGTTACAAATTCATCCACAATAACTTTGTTTTTATATAATAATGTTTTTATTTTTATTAAAAAAAATATTTTTTTAGAAGTGTCCGGGGGGGGGGGGGGGGCATATTTTGCCCAAATGTCCGGGATTTTTGCCGTGTTTATTCGGTGTCGGCAATTTAGGTGATGGCAGCCCTATCTATGTGTTAATCGAGAACTTAATGTTTGCTAAATCACATTTCTGAATAAAATAGTACAGGTTTACATACCTAATGTGTGGCCTACTATTCGTAGAATTATTCACCGGTGTAAAAGTATTTTTTGGCAAATAAAAATTATTTCCTTTCATTTCCTATGTATTAATAATTTAAATAAATTAACGATAATTAATTTAATTCCATTGTTTCAGATACGAGAATTGGAAGTAATTCCAGTTTTACTGGAGTGTGCTAATATTGATGCTCGTAATCCACGTATCCTTTTTATTGCGCCACTAGCTTTCTGGCCGCTACTTCAAACGCGTAGATTTTAGAAGTAGGCAAATCAATAAAATAGACTACATAATTTATTTGCATTACAGCACACAAATAACATCAGATATCATTACAGTTAAAAGCTGATATGTTGATGATGAATGAATGAATGAATGAATGAATGAGTATACTTTATTTGCATTATACAATATAGGAAATAAACAAGACAATTTACAAACATAACGATACAATTGTATAAGTACAGTAAGGCGGTCTTATTGCTGACAGCAATCTTTTCAAGACAACCTTAAGGTAATGGACTAATTGTTGTACAAGTAGGTATAATAGTGCTTTATAATTAAAAAAGCATCTTATATGATATATCATAAACATCTACTATGTAGAGACATTGCCTAATTATGATTTTATTCATTTCAATTCAATTATTTATTTGTTAGTAAAATATAACCGTTCTAGTACCAAATACTATTTATTAAACCTACTGAGCCTACTTATTTTCCATCATTTAAATTTGAAATAATTTCCTGAACTATGTAACAGTAATAATGCAATGGGTTATTTTTGCTGTACGAAACTTATGTGAAAATTGTCCTGAAAACCAGGTATGTTTGTGTGAACTCTTAAGCTAAGTACATTAGAATTTACAGGGTATGGAGGAATAACACTTGAGTCCTCAGAAATGGCAACGCATGGGGGTATTATGGGCAAAACAGTACACTCTATTACGTCCATAATACTATTTAGGTCTATAAGCGATGGTTACCACTTTCCATCAGGTGGGCCGTCAGCTTGTTTGCCATTCTAAGTTGCATAAAAAAAAGTACCCACAGGTTGAATTTTAGATAAATTGAAGACTCACAGTTTGTAATACTGTTTCATTGGGTCCATCATGTGTTGGTTATAGTTGCATGGCTTGTCACTAAACCTATCTGATAATCTGGCCGTAACATCTCTGTTTTAACAAAAATATCAACGACTAGCGATCCGCCCCGACTTCGCACAGATAGATAAATAAATTCCTATTTTATTAATTAGCTTTAATAGGCATTTTTTTTTTTATATTTTGGGTTACATTATTATAATTATTGTAGAGAAATCTAATTTTTAGAAAAATAATATATAGCTAAAAATAATATGTAGCTTTCTATAGGTGAAAGAAATTTTAAAACCAATTGAGAAGTTTTTCAGTTTGTCCATTACATACAAATGTACAAAAAAATCAAATCTCTCTTTCATAATATTACTATTAACTAATATCCCGTCCACATGGTTGCGACTTTGATCGCTAACGACTTTAAATTCACCTGTAAATATGTACATTAGCCGTGATTTTGATGATTAAAGTAGCTGTCACATTTACCTGGCAATTTAATGATTTGTGACAAACAATGCTCAATACCTAATTAAATTGTTTTAATGTTTATGCAGGAAGTGATTTCGAAACTGACTCTTCAAGGCCCTGTGGATAATGAAGTTTTGCAGGAGATGGGTCTAACGCTACATACAGACTCTCAGAACAATACTATCAGGATTGTGCCACTAACGCGAGTGTAAATATATACATAAAATCAGTGTATTCAGACGGCCAACATTTGATGAATGCTTTTTGCATAATCATATTAATCATTTACTCATGCTTTTAGGTCTGAGAAATGCTATGCTATAAATATATTGTATGAAATATATATAGGTAGTTTTTTTTTCATCCACGTTAGTGTAAAAGTAAATATAAGTTACATGCAATACTGATTTTTATTTATCAATTATCTCTCCACTATAAGGAAGCTTATGGTGGAGGGATAAGCTTCCTTATAGTGCAAGCAACATGTGAAGCGACTTGGACGTGTCTCTTAAAACATCACTAAATGCCTAATTGCGGTTGCCAACCCACCTGCCAATCGTGGCAACTACTGGCAAAACCCTCTTTATTAGGGGGCTATGTTCAACGGACAATTACCGGCTAATACAATTCCCTGGTATTTACTATCCTTTACATAGAAAAATCAATTAATAATTAAAGCTATGTTTGTCTTCCATACACTAAAAGATTTATGACAATGGATTAAAGTGTATTTTACCATATAGTACGTTATATGTGTTATAGTGGTAAAATAGAATTTTACCACTTATAAGACAAAGAATTTGTAATTATTAATCTTAGGCATTTGCGGAGCTCAGTCTAACTGTGATTGACTGACATTAAACTGACAGTATCAGAAGTCAATTCCATATTGTTATTATTGTTTTCGGCAAATTTTATTATTGGTGTTTTTAGTGATTTATGTTTTTCCAACATTCCTAAGAAAAACTATAACATTTACCATTTGAAAATACGCAAAAATATATAAAGAATGGTTAAAATAGCTCTTCAGATTAAGGCTACACTAGAATGCATAGAAAAGCTCTACACAAATCACCCACATTATCAATGGTTCTTGAAACTAAAATGTAGCAGTTGCGGTGAAGTATCGGATAAGTTTATTGAACTCACTGAAGCGGACAAGGTACCGCAAAAGCACAACAGGTCTGAAACTAATTTGTTAATTAAATGCAAGCTCTGCTCGAGGGAGAACAGTATGGATGTTATTGAAGGCAGTAATGGTGGGTAAACATAACCTCAAATATGAAAATATACAAATAATTAAACTATCTTATGTAGCGTTTATTCGGTCAGTGGATAACCTTTGGGGCAGTATTTGCCCATAACATCTTTTGTAATCACATGATACAAAACAATAAATGTGTAAAATGAGTTAGTTTGTTAGCTCTTGGTGTCTTCATATCTTATCTAGTAATTATGAACTTTGCTAGTATTTGTTATAGAGAACTTACACAACTTTTTATTTGAAAATTGCAAACACACCTAGTAAAACTATATACTGATATATGTTACCTACTAGTTACTGAATTAACAGAATCAATATTCAGTGGTGAATTAAATTTATTAGGTGGAAAACTCATGCTGACAAGATGATTCCCCACAAGATAAAATGAAGATTTCATGCAGTGAAGGAGTTGGTAAATACAGGTGTTTCAGGACTTTGTTGTATGATAAAATATGAAGTAGATATTCCCCAATGATCATTATGTCTCAGAACAAATGTACTTTAATATAACACTACTAGGTCTCATGTATATTACCATTAGATAAAAATGGGCAATCACTTTTGATATTGTTTCCAGGAATATATACAAACAATGATGTTAATAAATTTAAGACTCTCGTCATATTTGACTGTAGAGGTGTGGAGCCTGTGGACTTTGAACCAAAGTCAGGTTGGATAGCTGAAGCCGAAGATGAGGGTACTTATTTTTTTTTTTGTATTCCACTAAACTAGTTAACACACATGTTACATACACTACAAACCTTCACATTTCTCTTAAATTACACTTCGTCACACCTTTATCTTTTTACAAGTAAATTTTAATATTAATATACTTTTATTAGATCAATTACTTATCTGTTTTTTGCATAAAATTTATGTACAAAATAAAAATTTTTTAATACAGAATTATCAAAATCTATTATTATTATTCTAGTTTTTTGTATTAGGTAGTTTATTTATTATTACTTATTTATTGGACCAATAAATAATAATAGAAAACAACAATATTTAACAACTAACATTATTTCATAATGGTGTTCATAATTTTCTGTGTGATTTTTTTTAAAATCTACTTTTTTAAAATCTGCTACAATAATCTTTTGAAGGGAACAATTATCTATTTTAATACATAGTTTAATATTTATTAAATTATTTTTGTCTATAAATAACTATATGGGTTATATCTTACATAAAAGATGTATTATCTTTTATGTAAGATATATATAGGTGCATATACCTTAAAAATATTACATATATATAACTCTAAAGTATAACTAACATATATAGTATTAGGTCTGCATTTTGTACCAAACATTTTTTTGTAATGTGGTCAATATAAAAATAAGTAAATAAGTATCTTTTATTTCCAGGTAAAAAGTTTGAAGATGTAGACCTTACTGAAAAAGAATGGGCGGACTATGATGAGAAGAATCAGGCGTCGGTGGGTGTGTATGAACTTGAATGGCAATTTATTAAAGTCAAGTAATACACAGTGTAATGTAAATTAATATATTATTTAAATTGTACACATATTCTGTTCTAATATACATACTTTGTTAGCAAAGAATTTTTATTGATAACTTTTTCTATTTACGTAGCTATGACAAAAATTAAATCATAAGGTCATAGTTTTACTCTAAGAGGGTCGCAATTAATTACAAGTCTAATAATATACTGTCTAATTTTTTTTTTCTATACCACAAAAGTGGCAAACAAACAGTCCGTCTGATGGTAAACGGTCACTATAGCCTATGGACACTTGCAACAGGGGTGTCACATACATGTTGTCGACCCTGTTGATCTTATAGGCCACAAAAGTGATTCCTTGATGGCTTCACCAATGCTTATCAAAATACTATATGGTCAGGAAGACTAGGTCGCGGACATGACCAGTAGTTAAAGATATAAATAGTAAACTCCGAGGAAGTCGATATCCATGCAGTAATGTATAAAATTCTTGCAATATGACGTTCTTAAATAGAACAGGTATACAGGCATGCACATATTTTTAAAGAAACAGCCAACTTCAATTATGGGAAAACCAATTATTTTGATATAAAATCTTAAACTGCTGTACCGATTTTGATGTAATTTCTATGAGAACAATCTGTAAGTATATGCTTTCAGATAAAAAAAGAATTTTCAAATCTGTGTACAATTGATGGAGCTATGAGGTAATAAACATAAGAAATACATTGGAATTGAGAATCAACCAAAAATTTTACTTTAAAAAGATCCTTATCTTTTTAAAGTCAATTGAAAATCATATTACTGCTTTTAAGAATTGTGAATTAATACGGTTCAATAAAAATAAATTCTTTGATATTTTATTTACTAAACTAATACACCTCGATATTGTAAATGGCGGACTTATCACCATATGACATATGTTATATTTATCTATCTAGATATTTTTATGGTTTAGGTTTCTAATTAAAAAAAGATATATATATATGTGTGTGTGTGTGTGTGTGTGTGTGTGTGTGTGTGTGTGTGTGTGTTTGTGTGAGTGTGTGTGTGTGTATGTGTGCGTGTGTGTATGTGTGTGTGAGATTTTTTGCAATTTAAATAAAATAAATAGGAGTTATTCTCATGTTGGTTCCATATACGAGTATTTTTCTTTTTCTCTAAATTGAAATCCGTTTTTTTACTAATCATAAAAAATTCCGTTATACAATTTAATTATGGAATAACAAAAATTAAATTCTCATTTGACGTCCGACTGAATGAAGCGATATAACGATTTCGCGGCGCCAACTCGACTGTGACTTCACTTTCAATGTTCGATACTTCCTATTCCGTCTTAATAGTCGTTAATGAACGGTAGGTGGTTTTTTTCAAATGGGTAATAATGGTATGGTAACCCCGTCTGCGCTATCGGTATACAATGGCGGGGCACCAGTGATAGATGACTAAAGAGGATGAAAGCAGGTCAGTTAGCCCATCCTGACGAATTCAACTAGAATTAGCCACGATGGTTTCCAGGGGGAACCACGTGAAGGTCAACCTGACAGGGTATATTGCTACTATTTGACCCCATTACTAACAATCCCTTTTCCCCCCAACAGTAGGTGTTTGGCTGCTTGTCTGAGTACCATTTAAAATAATTAAAACAATATATACTCACGACTGTAAATTCTTTAATGGGATAGTAGGTACTATTAGTAATAGACATATCATTATTCTTATGTTAAACAATCACACACAAAACAACTGGTGCATTAGTGGTGGATGGAATGATGAGGAACATCCTCATCGTCAGATCAGTTGAACCATCATGGCGAATTAACAATTAACATCAGCCCTGCGTGGTGGTCGGTCTGACAGTAAAAGGTTTTTTATGGATGATCATAGAATGGTAACCCCATCTGCGCTAACGGTGTATGTTGGCTGCGCACCGCCAATCTCTTCCCTACACAGTAACAAAGCAAAGTCACTAGCAAAGTGGCAATGCAATGCCGGCTTCTCTGGTGCCCGTGGGTTGCAGTAATCACTTACCATCAGATGAACCGTACGCTCGTCGCCCTTTTACATAAAAAAAAATCGAATAAATTTTTTAAAATGCCTAAGACAATTTGCTATTAGCGTCCGAATCTCTATAGATCTTTTATAATTTTAATAAGTCTACACCAACTTCTGTTAGAAAAACGAAGGGGAAAACCAAGACATGAAATTATCTACCTATTTATTGTTTGATTTACCTATCTATTTATTGAGGATAGAAAAGAAAAAATGTTGGGACACTTGATACGACACGACGAACTTATGAACATTATAATAGAAAGTAAGATAGAAGGAAGAAGGGGAAGAGGGAGACCGAGACATAGTTACATCAGGCAGATCAAGGTAGGAGTTGGTGTCGTGTCGTATCAAGAGGTGAAGAGACTCGCTGAAAATCGTAGTGAGTGGCAAGAGCTCCACCGACAAGAGCGCAGCTCTTAAATACAAAAGATAGATTTATAGTTTGTTAGGAGTAGAATTATTGTCCGCGCTGCTTAGTTCAGTTTCAGCTATCAATTGTAGAAATTCATTTATAGATCATGAATTATGGATTATTTTTATTAAAAAAAAAAAGAAAAAACTATTACGAATTCGCAACAGGCATGACTGCAGTCTAATTACCGACCGCAGTCACCAACGGAGTAAAAAGGTGACTGACATGTTGTCAATGCACAATTTTCCGCTAGGCACGCCCATGTTACTTGCTAGTTGCCAGTGAACTTGATCAATAGCAGTTATATTTTTACTTGGCATAATCGACATAAGTAAGCACTTATGCCTTTGTACTTACATGTAGTAATTAAAAAAAAAACTGACAATATTCGTGTTGTAACATTGAAAGTTATAAATATTTGTGATGAAAATTTATTAACATATTTAAATATAGATATTTGTTTATTCTTATTTATTTATATTTATGCACTAGCAATTTAACCTGGCTTCGCACGGATAGATAAAATATTCGAAAATAATATACAGAGTGACATAGTAATTACTATGTACCTATAATGTAATGTACTATGTACCTATAGATGAGAGAATATTTAAAATAGGTTAAATGGTTTTTCAGTTTATCTATTATAAACAAATAAATATTTACTTTTTATAATATTATGGGCAGCATAGCCCTCTTAAAACATCTCTAAAAGCCTAACTACGGTTGCCAACTCGTCTGCCAAGCGTGGCAATTACTGGTAAAACTCCCATTATAGGGAATTTTGACAGGATATTATGTTCAGCACTGGACAATTATCAGCTGAAATAATAATAATAATATAGATTATCTAATAATCTTAGCTGTGTTTAAACATATGCCTATTTATAAAGAATACCATTTTAATGAATTCCTGTAAGTACTTTGCTCACACTTAATCGACTTGGGGTATCTTTAAATCAAGAACAAGAGAACTTTTCCTTAACAGGATAACTGAAATAAAAATAATTAGCAAGCCAGGTCTTAATCAGGAATGTATTTATTTCAGTAGTCTGAAAATACAAAATGCCGGTCTACTGAAGAAATACTTTTAACTGTTCTAGCCTGTTGATTCTGATATGATTGACTGATATAAAATATTTCTAAGTATTATGAAACTATATTTAATAACAATACAAATGTATCACAGCGGCATTCATTTACTCAAAATCGGATCAACAACAGGCAACAAGCATTCGACAAACATCAATAACTTACATAATTTATAAAGGTACTTAACACCTTGGCTTTATGCAGATCGAGAACGTTTTTATTGATCGGCGAAAAGTTCAGATGCATAAATTATTTACAACGCATGTTGAGATATAAATTATCCTTCAAGAGTTAGATGTAGAGGTCACCGTGGTAGACACACTGTCCTCGGTATCAGAACGCGATTTGAAACCAGTGAATCCCGTATTTCCATGCACTGTTACACTATGTGTGGGGTCGTGGGTCACCGCATTTTCAGTAGCCGTTGCAGCTCCCGGCCCGTAATACTCGTCACTGTACACAACGTATGGATCGTGGATATATACTGGAACTTCGATGGGCACTTGTACTGGCACTTTTACGGGTACTTTTACCGGATAAGGCACTTTCACTGGAACAGGGACTTTTTTCTCCACCGGGTAAGGTTTGGGTATGTATATTGGAACCTTTTTCTCGACTTCTACCTTTTGTGGTACAATTACTTCGAAAGGCACTGGAACTTTCTTCTCAACTTCCACAGGATATGGTACTTTCTTCTCAACCGGCACAGGAACTGGTTGTGGTACTTTAACTGCGAATGGTTGGGGGACCGGTACTCTTATTGGAACATGTTTTATCACTTCAAATGGCTCTTTGACTTTAACTTGGACTGGGTATGGTACTTTAGTCTCAACTGGATATGGTTGAGGTACTAACACTTTGACAGGGACAGCATAAGGCACTCTTTTTTCTACTGTGACGGGCACAGGAACAGGTCTATCGACAGGCACATGCACCTCCACTGGATATGGTACTTTCTTCTCTACGTGCACAGGTACAGGTTGAGGCACTTTCACTTCGACCTGTTTTAACACAGGGACGTGATGAACTATTGGGTATGGTTTTGGAACATACTCTTTTTCAATGACTTTCACAGGCACTGGATGAGGAACCTTAATCCCAACGGGATAAGGCACTTTTTTCTCCACTGTCACAGGGTAGGGCACAGGCTTTTCCACTATTCTCAGTTTCTCAACCGGTACAGCTACCTTCTTTTCTACTGGAACGGGATATGGTTTCGGCACTTCAACTTTGTAAGGAATTTTCACTGGTTTTTCAACTGTTTTGATATATCTGTGATGGTGATGATGGTGGTGATGTTTGATTTTTGTCACAACTTTTGGATGATGTTGGCTTCCTTCAGCTTGGAGATCACCGAGAAAGTAGTGTGGTGTTGACGCAATCACAGGTTTCGGACTGTAACCAGAGTAAGGGTTCAATTGTCGCTTTCTTTTTCTAAAAAATGTCATTTTTTTTCTATCTGATGCGGATATAGGATGTTGCAAACGATCCACAGGTATTAATCCAAACGAATGTAAATATAACATGCGTTTATGAGGAACTGCCGGCTCTTCGCCGCTGGGAAATGTATCTGATCTTTTAGTAATTCGTGTTAAAACTGGTCTTCTTGATTGGCTATAATGAGAGGGTACCAGAGGTATCCAATCGTTTGGTTCGATTTCAGTTAAGTTTACTGTTGGAGTAGTTGTGGATCGTATTTTTGGTAAACGAGTTACTGGTCGATATTGGCGTTTTTTTGTTGGCTCAGTGGTGGTCTCAGTTGAATTTTTGTGTACATATTTGATTCTATATGCAGTTTCTGAGGTCTCATAATCTATTTGGTTGATACTTGTGTTCGTAGATTTCGTATCATTGCTTGCTGTTGTATTATGTAGAGTGGCGTTCATTTTTTCTAAAATTTTTTTTGGCCATATTCGCTTTACCCTCAAGGGTCGTTTTGTAGTCGTACCAACAGTTGTGGTTGTTGTAGTAGTGTTAAAATACGGTGGTGGTTTAACTATATCTTTTCGAACCCCAGTGATCGTCTGAACCGGTAAACTGAATTTTGGACTTTTCAAAACTATGGGTTTATTTGTTGAAGACGCGAATGCTAGTGGTTTTTGTTGTTTCTTTATGTAATACGCGTTTTTGTGTGGTGGTAATGGTATCACTTTTGGGAATTTGTATACTGAATTTGCTGAGTAATATAAATGGTGTGGCGTTTGAGGGTAGTAATGCCGTTGGAGCGGCACTTTCTGTATTGAGCTGTAGTGCAGCCGTTGCAATTCCCCATAATTCTGTTGTGTTGGTTTATCAGGGTTGAGAGGTGGTTTACTCGGTGGTCTGTGTTCAGGTTGACGATTTTGACCACTTGATCTTAACGGTTGTTGGTTCGTGTCATTTAGCACTACGTACTTTGGATTGTCTATGATTGTCAAGGCGATGTTCTTTGCTTCCTCCGCTATTTGATCCACTTTGACATTACCCTCTGCTGTTACATCTCGTCCTTGATTGACGACGATCACTAACGCGATGATCACGAATGCCGTCTGAAAGGAAAATATTTGCTGTAGTTAATAAATTATTTTTAAAAGTATTTTATATAACTAAACTAGTATACAGCCTCCATGATAATGAATAATTACTATAGGCTATCACTAAGACTCGAAGTTTTATCAAGAAAACAACGTTTGTGAATGCACAAATTAAAGTCAAGTCGTTTTTACAAGATAATTACAACTTATAGGTACTAATGAAGATCTAATAACCTTCGTGCTCCAAAACATGTCTAAAAAATTTTAGATAATTATAAAACAATGTAAAATATATCGTCTAACAGGTTCCACTCAATTACCTCAATGTATTTCAATCTTTTGTTAGTAAACATTCAAGTAATTGGTAATGAAGTCTTATAAAAATCTCGACAAACTGTTCAATATTACATTACGTTTTTTTGCTATAAAAACAGTTGAGTACATAATGCGTGAGTGGTTTCCTCACGCGATCCCCTTCCGTGTTCTATATTGGGTTACATAAACGCATTGTTTGATCATAAATCGGTGGGAATAAATTCCAGGTATTTCCTTATATTTTTCCGTAAGAACGTAACCAAAAGAAAAGTGATAGCAGGAATGAACTGGTGTGTTTTTGCTTTGTCATTCTAAGGTAGTAAATTGGTTATAATTATCCAATTTACGTAAGTATATAATAGGTATAGAATAGATCAGCTCTTCCTTTCCCGTAGGTGTAAGATGTGACTAAAAGAGCTTATGGTGAAGGAATGGGCAGCAGCGTCTCTCTTAAAACATCATCAAAAGCTAAACTGCGATTGCCAACCCGCCTGCCAAGCGTGGCAACTATTGGCAAATCTCTCTTATAGGGGAGGTTATGTTCAGCAGTGGACCGTTAACGGCTGATACAACAACTACGTAAGTATAATAAATAAAAAAAATAACTTCAAGATAAAAAATATTTAAATACCTTAGACCTTGGGAAACAACAATATATCAATCATAAAGATTTGAAAATAAAAAATATAGGAGAAATGTTATGTATTTAAATGTAGATATACATTTAAATATTTAATTCAATATTTATCATAAATTAGCTAACCCGGCAGACTTTGTTTTCCCCATAAAAGACACTGAAATACAAATCTCTTAATTTAGAATAATTACATATAAAAATAAAAAAAAAATTATTGGCGGGAACGGTTTTTAAAATTTTAAATATTATTTTTTTCTCATTGTGGTCTACCCAAAGGTTGTCAGGAATAAATTGCTTAGCGACAAGGCCGTCTTTTATATCATTTCTTATTAATATTTACTGTATTTGTTGTTTATTTTTTACTTGGTGCAATAAAGTGTAAAATAAATAAATACTCTTTTGGATTATAGTTTTATCCCTACTTTACAGAGAAATTATAGCAATTTTTACTATATTATTTTTATAAGCTTCAATAAAAACCACGCACATTTTGTTTCTTTATATTCTTATTTTTTTTTTTTTTTTTAGTTTACTACGATCGTTTTGAATTTACTATTTTTGACACTTCTTTAGCCGTGCATGACATTATCAAAAAGTATGTTTTGTAAGATATGATAAGATAGTGAGAAGATCAGTGATTGGACTCGACTCGCACTTAGCTACTGTTTTCTTAATTTATATCATTACGTATTTCTATGGTTGTTCTTAATTGTTAAATTGACACAGTAATATATTGGAATGGAGATTAAAAATTTGAAAAATGTGATTATCTTTGTAAAAATATACACATATTATGACATATAAAAACATACTGGATCTAATCTAAGGATAAGCCCTTTCCAAATTCGCTAAAGATAGGTATTTTTATTATTACTGTCGTTTTCCCGTTTTGGTTTTAAGAAAAAATATCCTAATACCCGATATTAGGGTAAATGTCACTAAAAAAAATTGTTGCTGAGACTTGAATAAAAATCCAAAATCTGACCATTAAAATTAAGGTAGATGGACGGCTGTTACCACTTTCAATCGGGTTAGCCATTAGATTCTTAAAAAATATATATAAAATATAACAAACATTAGTCGGATAAAAATTAAGACAAATCTGTTTATATATTATTAACACGTTCTTTAATGCATGTTATTCACACTATATTGTATATAAATTGAAAGAAAAGTATATTGGTCATAAATTAACGTTAATACTTTGCGTATAATAATTTTAAAGATTTTATCATGAAATCAACAAATTTTGCTTCATATGTACAAAAATATATTTTCAACAATTTAATATGAATAATATATAATTAATTAATAAAAATATAATAATAATTTCTAAAAAGTCAATATCGTTCGTTGATACTCAAATAGTATTCCAGTAACAAAAACATTATTGATTTTTATCACTGTAAATCTTTTTCAAAATATATTTTCAGTATATTCTCACTCTGAACATTTAGTAAACGACACACATACACAATCACTGGTTGTATAAATATACATGTGAAATACACCATTATTTTTATGAAACTGTAAAATCACCACAAGATGGCACACACTAAATTCACTTATTAAAAAATTTTTAAATTCGCGCCAAAAATTTCGCGGTAAAAAAAATGTGCGTTTTGTTTTTGCTATTACCTACCGATAAGTATTGCATATTGCAGTGCCAGCGGCCGTTTGCTATCATATACGTAATGATGGGCCTAAGGAAGCGCCACTCACTTATATAGCATTCACGTAATGGGTGGTTGAGTTTCGGGACAATAACTTTCGCTGCCAAGGCCAACATTGGAACTAAATCTATGGATTTTCTAGCCCTAAAGATGTCCTTATAAATATGGATACCTACCTACTGTAAGTATACATGACAAATTTATTATTCGATAAACAATTCTTACCAGTTAAGAATGTTTCTGCACAATTATGAATGTGTCAATATCAGGGTATATCAGTTAGATTAATGGTGTAATAGCCATCAAAGCCCACATCAACGTTAACATAAATGTTAGAATTCACGCGATGATGTTCCTTGAGATAATATAAAAATTTTGTAACCAGTAATTACATTGCAATATAGCATTTTTCAAACTGAAACACAATACAAAAAAATATTCATAATACTGATGCTTGGTGGTAAAAGTCAAACACAATCTAAATAAGACAGAGATGCTTTGATAAACAAATCCAGGATTTGACAAAATTCGGCCTCTGGCGAAAAGTTTTTTGAACATCGATTTTTTTTTAACAAATTAAAATATGCTATGAATAGTATACTCTGAATGAATATGAATGAATTGATTTACGCTAGCGAGATACTATTGAGGGATGATGAAGTTAAGTCATCTAGTCTATCATGATGGATCATCAGAAATTGTCCTTGATGCTTTTTATGGGACAACCAAGTCGACTTAACAAAGAATATTAGTATCAATGGTGACTAGCATTTACTTTATTAACATTCCCTTCCTCTCAACACTAGAAATTACTCCTTATAGTAAGCAGAGTCGGCGTAAGACTAGAGGGCGCCAATATCTATTACCTATAACGAGCGGGTGGATGCCCGCGAGTTGCCCGGATTGGTCGTTCTATTATGTTGGTAGTAGTGACGGTAGGTTGTACCATATCCTTTAATATTCATATTGAAATACCTTTAATTTCATACTATACTTACATCGATGTTGACAATCAAACATACAGTCTGCCTGATGGTAAGCAGTCACGATCAACGCAATACGGGAACGCTTAGTGAGACTAAATTACTCTGTTCTGCTGTATCGGCACAATTAGTCAACAATGTTGGTAATTTTTATACGGCTATCAGGGCCGGCCTTAGTGTACCTAGTACCCCAAACAGCGGACTAACAATCCCATTACTAGCACTGTACCCTGTCAGGTCGACCTCCACGTGGTCCCCCCTGGAAACCATCGTGTTGAATTCCTGGTGTATTCATCATGATGGACTAACTGACCTGCGTTTTCATTCTCACCTATCATAATTAACTGGTGCCTCGCCAGCGTATACCGTTAGCGCAGGCAGGGCTACCACTTCATTGTCATCCATTACAAAAAAAGTACCCTTGGATAAATTTTTAACGGCTCTCCACTTGACGTCAAGAAAAAAAAGAAGGCTTTTACTGAAATGTTCTTGAACTTCTTATGTTGTCAGTGCTCCGTGCCTCCTCGAATAACAGCGTCAAAAAAAAAAAGGTTTTTGGAGATCTGCATTGTTCACTCTAACCAAAGTCGAATATGATCTATTTACTAATGCTATTGCTCCCTTATATGCTCTTAGACTCCGGCTAATCCCTAATATACCATATATTGCTCAAAGGTAAACTTCCACGCAGTCTACCCTGGTAATCACCTTGGCTAATTCTTATAGACTTCGTTATGATGAACAAACTGACTCACTGAACTGACCTGTTTTCATTTTCACCTATCATCCCTCACTAGTGCTCCGTCAGCGTATACTGATGGCATTTTTTTTTTTGATGGGCGAAAATGGTACGGTAACCCCGTCTGCGCTAACGGGATACGCTGGCGGAGCACAAGTGAAGGATGATAGATGAGAATGAAAACAGACCAGTTAGCTCATCATAATGAATTCATCAGGAATCAACCATGATAGCTTCCAGGGAGAATCGCAAGGAGGTCGACCTGGTTGGGTATATTGCTAGCAATGGGATTCTCAGTCTCCATTACTAACAATCCCTTTCCCCCCACCGATGGCGCATTTGGATATACCGTACCATTACCACCCGTAAAAAAACCCACTTCATTTATTAAGACCGGACGGGTCCCTAAGGCCGGTACTGACGGTTGGTACATACCAACCATCTATGCTACATTTAACACTTATCCAATGCGTTTATTGAAAATGCACCGCAAATATAATTAGATTCATTTCCCCATTTCCGTTCTTCCGGACGTTCCTCGTAGACTTATGTAAATAAAACACGCGACTACTGCAATGCTGTATAGTTATACCTATTTAGGTATTTACAATAGGTTGTATTTCCTTAGTGTAGAATATTTAATTACGGGTTACAAAAATCATTAATTACTTATACCTGCTTTCTTCATCATTATTTAGCCTTTAACTGTCCACTGCTGAACATAGGCCTCTCCTATAAGGGGGGTTTTGCCAATTGTCTTCACACTTGACAGACGGGTTGGCAACCGCAGCTTAGATAGGGGGAAAGGGATGGTTAGTAATAGAGACTCCTAGAGAACCAGGTCGACCTCCTCGAAACTATCATGGTTAATTCCTAATGAATTCATCATGATGGGCTAACTGGCCTGTTTTCATTCTCCTCTATCACCCTTCACTGGTGCTCCGCCAGCGTATCCCGTTAGCGCAGGTGGAGTTACCATACCATTTTCATCCATCAAAAAAAAAAACCGCAGCTTAGATTTGATGTTTAAAGAGGGACTCTGTTGCCCATCCCTCAACCTTAAGTACCCTTAGTTGCCTGTTACGACACCCAATGGAAAGGAAAGGGGTGGTCCGTTCTATGCCGGGACCACAGAGTATCTTATATATAATATTTTGTCAAGCAAAAATGATATACTTATTTAAAACAATTTGCAACCTTAATTTAAACTATTTGTGAAGTGGCTATTATTTATTTTTATTATTGCTGATTTTAATTTTGAACAGATTTGATTTCATTCTGAACTGATTTTAATGACTCTTTTTTATGTGAAATAATTTTTTACCGTCTTTTATTTGATTTTAAGTAGAAACGATCTTTATGACATGAAATAACATATAATAGTTACATCTAAATCAGGTAAACATAGACTATGTTCTCTGTCTAACCAATTTTACTTTTAGGAAATAAATAAATTTTATGATTTATTTTTGAGCTATTTTATTCACTGTATTTCTTTTAATATTTTAAGCCTGTAGTTATTATCGGGGAACCGCATCTTCACAATTTGCCGTATCTCTTCGCACGTGTAACACTGGGAGAACTCCTTGTTCCTGTTCCACAGGTCAGCCGTCTCCAAGAGTTGAGCTTTCAACAGTTGTGGCAGCATTGTGAATTTGTTCCACACATTTATTTTATTCTCAAATTGTATGGGCTCCTAGAAAAAATATATAATTGTAAAGCCTTTATTACATGAGAGATATTTTGTCAATGCAGGACAGAATGGTCCTTTCAGATATATCTATTTGAAATATAAAAATATGCATTTGTTTTAGTATATATATATAGTAGTAGTATAATAGTTGGCATATTTTTAGTAAATTATTGCTATATAGAAAATATTAAAATTATGAGGTATGGAGACAAAACACCTTATCTGCTTATACATTCCTATAGGCGTCGGTTAACACTTTCCATCAAGCACGCCTTTAGCTATATGTAACTTGACTTAACAGTGACTATTTCTCTATTATGTACATATTAGTGGTAAAACTTTATCAATTACCATCATAATTTAAGATAAAGTAAAACATAGGCCACTGTTACAATATAGCACGATACCATAAGATTTTTCCTTCACGACATAATAAGAGCTTAATTTATATATATATTCTTTATTGCACAAAAACATACAGTAACAACAATAAGTTAATAACAATGTTAGCAAAGGCGAACTTATCTCTAAAAGAGATTTCTTCCAGTCAACCTAACGCAGTGGCATAGGAAGTAGTGAGTGGGCAGTAGTAGTGCAAGACAGAAATTTAAATATTTACATAAATTATAAATAATAATTTATGCTAATATAAGGGGACGTTATGAATATCCCGTGACGATATTGTGAACGTTAATTGAAATTTGGAAGCATCTTTTGCTCTTCTATCACATCGTGACGTCGTGCTGTGTTACGGTAAATTATGTAATTGGTTTTTTTTTAACAACATTTATTTGAGATATTTGTTTAAAAAAAAAACCTAGTTAAAATGTAAAAATAAACTATTAAACAGGTTTTAACGAAATTTCCATCTAAAAGTATATCCTTTAGATAGTAGATAGAAATTATTTCCCCCATAGCTTTATAAATGACGGAGGTTTAAGATGATAAAAATATAATTAAATCGAGAACCTACTTCTTTTTATGAAGTCGGTTAAAAAGCGCTCATGAGCTACTCTTTATCCCGACCAATCTATATATCCTAGTCGCGCATACGAAAACATATATACATATATCTTACCTCAAACAAAGTCAAGAACTCCGACGTGACATCTTCCAATCGCACAGCCAACATATATACCAGTTCTTCATTTATTTGCCTACTGTCTGCAAATACTCTGTGTAATATCGATTGACAGAGCGCCTGGATCAGTGTGCAGATAGACATCTCATACATGCTAGCTGGCAGTACGTTGAACCAACTGGTTTTCAGTTCCTTCAGTAAAGTCATAGTACTATTAACTGCATTATCAAACAGATCGTAGCTTTCATGTGTCCATTCAGTTGGTTCTAAAAAATATAATCGAATATTTATTAATTAAATATATAAAACAGACAAGTTGTTTTTTTATCATCTTTATTAAATGTTTCTTAATATACAGAAATTAGGAATATTAAGGATAAGCAAGCTGAAGTGGCAATGAGCTGGTCACAACTCAAAAAACCGACAACCAATGGGGAAGAACGGTTCTTGTGTGGCAAGCCCATACATTAAAATAAAATGTAGGACCCCCCCCCCCTGAGTGAAGACCTCAAATGCATTGCAGAGAGTTAGTAGATGCAGGAGTCAAGATCATTCCTTATTGCAGTCTATGGGGGAGGCATAATGGCACACTAATCTCTGAAACCATCTTTTCATGGATTTTAATATAATTTTCTAAATGATAATAGAATACATTCAACATGAGAAATAGGGTAATTTTTATTTTGTTTTTGTAACGTCAGCTAGTTGTTAGTTTTTTTTTTTTTACAAATTCTGTATAAGTGTGAAAGTTTGTAAAATGATATAGTATTTATTACTATATACACTCCCATATTATTACTCTGTATGATCTATAGAGTAATGATATAATATAAATGGCTGAACAGATTTTAATAAAATTTGATATCATTTACACAGAAAAAGTACAAATACATAGAATACAGTAAAAATAAAAGAGATATGGAAACAGAGGTAGGAGACCAATACCCAATATGGGGCTCATACCCAAAATACTATATAACAAATAAACTAACATAGATAATAATATTTCTAGTACTAACCATAATGTAATTAATACAAATTAAAACTATTGTATGGACATGACAATAAAGAAGAAGAGGCTTTGTTATTATTTTCATTTACTTAGAATTTGCTGTGTAGTCCTGGCATAGAATAGGCCATCCTTTATTTTCCCATGGATGTTGTGAGAGGCGACTAAAGGTGGGTGAGGGACGGGCAGCAGCATCCCTCTTAGAACATCTCTAAAGTCTAACTGCAGTTGCCAATCCACTTGCCAAGAGTGACAACTACTGGCAAAACCCTCTAAAGGAGACATTGTTCAGCAGTGGACAGTTAAGGACTGATATGATGATGACACATAGGATATTTTTTATTGTATTTCTAGGAACTAATCCATCGGACATAACTAGATTATAATAAAAAAAATTACCTTCAGTTTCAATTTTTTGAGTAATGATATTCTTTTGATTTTGCAAATAAAGAGACATCTTCTCTAATCCCAATACCCTCAGATTTTGAATGGACTCCAGGAGTACTGTCATCAGCTGGTCAGACAAGTTGCTGGGGAGGGTTACCTTCCAAGGTGGACCCAGTAGACTATGAGCTAAGTAGAAACAGTTGTTGAAAAATAATGCTGAAAATATAAAAAAACATAATAGTATATGACTAATTATTAGCACATTAATGATTAATACACTGTTGTTTCTTACAAAAAACCAAGCTTAAAAACCTGTGATTATTTGAAAAAAAGAAGTAAATTTCCACATACCAATATCTAGAGGGCAGCACTCTAAATTGATCTTAAACTTCTTAGGTACCACACATTGATACATTACAGCTACATCTTTTATGTATACCACAAGCTGTTGACTATATCTCTCAGGCAACTTCACACTCTCTTCTAAATGTTCTACTATTAATGCCATAATTTTTTTAACATTTTGAGATACGATACATTTAGGCAGGAACAATGGTTTATCATGATTCCACAAATCTTCCTTGACTGCAACATCCAATATAGAATCATTGGGAACTACACTTTCAGAGCCAACAACGCTTGTGGCATATGAGAGACTTTCAAACAAATATGAACGGACATCTGATAGTAATTTATCACATTTCTTGTTATACAATACACATTCAGTATCATTTATATACTTGTTGAGAGGTGACTCATCAGCTTTGACAAATTTCAACTCGATTAAGAATTTATTAAAAGAATCCAATTCGATAACAATATTTTTATAATTCTGATAAGTGCTATCACAAGTTGGTAAGTTGTTCTTTATGCAATCCTCTATAATTTTATCAAAAAACTTTTTCCTTATAGACTCTGCAAAAATTTCAATGAATGTCTGATCGCTATCAATTAAATGAGAACCAAGAGTGGACTGTAGGAACTCAAAAACAGCTGTTAAATTATTAAATATTGTTTGGTAATTTGGTTTCTTATTGTCATTCAAGTCTATCTTGATATTGAATACCACAGCACCAATGTGATCGTCTGTAAATATATCACAGTTGTGTTTTATAACATTATGAAGCAATTTCTCTATAAAAAAGTTAGAAAATAAACCGAGCTCAGCGTTCAACCTCTCAGTTACATGAAGCGTCTTTAATACTCTCTGTATAAGTATTGGATCACTTTGTTGTACAGATAAAGAATATTTCAAATAGTAGACACCCCTTTGTTCAGACCAAGTAAAAATGTCTTCCCATTCAACACTCACATTTGCTGTGTAAAGTGCCAATTGATTCTCTGCCTGCTCGTTTAGGTTGGCGAGTGCTTTATCCAAATTACTAGCGAGTTTCAAATTCCTTAATTGCTTTTTTAAATCCATAATTCCCAACATTGCATCACTGTAATTATATCTATCGAACTCATGATTAGCTTGCTCCAATATCTTCTTCCCTTCAACTGCGACACACAAATCATTTAACATTTCGTATGATTTGCACATTTTATCAAAATATTTACTAAACTCGTCGTTACTATGATCATAATCTTTTCGTAAAGATTCCACCTCTTTGTTTAAGTTTGCGTAATCGCTATCAATATTGGTCTTTCTGTTTTTATAATTAAGTTGTTCTAAACTTTTGGTCGGCGTAAAATTAATATAGGTATCAATGAAATTCTGTTGTAAGGAAAAAGTCAATAATTGCACCCTTTCAATAAGGTCTTTTATTTTGGGAATGAGCAAATCTTGACGTTTTTTTAGCTCATCAGTACTTGCCTTGTCCACTTCTTGTAACACAGCACTTAATAAATTCATATTAAAGTTATTATATAAGTTATACTTTTAATATTATAACAAAAACAAAGTTTTACATCAGTTAGAACAAACTTTATGATAATAAATTCAAAATTTAAATTTAAAACTGACAGTTACCTGCAGTATAAATGTTATGACAGTCAAATGATACTGACATTGACAACATCATGTGCAGGGAATTTGCGTTTTATTATAGCACAATTTAAAAAGTTATTAGTTTTATACTCAATTTAAAATTCGGTAGTTAGAAAAAAGTTTTATATATAAAGGTTATTAAATTATTTTTTTATTACCATAAATCATAGCAAATAACAATAAATATGTAAATATTATGTAATGAACTACAGTCTACTTAGTTACGAAATATGTAAATCGGTACTTGGTTACCAAGACATATTAAATCATTAAACGTTGATCTTCACAAGTTTAATTCCATTGTAAATAACTACTTAAATTTATATTTATCAATAGTTATATTATTGTACAAAATGAACGATAATGAAATCGAAAGTTTAAAAGCTGAACTAGAACATGAAAAAACATGCAGGTCAGTGAGTTCAATACTTTTTAGAAATATGATAGATGCGTACGTCGACCTGGTAAGGTATATTGCTAGCAGTCCCTTTTCCCTACCTAGAACTATTAGTTCAATTATATTTCTCTCCAAGCCTTCGTTTAATTTTTTCCTTTCCCTAAAGAGAAGCAGCAGCATGGCAAAATGGAGAACTGGAAAAACAAATAGTTTCGATGCAAGAAGAGCTGCGTCACAGCGACTATATTTGGGACCACGACAACGACCTACAGAAAGAAAGCAATCGCCACAAACAGCTGCTTGACGCTATAGAGACTATGAGAGAACAGTTACCTGTATTAAAAGAGAAGATAAAGAATGCTAAAACTTGCGGGCCTGGTGAGTGCGCCATCTGGTGGCTATATTTTTTACGTAATTAAAATTTAAACGTGCGTAACTAGACGTAACTTTTTACTAAAATAATAATAATTTTTTTGTTTCTCGTAGATTGCAAGCTCAAACACGATGATCTTAATATTAATTTGGACTTGCTGACTCCGGTAAGTTGATATTTATTTAAATTAAAAAAGTAGCAGTCAAATATATGAACTTAACTCCCATGACAACCCAGGGCAGTGTCTTGACACCGCTATATAAAAAGAAAGACGCGACTCCAGATAGTGCTTGGACTAAGAGTTAGAAAGAGAAGAAAACAGATGTATAGTAATAGAAATTTATTATTTGACAAAAACACAAAATTACAAACACAAGATACAATGGACCCCGCACTAGGCGAACCTGTATCGTGGGCACCCGACAAAGATTAACAAATCACAATGTGTTATAATAAAAAGCACATAGTGGGCGGGTATTAATATAAAAAAAAAGAATATAAAATTGAAATAGTGATCATTGCGAATCTGAATATGAAAATAATTAATCAATGGGATTGGGGTTGTCTGTCTGTCGATAGAAACGTTATCGTTAGTGCGTACATGAAATAGTCGATAGTGTTGTTCTTTCTTGTGCATATACAAAAGACAACGTATCTACCGAACAATTTATGTCATACTTCTCAAGGAGGACTGGATTCCTTGTACTTTTAATTGTACATAAAATTGCAATGCTAATTGCATTGTAATTTTTAAACTACGCGTAAATTTTATTCACAAATAGTCATATTTATGGTATATATAAGTATTCAACTTCTATATTGAGGTTTTAATTAAAATGATATAACTTCAAATAAAGCGGATATGCTATAATTACGCAACTGTATTGTCAATCAACAATAATAGAATAATAAAACATAAGCTACTTAATTATAGAGCTACTACAGTAGCAAGCTAGCTATTTGACACACTTAGAAAAAACTAAACTACACTTAATTTTTAAATTGTTTTTACTTTATTTTAGGCCGAATTGCTCCGTACAGTAAAAAGATTTGAGAGGCTGAAGACAGATTTAATAAGCACATTGCGTAGCAAAGAGTGGCGTTTAGATTCAGAATCTAAGGTGAGTTTAATGTAGACATTAACTAATAAAATTATCCGGCTCGAAGGACCAAGCTATTTTTAATAGTAATTTGTGAAATGGTTAATACTTTATTATATTTTATTATTTATTTATACTCATGTTAATATTTTATTTTAGCTTTTCGTCAGAGTGAACGACCAACGTACATACTTACAAAACGAGCTTATGATATGTCAAAACAATATAATGCGTTTGCAGAAGAATGGCTCTTATTGGCAGTAAGTATTTATTTTAACACATTTTGCCTACTATGTACTTCGTACACGTGAATATTAGAATTAGGAATGTGAATGAAATAGCTTACTTCTAGATCGTACTTCAAGATTAAACATAGGTACTCCAGATTTGAAGTTAGATCTTCAGATGCTAAACTGTGAAAACTGCATCCATATTGATGAAGTTGATTTTGCATGATGCCAGAACAAACACAGACAGACGGAGAGACAAAATTTCTAAAAAATATTGTTATGGCATGTATTGGTCTTGTTAAAACCCCTTGTATTTTTTTCTCTTATATATAATGTCGTCTAATGATAATGTTATTATATTAATAAGATTTAAGAATACATCACAACTGTTAACAGGTCGTGGTAACTAAGTCATATTTATCTTTTAAAGTACAGAATGCATTTATATATATATATATATATATATATATATAATATATATATATATATATATATATATATATATATATATATATATATATATATATATATATATATATATATATATATATATATATATATATATATATATATATATATATATATATAATACTTTCTTGTAATTGTTTGTATCTATAATAAGTCTACTATTGTAATCTTATGGAGGAAACAATAAAGAGTATCTATCTTTCTATTCCGATAGAAGTCGAGATCTGTTGATTAACGTTAAATTACTTGCCCTTCCAGGTTAGGGACTGCATTTATATTTCAGCCAAGTGGCTCCGTCCCCAAAACAAGTAGTAAACGTGTAGATATGTCTTACATATCTACATCTACATGTAGATATGTTTTAGTTACATGAGATAGAACGAGTTAGCAGTGCATCTTGTTTCAGTTCCCCACGCGAGAAATAGAATACAAAATAATTTGAAATCGTTTTTTTCTGCTAACGGTATTATATTCCAGACATGTCCCGCGCAAGAACGACGAGAGAATCCTGGACCCAAAGCGAGGCCCTATAAAGAGGAGCTTTGGCAACGAACGCCTCCCGCCCATAGCTACATAACAATGTACAAGGAAAAAAAAACCTAGAAGTTAAAAAATGTCACTTTACATAAATCATAATTCATTGAATTGAATAGGCATACCGCACCGAGGACTTTCTATTAACACAATAGTACAGCTCCATCGGTCGGGTTATACGAAAACGTTACTAACAAGCAAAGTTTTTGAACCGAAAGTGGTTTGTATTTCTATAATTTTCATAGGAATTTTTTTTTTTTAATATATATATAGCCTACATTAATCATCATCATCATCATTAAAGCCGTTATCTGTCCAATAGTCTATATTATTCGCTGATAAATATAGCTTTTGTTGGAGTTTTAATACTGGCTGTTGACACTGAGGTTTTTTAGAACAATGTATTATTTTAAGTTTGTTCTATGTCAGATTTTTATAAGACATATCTTGTATTTTTTTTTACTAAACTTATTATTTTATATCTCAAATACATATATGTTTTACTACTGCATCCTGCTATTTACAACAGTTTTCTATAGATGAAAGAATTTTTAAAGTTGGTTGAGTAGTTCTTGAGTTTATTCATTACAAATAAACATATAAAACATAAATTTTTTTCTTCTTTATAATATTAGTATAAATAAATTAATGTAAAATGACAGTTTTAACTTCCAAAACTGTGACAGTTTGCCGTTAGTAAAGGACCATAATTCGAAAGTTGACCATAGGTAGATATATACACATGTAATTTATCTGTATATGTAAACAGACATAACATTAGTATTATATGTAGATACATCACAAGACATATCAGTAGTGAAACGTATAGACAAATGGTTGGAAAAGAAATTCCTAAATAAAAACATTCTTAATAGTTAGTGTATTGAGGTGAGAAGAGAAAAAATGTTGGGACACTTGATACGACACGACGAACTTATGAACATTATAATAGAAGGTAAGATAGAAGGAAGGAGGGGAAGGGGGAGACCAAGGCATAGTTACATCAGGCAGATCAAGGAAGGAGTTGGTGTCGTGTCGTATCAAGAGGTGAAGAGACTCGCTGAACATCGTAGTGAGTGGCAAGAGCTCCACTGACTAGAGCGCAGCTCTTAAATAGAAAAGGTAGATATAGTTAGCCACGAAAATTTATGTTACTTCTTTTAAGTACTTTCCTTTTGTTTTTTTTTTTTTTGTATATGTTTTGTTTTCTTTTTTTGAGTAGATATGTACCAATATCTGTTGTTATTTGTGAGATGATTAAAAGATAAAATTTAGGTATTATTTATTTATTAAACTTGAATACACCTTACACATACATAAACTTGAAAACATTGAGAGTTCGTTTTCGAAGTTGGTCGATTAAACATCACGTTCGAGTTACAGCGTCTTAATATTCATTTATTATTAACTACTAACTACATTCACCTCAAACTTTCGATAAATTATAAGTGTATTCTATAAACTGTGTTATGTGATATCTATTTTTGACTTACAAGTGCATTTAAACAGATATTTCTACGAAAAATTGGAACCTATAAAGTAAAAATACCGTCATTGAAACAATTGTGGAGTGTTTTATAGAAACGCATAAGCGACGCGTTGTGCACGGCGCTTACGACCCTTTTCCCGCGAACTCATAATGTACAACTGCATTGTGATCGGAATTCGGATCTTGTTGTTAAGTTTTTTATAAAGAAATTGGCATTTGTCATCACCTGAGAAAATTTACACATAAAGGCAGGGAACTCATTCTGCACCTCCAGGAGAAATTATTATCCAGACATCCATCTATCTTTTTTGTGGATGAACAAACTATGCTCAGTTCCTGAATTGCTAAATAACGTAATTGAATTGCTTAAATTCGAGCTGCATACATCGTAAGTAATTTTTTACACTAAATATGTCAATCAAATGTGGCGCTTGTGGTTCAAATATACTTACAATAGATTATATGGAATGCTGCACATGCAAAGAATTATATGATCTTCAATGTTTAAATCTAACACCTGAAAATTTTCTTGGATTGAGCCAAGAGTTTAAAAATAAATGGGTCTGCCCTTCATGCGTCTGCTCAATACCTAAAGGAGATAATACTAGTACTCCTGTTCGTTGTAGTACTACTAACTCGTACAATGCTTGTGCAACTACTGAAAATATTACCTTTTCGCGTGGTAATCGTTTAAAAACTAAAAACGATATTAGTCCAGCAGGCGACTGCAATATATCTACTCTTTTAAAAGAAATACGCTGTCTAAGGAAAGAAGTCCTTGACTTAAAGGATCAAAATCTAAGCATTATGCAGCTTCATCAGGATGTCAAAGATTTGAAGGCTGAACTGTCAGCAATGTCTATGAACATTACATCAAAACTAACGGAATATAATAAAAAATTGGAAGCTAATGATTTAGAAATGTCTCACCTGAAAGCATCCCTTACAGAAGTGCAACAAAAGCTTGCAGTTCAAGAGCAAAACAATATCATTAACGATATTGAAATTGTTGGAATTCCTGAAAACGATAATGAAAATTTACAGCATATCACCATAACCACAATGCGTAAGTTTGGTGTTGAGATATCAGACACCGACCTCGATCACGTATTCCGCGCTGGTTACCGTCGCCTGGATGCTTCTTCAACGGCAGCAAAAAACAAAATTTCGCGTCCTATTGTTGTAAAGCTGTTGAGACGACGGAAACGTATGGAACTTTTAAAAGCAGCAAAAGCTAGGCGAAACACTACGACTGAAAATATTGTAGATGGACCACCGAAAACAATTTATATCAATGAACGCCTAACTTATAGTAATCGTCAGTTATTTCGCCAAGCCAGATCACGCGCGCAGTGCTGCGGCTTTCAATATTGTTGGATACGTGATGGATCGATATTCATTCGTAAAGCAAACGGAGCGCCGGCTATCCATATCAGATGTTTTGAAGACCTCGACCTGCGAATGGAAACATCGGGAATGCAGGTGCAATACACTGAATCGAAACTAAAATAATGGTATGGTGTGTTGTTGTGTTCGCTCCCATTTTGTAAGGGTAATATTTTTTGGAAAACTTGTATATCGATTTATATTGACTCCTACATTGTTGATTGAGTCTTTTGTTTTTATACAATATTCATTAATTCTTATTATGTATACAATACAGATCATTAATTTTTCATCAATCTCACACTTACACATCCACCTACATAATCACTTCATGAATACTAAATATATACAGAAATATACTTGGCGTTATATTTTAGTTGTAAAATACAGTTTATCTTAATATATAAATATTTTAATAAACTCAATAAATGTAATTATCCCTTATCTCATTCACAATGACTGAAACAAAATTACAAACAGTAACAGATATCTGTGATACATTTAGCATAAAATGTCACGAATGCGAAATACTGGAAAATAGTAGTAATATATTGACTAATGCTTACAACTTCAAATTGTTAACTTTTAATATTCGTAGTATTTATCATAATTTTGATTCATTCTTGGTGGCTTTGGCTAGACTAAACATAACTTTTGACATTATTATACTTACCGAATGTTGGCTTGCTGAAGATCAACCAGTGGGGCAAATTCAGGGTTATACTGCGTACAAAACTAAAAATAATTTAAATAAGAATGGGGGCGTTGTAGCTTACGTACTTACCACTTGGAGTATCACAGTGCGAGAGCCATCGTTTACAGAAGCAGAGTGTCTTGCAATCGAATTGCCTAACTCCATTGTTGTTCTTGGTTTGTACCGTTCTCCATCTTTCAGAATAATTGATAATTTTATTACATCACTGAGTGATATAATTGAAAATTATAAGAAAACTTCGACAATAATAATGGCTGGAGACATAAATATAAATATTCTGTCTGATCAGTGTAATTCTGATTACATTTCTTTACTAACTGAACAAAATTTTATACCAGTTATTACCAAATCAACACGTAACGATGCATGTTTAGACCACATATTTATTAAGTCTAGAAACTTGATCGCTCTCGGTTTGGTTTGCAGAACTGATGTTACAGACCATGATTTTGCAATGTTAGGTCTCTGCTCAACTATTAATCGTACAAAGGACCCTAATAGATTTTTGCTTAGTACTGACTACACTGGTATCTCAAAAGAATTGCGTGATGTTGACTGGTCTTCAGTTAACAATGAAACAGATGTAGATAAAGCCGTTGCCACATTCTTAAAAAATATTTCCAAAGTGATAGACAAACACACTAAACGTAAACAAATTGGTAGATCGAAGTTTATACTAAAGCCTTGGATTACACAAGGACTCATTAGATGTATGAGGCATCGTGATCAACTTCACAATGACCTAAAAAGACACCCACAGGATTTAGTACGTCAACACATTTATAAGCGATATAGGAACTACCTTTCTGAAATTTTACACAAATTAAAAAAGGATTACAATAGAAAACTGTTAGAAAATAATAAAAATGATGCTAAGAGACTCTGGAAATCAATTAAAACAATAGCCGAATTTCCAAACAAAACTATTCCAACTGAATTAACAAAAATTAAAACCACCGTAGAAGAGTCTTTAAATTTTTGCAATGAATATTTTTCGAATATTGGGAAGAAATTGGCAAAAGACTCACTTATGAAAAACAATAAAAATCAAGACACGTTGGTGAAAAATATTAAAATAAATAATTTCGCTAATCACTCTTTTTATATGCAACCAACAGACGTTCATGAAGTAGATAAATACATATGTCAGCTTAAGAATGACAGTGCTCCTGGCCCAGATGGGTTAAGGCCCACCTTACTTAAGGCAATTAGAAAAGAAATAGTGGTTCCACTGACTCATATCATCAATCTCAGTCTATCAAATGGAATTTTTCCAAGACAATGGAAAAAAGCTCTGGTAATTCCGATACACAAAAACGGTCCCAAAGATTGTCCAGAAAACTACAGACCTATATCGTTGTTGACTATGTACTCTAAAATACTTGAAAAAATTGTAAATAAAAGGTTAATGGACTTTTTTGAAATTAATAAAATAATCAGTGAAAGACAATTTGGATTTAGACGTAGTAAGTCAACAGAAGATGCAGTTAAATTGCTTACAGATCTTATTTCTAAGCAACTTGATAACGGAAAAAAATGTGTTGGGGTATTTTTGGACCTCGCCAAGGCTTTTGATACTGTGTCAGTGCCTATTCTCTTGAAGAAACTTGAAAGCTGCGGTGTTAGAGGTATGGCTCTGGAATGGTTTCATAGCTACCTAAGCGATAGATGTCAGTGTTTGAGAGTTGGGGAATCTGTGAGCGAAGAACTATCCATCAATTTCGGCATTCCACAGGGAAGTGTACTTGGTCCGACGCTTTTTATTCTGTATATGAATGACATACACAATGTAATCTTGCCTTCTGCAGATATCATTTGTTATGCCGATGATACAGCAGTAATTTTTAGTGATCACAATTGGGAATCCACAGTAAAAAATGCTGAAATAGGTGTTAGTAACATACGTAGCTGGCTCGATAATAATCTTCTAACGTTAAATATTGAAAAAACCAAAATTTTATGCTTTCACAAATCTCGTACCTCGGAACCAAAACAGTTAAAATTTTTAAAAATCCACAAGGTAACATGCATTGGTCATCTTTGTACTTGTGAAAGTATTACAAGACAAAGAACAATAAAATATTTGGGTATTGATATCGATGAAAATTTATCTTTTAAATCTCACATCATCAACACTGCAAAGCGAGTTAGAAAAACTACTTATGTAATGAGACTCCTACGTGACTCGGCTGATAAACGCACTCTCCGATTAGTGTATCTTACGCTATGCGAATCAATAATATGTTACTGTATTTTGATATGGGGTGGCATGGGAGTAACAGCATTAATAGAACTCGAGAGAGCCCAACGATCAGTGCTAAAGGTGATGTTAAAGAAATCCTTCAGATACTCTACGACTGCTCTATATAAGGAATCCAACGTTCTGAGTGTGCGACAACTTTACATCCTTAGGGTGTCCTTAGTAATGCATCGCTCCACAATTAACAGTCCGCATTATCCCAGGCTGATGGAAAAAAGAAACCCTACTGTACACCAAACCTGTGTGAAGTCCTACTTCGCTTCCCGTTTACCACTATTCATGTTTCCCTATGTTTATAATATAATATTAAAAAAATGTAAAATTATCCGATGTTCAGTGAAAGAAGCAAAATTAAAAATACGTAATTGGCTGCAATCTCTAACTTATGTGCATACAGAGGATCTGATAAGACCTGTTTTCTAAAATATTTAATGAAATGCAAGCGCACAACACACACGCACACGTACACGCACACGCACACGCACACGCGCACGCACGCACGCACGCACGCACACACACACACACACACACACACGCACGCACGCACACACACGCACACACACGCACACAGACACCCACACACAACTACACACACAAACTATTACAAATTATTATATATATTTATATTAAAATTATATTTATCCATATTAGTTAATAGGTTCCCCAGATACAGGCTCGACCCATATGGGGACCGTTGTTAATCAATTATGTAATCTACTGTTTGAAATAAAGATTATTATTATTATTACCTAGATAGTGTAAATGGCGGACTTTATTTGCAAAATTGGTATACAAACGTCTTGGTATTTGTTAGTTTCTCACATTTACAAGTCAAAATAATATATCGGGGCCATAAACCAAAGAATCGTAATATTGAAAGAAAAAAATCTATTATATTAGTTCTAGATAACATAAATAAAAAACCTTTTTAAGCACGAATAAAATATATTAATTAATTATCTAGAAGGTACACTATTGTATAATTACTTATTGTATAAAGCTTAAATACCTATGTTTACATTATAATACAATAAACAGATGCGGACGAAATTGTATTTTTAATTGTATAAAATAAACATTAATCTAAGAAATGAACATTTTTAATATTTTTAATTCGACTTGAAATCGTCACTCGTGTAACTTAGTACTACAGAATATACCCAGAAGGAAACCTCTTTTGATATGCCGACAAATGTGTAAGGATTGCCACAAGATAGTTAAAACAAAAATTTATCTATGTTATGTGTTTTTTTTATACTATTTAGAATAGCAAACAAGCTGATGGTCCACCTGATGGAAAGTACCGTCGCCTATAGACATGAGCAGTACCGTAGAAATAACAGAGTATACTGTTTTGCCCATGATACCCCCCATGCGTTGCCATTCCTGAGGACTCAGGTGTTATTCTTCTGTACCCTGTAAATTCACGCCATATACCACCCTTCAAACCGAAACACAGCCATGCAAACATAACTGCTTCACGATTGAAATACGAATGGGACCCAAGTAAACGACTTTTGTACAAAATCTCCCTCTGGTCTGGTGTGACAAAGTCTTTATTCTCACCCTGTACGGTCCAGTGGCCGTTTACTGTGATTTCCCTTATTTTACTTCAATGCTAACCGAGACTAGTCGATGACTGACGAAGAAATCCGAACTCGGCAATTATTTACGTTTTCATTTAGAGTAATTTAGTAACAGTCAATATTATGTAGCTGGAGTGACAAATGATTTCACGTAGCAGTAAGCTATTCCACTTGTTATATGTGAAATTTTCAAAGTGTAGTGGTAGTGTTGGCTAGTAGTGCGGCAGGCAGCGGCGGCGGTCGGCGTGCAGGCGGTGTCGCGGCGGGCAGCCGCACACGTAGCCGCCCGACACGTTCACGCACGCGAACTCGCACGCGTGCGTGCCCACCGCGCACTCGTTCACGTCTGCACCGCACATTTTTTATTTATTCTTTATTGTACACAAAAAAAATACAACATATAATATACTAGCTGATCCCGTAAACGTTGTTTTACCACTTATTGCGAAATATAAAAATCGCAATTAAAATACAGGGGTTGATCGTAAAACGATGAAAATTTAAAGTTGTATGTATTTTTCAATGCTAATTTAGCATTGAAAAATACATACATAATAAAATAGAAATAAAAAAAATTGTCAAAAAAATAAATTTGGGGTAGGTCACCCTTATCATTGACGGGTATGAAAAATAGATGTTGGCCGATTCTCAGACCTATCCAATATGCACACATAATTTCATAAATATCGGTAAAGCCGTTTCGGAGGAGTTTGGTAACAAACACCGTGACACGAGAATTTTATATAATAGAAGATATAAAATATATGTACAAGAGGCGAGCTTAACTCTGTAAGAGTTCTCTTCCAGCAAACCTTGAGTGGAAAGGAGCATTAATTACTAGCGGGCAGTGTGCGTACAATAATAGAGAGAAACATTATAGATGTTTCTATTAAAAAATAATAAATATATTGACATATAGAAGTAACTCATACAATTAAAATCAAAATAAATACATATCTATATACAATAATACATATACATATATGTACATAGACATAAAATATAAGTACGTACATATACATACATAGATATAATAAGTTTATGAGGACAGAAGATGCTCTATAGATACAGAGACTATGTTCAAGTTTGCACCACTATACGTAGTAAAATAATTTTTATAATACTCCAACATGCCTAAGTCGATAGACTTAAAAAAAAACTTGGTTCTAAATTCGATTTTCTTTTTTTTATATTTGTTACCTTATACCTGAAAAAAGTAAACGAGAGGAGAGCGTTGATTGAAATAATAAAGAGTAGAAGAGGCAAAATGCTGGGCCACCTTATACGAAATGACGATTTTTTTAAGAGCATAATAGAAGGAAAGATAGAGGGCAAAAGAGGAAGAGGAAGACCGAGGATTAACTACATGGGACAGATAAAGGAAACACTAGGCGTCACGTCGTATAGGGAGATAAAGGATATGGCCTGGGATAGAGCTGGCTGGAGGAAGATGCATGGATTGGTTGCACCGACAAGAGGAAACTCTTAAATGAAAATGAATGTTACCTTATAACTCCGTCAGATCTAAACCGATTTAAAATACTTCTTTTATTTAAAAGGTAATACTTACAGATTAGTCTCGTAGAAATTTTATCTAAATCGGTTTAGTACTTTAATTTTTAGATCAAAATCTGCTTTGCCACTATTGAAGTAGGTTCTTTTTGAGACACAACATGTGTTCGTACCGAGGCAGCGTGCGCCGGCGGCGAGTGCGTGGTAGCCGGGTGCGCAGCCGCAGCGGTAGCCGCCCGGCGTGTTGGCGCAGCGCTGGCTGGCGTGGCAGGCGTTGCTACGCACCGTGCACTCGTCCACGTCTGCACCCACCAACAGCGGAATGTTAGGGCACATCTACCATCGTCCACATGTGGGGACCATGCCCACCAGTTAAGGTGTAATTAAACGTAATAAAAAGGCCGACAAGTTGGGTAGACGGGGATTAGACTAAAAAATGACAGGTCCTAAAACATATGTCACACTTTCATCAAGTGTCGTTAACTATGCCTTTGAAGAGTATGCGAAAATAAAACGACAAAAAGAATGAAGACAACTGAAAGATCTTAGGCATTCTAAAAAGTTTTTAAACGACAAGACTGAAGCATGGGATATACTCATCTACATTGGCAGCACACTACAGGCAAGACTCATAATGGGTGTTTTAATTGGACAAATAAGGCCAGTAAGGCATGTACTATAAAAGACGGGTCTATCTTCGGACACACTGTGCAAATTGTGCAGTGAGGAATCGAAATCCATGGAAGATTAGATATGTAAAACTGTACTTCGTAAGCAAATACGCGTATGAGTCTAGTGGGAACTGGGTATTGTCAATGACATCGATTTTAAACCGAAAATTTTTGAAAATTTTTTGAAATGTTGAACCCCATATTTGGAAATTCTAAATAATTGAATAATAATTGAACAGTTTTATATTATATATGTTGTGAGACATCTCATTACCCATACACAAAAGTGCATTATATGTTAGAGTTAATGTAATAACTGAGATCTTAAGAAACTTACCGTCGCATAAATTGGTTACAGCATTATAAGTATATCCAGGGTCACACGGTCCTCTTTCACTGTTATCCAAATTCGACGTTACGTTCACATCATAGTATAACGAAGATACTGAATCTGTATTAATAAATAAGAAAGTATTTGATAATAAAAAAAACTTTCAATAAAATAAAATTAATAGCAAAAAATTTTAATACAATATCCGGCGCGAAGGACTGTAATCCTTCGAGCCGGATATTATGAGTTCAAGTGATTTGTTAGAAAATAATAATGTCTTTGAGTGAATAAGTATTTATCTGTTGCTAAATATTCATAGTGCAAACTTTGTTTAGTACTAAATGTCCGAGAGTACTTACATATTGCTACAATTATTTTACCTGGTTTATTATATATTTCTTCAACATTGGTTGCATATTGAAGATCCAGTACCTCAGGTTGGAATTCGTAAGTAGCTTCTGCCGCGAAATGATTCTGTAGGGATCATGAAATAAGTGTAGCAAAATAATAATAATAATATTAAAAATTAGAATTTTTTTTAAACAACCTAGAATGACAAACAAGCTGACGGCTCATCTAATGAAAATTGGTAACCGTCGCCTATAGACATGAGCTGTACCATGGACTTGACAGAGTATACTGTTTCACCCTTGATACCCCCCACGCGTTGCCATTCCTGAGGAATAAGGTGTTATGCCTCTGTACTCTGTAAATTCACTGTTACATCCCACCCTTCAAACTGAAACACAGCCATGCAAACACAACTAGTTCACGGTTGAAACACGAATGGGGCAATGGTATTCAAGCAAACAACTTTTCTACAAAGGCTCCCTCTGGTAAATTAAAAATTATTCGACTTTATGGAGAAAGACTGTAGTAGGCACGTGCCTAATATTTTCCTTAATTGAAGTTCTTCACTCATACAAGCATAATACATGCAAATTGTTTGGACTTCTCGACTGTTTATTGTTGTAATTTTTTTAAAATGCGTTTTTTTCGTTAAAATGGGGCCGATATTGAGATGCCATTTTTCGAAACTTGATAAAGTTTCAATTGGATATTGCAGCGACATCTTTCTTGTAAGGATCAATTTGAATTCATTGACTTAACTTACTCAATAACTTTAATTTATAACACTTTATTTTATGGGTGAAAGTGGTATGGTAACCCCGCCTGCGCTAACGGGATACGCCGGCGGAGCACCAGTGAAGGGTGATAGATGAGAATGAAAACAGGCCAGTTAACCCATCATGATGAATTCATCAGGAATTAACCATGATAGTTTCCAGGGAGAACCGCGAGGAGGTCGACCTGGTTGGGCATATTGCTAGCAATGGGATTCTCAGTCTCCATTACTAACAATTCCTTTCCCCCCAAATTTAAGTTATTATAATTTAAGTTTATATTGGTCCATAAAACAATTCGTTTGCGAAATTATTAATTACAACATTAGATTAAAAGATAAGTTTAGAGAAATGACGCATCAGAATCGGTCCCACTGTCTCAATAAGAGCTGCCATAGCTGTATGAAGTAACGGTACTTACATTCGAGGTATTTTCTTCTCTACTACTATAAACTTCATTTTCTGATGCATCGTGACTGGAACTGCATTTCGGTAGATTTGGACACTTTCTTATCTAGCAACAAAATATTATGAATTAATTATTTATATTGTTAAAAGTTTTTTTTTTATTTATTTTTTTATACGACTTAGAATGGCAAACAAGCTGACGGCCCACCTGATGGAAAGTGGTAACCGTCGCTTATAGACATGAGCAGTACCATGGACATAACAGAGTATACTGTTTCGCCCATGATATGCCCCCCATGCGTTGCCATTTTTAAGCACACATTATATTTTTAAATTACTGGTTTAACTTACTTGTAATTTGGTCAAGAGACAAACAACTACAGCTTGCACTCATGTCACAGCTGCTCAAGATTAAGGGTTCCGAACAGTCTCAAAACTAGTCGATCATTCTCGACCAAATTACGCGTAAATTAAACAGACAGTTACTATAATACATTTAAAATATAATAAATGTCTTTTAATAATATATTTATCAGTTTTTATTGAAATTTTTAATATAAAGCGGAAATAAACATGCCTTAAGCTTATAGAGAAAGAAAGAAATATTTTTGTTCAAGTAAACTTAGATTTAAGCATTTTTAAATAGCAATTTTTCATTACTTACTTACTTACAACATTGTACATATTCTGTTCAATTATTATGAACATTTTGTTAGTGTATCTTGTATAAATAAATAAATAATCAAATATCCAATATAAACAAGGGCATGATTCAATCATCCTCCATTAAAAAGAGAAACACGAATGGGACAGGCATACCCAAACAAACGACGTTTGTACTAAGCCTTCCATTCTTGAGTTGAGTCGATCCCATTTAATCATATGTCCAATGTGACTTACCTCTATATGATCTCCGTAGCATGGCGTAGTAGTTCTGCAGCGGCGGCTGCGCGACTGTGTCCCGACACCGCACTCGGCGGTACACGGTGACCATTTTGACCATTTCGACCAGCGTGACTGTGTTTGCTCCTATGAAAATAATTTGGTAGGCGTTACAAGTACATAAAATTTAAATAAACTATATAGAAAAAGGGCTGTACAAAAGATTATGGCGTTATAAGGTAACAAACAAACTCAAGGGATTGTTAGTAATGGACTACCACGCCTATTGCTAACAATATACTCTGTCAAGTCGACCTCCAAATGGTCCCCCATGGCAACCATCGTGCTGAATTCCACGTGTATTCATCATGAGCTAACTGACCTGCCTTTTTATCCTCACCTATCATCCCTCACTGGTGCCTCGCCAGCGCATACCGTTAGCGCAGGCGGGGTTATTTATTTTACACTTTACTGCACCAAATAAAAAAAATACAGTAAATATTAATGAGAAGTGATACAAAAGGCGGCTTTATCGATTAGCAATCTCTTCCAGACAATCTTTGGATTGAGGACAATTTGGGTAGTGATGACCCTTCCAATATCTATTAAAAAAAAACAAACTCATAATATGGTATTAATAAGCATGTACAAACCTCGCACGGTGGCATGTGGCATCTCCTCGTCTCTGTGGCGGTCCCTCTGCACGCTGACTCGTCCACAATCACCCTGTCTGGCCGAGTGTTTTTATCTACGATCAATAACAATTTTTTTTAACAAAAGTTTCTTTAATAGATAGATATATAAGTTACTAGCACCCGGCCCCGGCTTCGCACAGGTGCAATGCTGATACAAAATATGTTTATTTACGACATCACATTAGAAACCTCTAAATTTATTTTACACTGATATTTTTTATTATCAGTGTTTCTCTACAATATTATGCATGTATTATACATATAAACCTTCCTCTTGAATCACTCTATCTATTAAAAAAAACCGTTTCAAAATCCGTTGCGTTGTTTTAAAGATTTAAGCATACATAGGGACGGACAGATAGCGACAGCGACTTTGTTTTATACTATGTAGTGATTTGCATTACTTACAGCACACAAATAACAACAGACATACATAATAAAAATAGATAAAATGCATATATATATACATATATACATATGTATATATGTATAACAAGTAACAATTGTTTCTTTCATGCGTATGCCACAGTAACAATATTGAAACTTCTATTAAGCATAACTAGATATTATTTTGCAAAATTCCATATCACGGGCTAGTCGATTAAAATTGTTTTGTTTAATTCTGCTACTATTAGTATGTGTGCGACTGTCAACATTTAAGAATCGACTACTATTACTTATTAGTAGAAATTCTACGACCTATTATAAGGAACTATCAGTCATCAATCTCCAACCGTTATTCAGTCTACGCACATGTTGCGACACGTGGTCCACGTCTAAAACGTGCCATCTTCGGGCAAATTAATAGATCGCTAATCATCATTAAAACTTATTAATTTAAAAATTTAATAAAATACATCGAGTTAGTTTTTCAATGAATTATCTATACTCACCAAATGGTACATTGTATTCGTCGATGTACTGACAGACTCTGGTGCGAGTCTGATGTCCGAGTCCGCAAGTCGAGTTGCACAAATTCCACGGAGTCCACGCGCTCCACTTGCCTGGTACTGGTTAGTAAAACAACAGGTTCTTTGTATATTTATTTACTACTAGCTGTCACCCGCGGCGTTGCCCGCTTCTTTTTTTTTATTATACAACTTAGAATGGCAAACAAGCTGACGGCCCATCTGATGGAAAGTGGTAACCGTCGCCTATAGACATGAGCAGCATCATGGACATAACAGAGTATACTGTTTCGCCCATGATACCCCCCATGCGTTGCCATTCCTGAGGACTCAGGTGTTATTCCTCTGTATCCTGTAAATTCACGCCATATGTCACCCTTCAAACTGAAACACAGCCATGCAAACACAACTGCTTCACGGTTGAAACACGAATGGGACAGAGGTACCCAAGCAATCGACTTTTGTACAAAGTCTCCCTCTGTCTATCTGTATAATATTTAGCATAAATAGAACTGTTACAGTCGTTATAAATAACATTGTAATGAAAAAAAAAACATAAATGAACAATACACAAAAGAATAAAATTCCAAATGTGATAAAAAAGCATAGACATAGTTGTTTTAGAGTGCGAGTGTGCTGACCTCTGACGGCGAGGTGGTGTCGGCGGTGGCGGGTGCCGGCGCGGTTGTCGGCCACGCACACGTACTGCGCCGCGTCCCGCACGCTCGCCGCCCATACTACCACCATGCTGCCGCCCGGGATGCTTTGCACGTTATTCGCGCTGTGCAGCTGCTGCGTGTCCTGACAACAGCAAATGGGGGGGGGGGGGGGGGGGGGGAAGAACTTGTTAATAATGTGGAGGTTAGTCTCCATTGCTATCAATCCTATTTTTTTTTAGTGGGTGATAATGGAATGGTAACCTCACCCGCGCTATCGGTGTACACTTGCGGGACACCAGTGATAGGTGAAGATGAAGCAGGTCAGTTAGCCCATCGTGACGAATTCAACAAGAATTGTTCACGATGGTTTCCAGGGGAAACCACGTGGAGGTCGACCTAATAGAGCATTTTGCTAGCAATGGGGCTGTCAAACTCCATTGGTAACAATCCCTTTCCCCCAAATCCTATCTATGTGTACTTGCAAAAAATTTTTCATAACATGCTTTAGATGGGGGGAAAGGGATCGTTAGTAATGAGGTATAATAGCACCATTGCTACCAATATACCCTCTCAGATCGATCACTACGCGGTTCCCCCTGGAATCCATCATGGTTATTTCTTGTCGAATTCATCATGGTGGGCCAACTGACCTGAATTCATTCTCACCTATCATCTTCTACTGGTGCCCCGCCGGTGTATACCGATAGCGTAGGCGGGACTTATTTTTAATAGGTGATGATGAAATAGTAACCCCACCTGCGCTATCGGTATACGCTGGCGGGGCACCAGTGAGAGATGATAGGTGAGAATGAAAAGACAGGTTAGTTAGCCCATCGTGATGAATACACTTGGAATTCAGCACGATGGTTTCCAGGGGGGACCACGTGGAGGTCGACCTGTTTGAGTATATTGCTACCAATGGGGTCCTTAGACTCCATTATTCACAATCCCTCCCCCCCCCAGCGCGGGCGGGGTTACCACTCCATTATCACCCATTAAAGAAAAAAAGCATAATCCAGACAGAGTATTTAAAATAAAGTACCTTCAACCAAGTAATCTTCGGTGGAGGGTGGCCGTCCGCTTGGCAGCTCAACACGATGCTCCCCCTCAGCGGCACCACGTGGTGTTCCACATTATTGTTCCCCACATTCGCCACGATGGTAGGCGGCTTCTCCACGGTCACATCGAATACCACTTCAGTGGTGCCCACTTTGTTTGTCATTATGCAAGAATACTTCCCACTGTCCGATATTTCGGTGCTGTTTATTAACTAAAAAAAAAAGTTATTTCTTAAAATCAATGTCAAAACTGTAATGATCAGATAAACTGTGTTCTATTATTTCTTAAGATTCAACCACCCCTGACAGTCTGATTTTGACAGCCCCATTGCCAACAATATGCCCTATTAGATCGACCTCCACGTGGTTCCCCCTGGAAACCATCGTGAACAATTCTTGTTGAACGCGTCACGATGGGCTAACTGACCTGCTTCATCCTCACCTATCATCCTTCACTGGTGCCCCGCCGGTGTATATCGATAGCGCGGGTAGGGTTACCATTTCATTAGCACCCATTTAAAAAAAGAGAGGTGACTAAGGAGGGCTAGGCATGGGCAGCAGCGTCCCTCTTAAAACATCTCTAAAGCCTAACTGCGGTTGCCAATCCGCTTACCAAGCGTGGCAACTAGTTACAAAACCCCCAAGAGGAGACCTTAGTTCACTAGTGGACAGTTAAAGGTTAATTAAGATTTGCTAAAGATACGAACGTATTTTAAATACAGTCTAAAACATCGTATCTTGCTATTTTGAAGTTGATAATAAAAGAATGAATAAAATCTTTAATGAATGATAACTTTATTTGCTAATATATAATAAATGATAACTTTGTACAAAAGTCTGTCCTCTGTCCCATTCCATTTCTACCGTGAAGCAGTTGTGTTTGCATGGCTGTGTTTCGGTTTGAAGGGTGGGATATGGCGTCAATTTACTGGGTATGGAGGAATAACACCTGAGTCCTCAGGAATGCAACGCATGGGGGGTATCATATTGGGTACTGCTCATGTCTATAAGCGACGATTATCACTTTCCATCAGGTGGGCCGTCAGCTTGTTTGCCATTCTAAGTAGTATAAAAAAAAATTAAATTCCTTTGGGTGGGGAAAGAATTATTACGAAAAGTAACTAGCTTTTGCCCAATTTTTACATGTAGATTTTAGACGTTGGAAAACCAATGAAACAGACCGCTTCGCGTGTTAAGATGAATGTATATATATTTTCTCTAGAAAGAGAAAGTATGGGGTTTTTCAAAAAGACTATATTAAAATTTCTTCAAGGTCGGCAACGTGCACGTAACAGTCGTAGTGTTGCAAGCGTCCATAGACTACAGTGACTGTTTACCATAAGACGGGCTGTATGCTTGATTGCCACCTTTGGGATATAGAAAAATATACTTTTGAAAACAAAAAGCTAGTGCAATTAAGAACTTACCAAAGTAAAGTTGTCATTCAGTAAAGCGACCCTGGAGTTGCCTCCGATTTCGACGTACGGATATTTGAGCCACATGACGTAAGGTAATGGGCTGCCTTCCACTGGACACGTTAGGTTCAGAGGCCTGCCTATACGGACGAACGTGGGTTTCAAACTTTCCTTTGGTGTCGGCGGGGGAACTGGAAAAAAGAATAATTATTTTAGAGGATTATAATTTGGAAAATGTTTGGACCTTATAATTGTAATATAATGTAGACTAAATACAGTTTAACATTTGCATACCTTTTTTTTTTTATACAACTTAGAATGGCAAACAAGCTGACGGCCCACCTGATGGAAAGTGGTAACCGTCGCCTATAGACATGAGCAGAATTATGGACATAACAGAGTATACTATTTCGCCCATGATACCCCCCATGCGTTGCCATTCCTGAGGACTCAGGTGTTATTCCTCCGTACCCAGTAAATTCACGCCTCTGCGGGGTGCTGCATGTTATGTGTCTGTATATGTAACTTCTTATTGTACCATGTAGCAAGCGAATAAATATGATTTGATTTGATTTGAGGTGCCAATTAAAATCGCCGTGCAGTCCCGCCATAAAATAGGCCACCCCTTCCTTTCCCGTTGGTGTCGTAAGAGTCGATTAAGGGAGCGCGAGGGATGAGCAGTAGCGTCCCTCTTAAAACATCTCTAAAGCCTAACTGCGGTTGCTAACCCGCGTGCCAAGCGTGGGGAAGGCTTATGTTCAGCAGTGGACAGTTAACGACTAAAATAATAAATTTAAAATCAACGTTTCTGCTTTTGCAGGAACTTTAAGCTGACTTTAAGGCAAACTTTTTTATTTCCATAACAATGATCGACTTCAACTAGACTTTATATATAAATGTAAACTTTGTTTACAAAATGTTGTTATTACTTGCAATCTAAGTATATGAAAGTGTGTGTGGATTATTGAAATAAATTTTCATTCATACTTTATAAAGCGCCATCTAGTGATATACTATTTACTATGAATACTTTTTTTAAGGGGAAGAGCTTCATACCAATCCTCCCCCAGAGGGTATGATGACCTGATTAATTATTTGTTAATTGTAAAAGGGGTGAAAATGAAATACTATCCTCCTTCACTATCCGTATATATATATAGACTGGCGAGGCACCAGTGAGGGATAGGATGTAGCAAACAGTTGGTCCACCAGGGGGGAAAGGGATTGTTAGTAATCGGTTTTAACTGCCCCATTGCTAGCAATATACTCAAACAGGTCGACCTCCACATGGTTTCCCCTGGAAACCATCGTGGTTAATTTTAGTGGAATTATTACGATGGGATAACTGACCTGTCTTTCTTCCTCACCAATCATCCCTCACTGGTGCCCTGCCAGTGTATACTGATAGCCCGGGCAGGGTTACCATTTTATAATCATCCATTGAAAAAAAAAAGTTGGTCCACCATGACAAATTCCAAGGGCAATGGTTTCCAAGGGGAACCACGTTGAGGTCGATCTAATAAGATATTTTGCAAGCAATGGCTGCCCCATTATAAGCTCTCATTCCTAATAATCTCTTTCTCTCCTACTGTGTATACTAAGTGACAGTTAAAATTACACTTTTACACTTGTGTTTCTGCCACAGCTGTGCTGTGCTTGTATATGCATAAAAATGACTTCATTGTGGCAAAATCTGATTTTGATAAAATTTCTACGAGACCAATCTGTGAGTATATCCTTTCAGATATTTTGCGAATCGGTTTTCAACTGACGGAGATACGAGGTAGCATAGGTACATAAAAAAAATACAATCGAATTAAAAACGTTCTTTTTAAAGTCGTTTAAAAATAAAGCGAAAAACTTACCTAACACGTCTACCAAATACGAAACGCTGGCATTTCCCACTTTATTTATGGCGACGCACGTGTAGTTACCCGATTGTTCGTACAGTGCGTTCCTGTATAAAAAAAAAAAAAAACAATAACAATAATTTTATCTTTTTAGTGCTGTCCACCCAGAGTTTAATGAAATAAGAAGCATCATAATCCAAACGCAGTGTAAGACGCTCTTCATTAGATGGAGTGACGATATCAAATGCATTGCAGGGAGTCAGTGGATGCAGGTGGCTCGGGACCGTTACTTATGGCAATCTATAGGGGGGGGGGACCTATGTTCAACAGTAGAAGAATAATGGCTGATATAATGATGATAATCCTTTTGAATTGCAACCAGTAGTGTCACAGTATATTCTGTGACGTTCACGCTTATAGGCAATGGATAATTGAAGATCAACGATTTAAGCGATTGTGTGAATATGAATGAAATTTTGCATACATATAGGTACACCATTTTCTACATCAAAATACAGAGTACTTTTCGGGGAAAACAAATGTTACAGTCTGGAAAAATATTTTACCTGTCTTCGACGTGTGAAAAATCTTCAATAAAACAGAGGTTCTACCATGATATGTTTTCCGAAATTTCGGAGCCGAACGAAACACAAATTTGATGTTAAAATTACATAATACTTACCGTTTAAAAACATTAAAAATATTAAAATATTATACCATTGGACTTTTATGGTAGGATTTATGACGAAATGTTAAGCTCCATTTGCTGGGCCGATTTATGTATAAACGAAAACACGAAATTGAGTCCGAAACTTCAGAATTTCATTTCATGGTAGGCCCCCAGGATAGGAGAACAGGACGGAGTGCGTAGAATACTTATCCATTAAAAATCATACGCGACACCAGAGACCGAAGTCGTAGGAACATTTGCAATGGTATTCTATATAGGCGTTGGTTACCGCTTTACATCAGGTAAGCCGTCAGCTTATTTGCTTAATTTTTTTTTACAACTTAGAATGGCAAACAAGCTGACGGCCCATCTGATGGAAAGTGGTAACCGTCGCCTATAGACATGAGCAGTACCATGGACATAACAAAGTATACTGTTTCGCCCATGATACCTCCCATGCGTTGCTATTCCTGAGGACTCAGTTCTAAGTCCTAAGTTCAATGTAAAAAGTATGAAGAAATATATCTTACCTAGAGGTAATAACTTCCCCATAGTCCGCCGTCACCATGGTGTCATCGTACAAGGTGAGCGGGAGGTCGTCCTTGAACCAGTAGACCTCAGGCGTGGGGTTGCCGTACGGGTGGCAGTGCAGGTAGAACGACTGTCCAGACACCACCTCCATATGTACCACGCCACTGGTCTGGTTATCATCTTGGAAGAGAGTTTGGAAAATTTTCGGCGGTTCTGAAAATTTGTTAATTCCTCATTGTTATCGTATGAAACATTTCCTTTATTTTTATTTAAACTTTATTGACTAATAAAATGTAAAATACAAAAGAGGGAGACTTTGTACAAAAGTCGTTTGCTTGGGCACCTCTGTCCCATTCGTATTCCAACCGTGAAACAGTTATATTTGCATGGCTGTGTTTCGGTTTGAAGGGTGGGATATGACGTGAATTTACAGGGTACAGAGGAATAACACCTGAGTCCTCAGGAATGGCAACGGATGGGGGGTATCAAGGGCGAAACAGTATACTCTGTTATATCCATGGTACAGCTCACGTGTATAGGCGACGGTTACCACTTTCCATCAGGTGGGCCGTCAGCTTGTTTGCCATTCTAAGTTGTGTAAAAAAAAAATAAGCCATACAAGCACAACTGCTTCAAGACAGAAACACTGGTGGGACAAAAGTACCTACGCAAAATCGTCCCGCATAGGTAGCTTTGCGCTAAAATATTTGTAGCACGAACCTTAAGAGAAACGGGTTGACAATAAAATTGCTTTATATTATCTCTTTATCTCGATTTCATCAGTTGGAAAACGTAAAGACTACATATGATAGGATTGTAAAACATAAGACAATAGGAAAACAGGACAAAAATATAAAAGACGGATTATGATGGCCAGTAATATACGAGGTTTGTCCGGAAAGTACGTATAAAAGTTTTTTAAAAATTTTATTTTACAATTATTCAGGTAAATCAATTTTATCCCCTTCAAAGTACTCCCCCTGTGACATAATGCACTTGTGCCAACGCCGTTTCCACTGTGAGAAGGCTCCTTGAAAGTCCTCTGGTTGTAGGTTTCTCAGCTGCCCCGTCGTAGCTTTTTTTATCTCATTTATGTCCCCCAAATGCCGCCCCCGAAGTACCAATTTGGTTTTTGGGAACAAGAAGAAGTCACACGGGGCCAAATCCGGCGAATAGGGGGGGTGTTCGGTCACCGTAATGGAATTTTTACTCAAAAACTCACGGACAACAAGAGAGGTGTGGGCAGGGGCATTGTCGTGGTGAAGAATCCAACGCCCCTCTCGCGCCAATTCTGGACGAACTCGTGCCACACGAGCTTTGAGGCGTCTGAGCACATCGACGTAGAATTTTCCATCAACTGTCTGGCCTGGAGGGACGAATTCTTGATGGACAATCCCCCGAACATCGAACTCTTTCTCGGCCCTCTCTGAATCTTTTTAGCCACTTGTGGACGGTTGGTTCCTTCACAGCATCATCCCCATAAACTGTTCTGAGATCGGCAAAAATTTCACGGCCATTCTTGCCGAGTTTCGAGAGAAACTTGATTACGACGCGCTGCTCTTCAACGGAAGCGGGCTCCATGCCGACGGGGTTTCGTTAAGAGGTAACTTCACAGATGGCGTGACAAGCCAGTTCGCACCGCACGGCGGTCAGACCAGAACTGAAGCATTGTTAGGGACATAAGGAAGGGGTCCTGCGCTTACCTGGCCTCCCCACTCCTCTTTCTCGCATTCCAGAACACTTTTATACGAACTTTCCGGACAGACCTCGTAAAAGGCATACCTAAAACTTCAAGCTTAATCCTCCTCTCGTCGACGCCTGCTTCATTACTGACGATACACGAATAGACACCCGCCTGTGAGACCTGGACCCTCTCTAGTGTGAGGTCAGCGTACCCAATATCCGGAGAGTTCTCGCTTAAAACCACTCCGTTTCGTATCCACTGTATATTGGGCACTGGATTGCCGGACGCCTTGCATGATATCCTAGTATGTGTGCCGAGCTGGAAGTTACATTATACAATGCAAACATAAATATTTATTAACAATACGTGAACTTTTGTCTTCAATTTATGTTCAACAAGCAATTTAGCTCGAAAGAAAGAGACGACATGCTGTAATAGTTAAATAGGCCAAGAAAAAACTAGTTTCATTTTTACAAAACCGTTATATAAAAATCCTACGGTATAATCATAGGAGTATTTAAAGGTACCAGAGGGAGCCTTTGTACAAAAGTCGTTTGATTTGGTATCTCTGTCCCATTCGTGTTTTAACCGTAAAGCAGTTGTGTGCATGGCTGTGTTTCGGTTTGAAGGGTGGAATATGGCGTGAATTTACAGGGTACAGAGGAATAACATCTGAGTCCTCAGGAATGGCAACGCATGAGGGGTATCATGGGTGAAACAGTATACTCTGTTATGTCCATGGTACTGCTCATGTCTATAGGCGACGGTTACCACTTTCCATCAGGTGGGCCGTCAGCTTGTTTGCCATTCTAAGTTGTATAAAAAGGTATGGGCTGTACCCATCCCAAAAACTGTTTTTTTAATGATCGATAATGAAATAGTAATCTTGCTTGCGCTAACGGTATACATTGGCGGGGCCCCAGTGAGGAATGATAGGTTAGGATGAAAAGGCAGATCAATTAGACCATCGTGATGAATACCTCTGGAATTCAGTACGATGGGTTCTAGGGGAGACTACGTGGAGATCGATCATCGTCGATATATCGTGCGACCGTTAATCCGCATTACTAACAATATTTCTCTTTCCCAGTGGAAGAGAGCATCAATTTCGGGTAAAATTTACATAAGATTTTACATATAAATAACATAATTAGAAAAACTCATTGAATCCTACCTCTTTTTTAAATTGGTTTAAAAAGTCAATAACTACAATATTTTTTTTTTACCACGAAGGTGGAAAATGAGCATACGGCCCGTAACGTAAACAATTACTGTAGCCTATGGACGCCTGCAACACCGAGGATATCTCGTGCGCTTTGCCGACGCTGAAGAAACCTTAATACACACTTTTTGTAGAATCCTATACTTTAGTCTTTTGGTAAAACCTCGCAAGGGAGCTCATTGCACAGCTTGAGCGTTCTTGAGAGGGCATTCCTAGTAAATATAATGTATACCAAACTCACCGCAACTTCAACCGTGCCATTAGAAGTCACCCCGGGACCACCGACGAAGGTCACCAGCTCCTGCACCAGCGGCGCCGACACGACCTCCACCCTGTACACTAGGTGGGCCACCCCAGCTTTGTTCGTCGCATCGCATCGGTACAGTCCTTCTGAATCGCTCGACACGTTAGTTCCTACAAGCGTTGTGTTCTCCACGCGCCATTTTGAATTCCTTTTAGGGTTAATGACAAATGTGTGTGACATTTGGTACGGAATATGTAATATGCATTGAGAACCTAAATCAATTCATCATCATCATCACATCAGCCGTTAAATGTTCACTGCTGAAGATAGGCTTTCCCCTTTTGGGAGGTTGACAGTAATTTGTTTGGCAAATGCAGTTAGGCTTTTGGGACATTTTAAAAGGACCGCTGCTGCCCAGCCCTTAGTTATTAAGTTCCCTTAGACACCTACGGGAAAGGAAGGGGTGACCCATTCTATGCCGGGACTACATAGCAAAATTTTAGTAAGTATATTCACCATAGGGAAACTTTGTAGAAAAGTCGTTTGCTTGAGCACCTCTGTCCCATTCGTGTTTCTACCGTGAAACAGTTGTGTTTGCATGGCCGTCTTTCGGTTTGAAGGGTGGGATATGGTAGTGAATTTACGTGGTACAGGGGAATAACACCCGAGTTCTTAGGAATGGCAACGCATGGGGGGTGTCTTGGGCGAAACAGTATACTCTGTTATGTCCATGGTACTGCTCATGTCTATAGGCGACGGTTACCACTTTACATCAGGTGGGCCGTCAGCTTGTTTGCCATTCTAAGTTGTATAAAAAAAAGTAAGTATATTTGGTAAACTCAATAGTAAACTCGCAAACAAAGTGGTAAACAGCTAGTAATTTAATAAACAATAATAATTATTAATATAATGTATGCTTACGTAAAAGTCCATTTGATATCGGGTATGGGCGAACCCTTCGCATCGCAGCTCAGTGTCGCATTCGATCCATCTTTGAGTTGGACGTCCAGTAGATCAAACTCCGAAATAAAAGGTGGCACTGAAAATTTATTTACAACAAAAAATTTTACAACTTTAAACAGAAGAATATAAAATTGGACAATACTAAAGTAAAATTTTAGCTGTTTTTTTTTTTGTTTAACGACGCCACCAATATCTATGAACTTTGGAAAACAACTAAAATAAAAAAAAAAATGAAAAATTAAAATTTTCATAACTACTTTCTTTGAACTTTGTAACCTATGCCTTTCTTCATCCCAAATAATATATTTGAGATGGAAAATCATATATCTTATCTATGTATATATACAAGACAAATATTGAGCTCGATTCCAAAGTGCCATTTCACTAAACAAGGGTTTCTCAAAGTATTGGCAGTCATGGACCATTTAAACATTTAAACGAATGGTCGTAAAATTTAAGAAATAAGAAAAAAAGCCGTTCTTTTATATTAAAACAAAAAAAAAACTTTTATTGATAGCTTCATTACACTTACTACTTATTTAATGAGAAGGCGGCTATTTGGCGAATTCAATAGATTCTACTGAATTCGCCGCCTGACGACGACGACGCGTCTCGTCGAATTTATTATACAATTTTCTAATAAATATTAACTGACTTACTGCTATCCTCTGATACCCTGATAAACACGCTACGGACCCCCTACGGGTCTGTGGACCCACTTAAAGAAACCCTGCTCTGAACCTTTCTCTTAATTCAATATTTTAATTCGATTATTTCGCGCAATTACTATTATATGGATTATCATAAACTAAATTTATTATAATTTAGCATAAAACTGTTAGAAAAATAATTCCTATTGGTCCTTACAATAAAGATTTCACATCAAATCGGAATTTCAATTTTAAAGTTAAATTTAGAGAAATCTTTTGTTTTTTAGTAGAATTTTTAGTATGAATTAACACATTCATCATCATAGCAGACTTTAAATATCCACTGTTGAACATAAGCCTCCCCTTTAGGGGGTTTTGCCAGTAGTTATCAACAGGCCTCCCTTAGTGGGGGGAAAGAAATTGTTAGTAATGGGGTCTAATAACCGTTTTTATCGAATTCATCATGGTGGGCCAATTGACCTGCATTCATTCTCACCTATCATCTTGTACTGGTGCCCCGCCGGTGTATACCGATAGCGCGGGCGGGTTTACCATTCCATTATCACCAATTAAAAAAAAAGCCTCCGTTAGTGGACTCTTACGACACCCACGGGAAAGGAAGGGGTGGCTTATTCTATGCCGGGATCCCGCAGCTAACTCATACTGACCTAAAACATCCAGGGTGAAGCGTCTAGACACAGTCCCGTGTTGATTGTTCACGATGCATTTGTATGTGCCCGTGTTATGTACTTGTGTGTTGATTAACTTCAATCGCGGCTTGTCTTCGAATAACAACACTCGGGAGTTGAATAGCCATTTTGTCTAAAAGAAACGTAAGGTAGCAACCGATTCAATCAAGGGTGAAATAATAATAGTAATAAATATTTTTTTTTATTCAAATAAACTTAACCCTTAAAAGCCTGATTTTTTAAATCAAATTATAAATATATAAATGTACGCTAATGGAGAATAATAGTAAAAAAAAATCAAAACGATATTTTTATATATTTGTTTTGAAAAAAAACATTTGGTAGCATGTAAACAGCCAAATATTAAAATAAAATCGATTGTAGGCGCCCAATGAGATTTATAACCCCGGTATCAAATTTGAAACTTCAGGTATTTAAGGGTTAATAATAAGCATTTTTGGGTAGTAATATTTTTAACAAACTACAGCCCAGTTCGAAATGGAATTTCAATTGAGAAGAACTGGCAAGAAACACAGCTGTTGCTTTTTCAATGAAAGTTAAGTTTACAATAAAAAATTATGAATAGAGAAAATGATTATCACAAACTTCGTATTGATAAAAGAAAGAAAAAAAGGCTACCAAGCTACAATCAATCACAGTATTCTTGAAGAGACCAGACCCTAAATCTAATATTAATAAAATTTAAATTTAAGGATAATTAATTTAATTAAATCAATAAATTAAAGTTAATATACAATTTCTTAAATACTGTTATTAATTATGAATAATCTCCCAACGCAACACACCGAGGCAGTGTACCCATGATACTGGCAGCATTACCTCTTTGGATTGCTAAACTTATCTTTTGCGCAAAGTAATAGCTCTCGGGTCACCAGTAACCTTGATGAGGCGTGCTGCGATCGTTCGATAAAAATTCTTTGAATCTTGACCCCAAATTTTGATAAATTTTTAAATTTAAAATAATAGTAATCTAAATCATCAACAATTTAAGATATTGTTTTACCAATGAATGTAAATATTTTTAATAAGAAAGAAGCATACAACAAAGACAAATAAATATTTCGACCGTCTCACACTAATATGGCACATCAAGATGTTAAATAGTGTGGAGAACAAATATTTTTTCTCGTTTTTGTATTTTTTATTTTTATACTACATTTATTACTATTTATTTTACACGGGATTGTAGGAAATGAATGAAATGCCCGTTAAACAATGATCATTTTTAAACACATGTTATATTTTTTTTAAACAAAGGTTATATTGGCGCCCAACGTGGGACATGTATACAAAGATATATAAATATTATATATTAATTTATCTCTCTTTATGATGGATACTTCGTACACTACCCTACAATTGTAATTGTAATTTTTTATGGTTCCAATAAATACATTTCTATTTTTATTTCTAATATAATCGTTAATCGTTACTTTGTGGAGTATACAGAAAAAGGTGAGTGTCAAAGGTGTGTTTATAATACCTTTATAGCGTCAAAACTGATCACGCAATGAAAAGTTTAGTCATCAACACTTATCACATTAGAAAAAAAGCTGCCCAATTGAAAACTTCCTCCTTTCGAAGCTGGTTAAAATATTACCTTAGCCTCTGGCTTCGCGTCCACCTCACAGTCGAAATACCAATCGTCTCCCCTCACAACCTCCACATCTCCCGTCGGTTCGTTCAGGAAGGCTGGTGGCCACTCGGGGCGTAATACTACGGTAGCAGCGACAGAAGTGGCCGCGTTTGACACCACGCACGCGTAGGTCGCGCCACCGCTGCGGGACACATTGTGAAGCGATAGTTGCTGGCCTTCGGTTACTAGGACTGCATCCTATAAATATTACAATAAGTATAGATACTTATTATATTCTTTTGCTTATTGCATTGGAAATTAAAAATAAAAGTATGCTCGTGCATTCTTTCGTTGTTTTGTTACTAAATATATCATTGTTATTCACGACTTCATTTTTGAAAAAAGTCTGTTCTATTTTCAAAGTTAATAAGTAGAATTTAAATTAAAAAAAAACTGTATTAAATTCCAGATTGAAATTTGGAATGGCAAACAAGGCTGCCTTATGAAAAGTGACAACGGTCGCCTATAGACCTGAACAACATTTTAAATCTTACATAATACACATATTCCCCGTGTGGTCCCAGCATACAATAGGCCACCCCTTCTTTTCCCTTAAGTATTGTAAAAGGCGCTAAGGAAACTTAAATGATAGAGGGATAGGCAGCAGCGTCCCTCTTAAAATATCACCAAAGCCAGCTACTAGCATACCTCCAATATTGGGGGGGCGGTATGTTCAGCAGTGGACAGTCAACGGCCAATATGATGATGATGATGTGAAGCCTATGGTACCCCTTAAGTTATTATTCGTGCAGATAATGCCTCCATATTCAGAATTGACTGAATCGACTCTAAAAACATATTTCTATGGTTTTAGCGACTTATCCGCCGTACTATATAATAACAGAGAGACAAGTTTAGGACGTTGAAAAGTCCATCTTACACGAACCACTATAGGATTTGTATAATCCGCCAAATTTATGCATTAATTTATAACTAACGGACTAGTATTTTTACATCACATGTTTAATTTAAATTTGTTTCTTTAATCTTAATAATCGGGGGGAAAGGGATTGTTAGCAATGGAGGTTGACAGCCCCATTGCTAGCAATATGCCTTATTAGGTCGACCTCCACGTGGTTCCCCCTGGAAACCATCGTGAACAATTCTTGTTGAATTCGTCGCGATGGGCCAACTGACCTGCTTCATCCTCACCTATCATTCTTCACTGGTGCCCCGCCGGTGTGTACCTATAGTGCGGCTGGGGTTACCATTCCATTATCATCCATTAAAAAAATATCTTAATGACCATCAACATTAATGCTATATCCTTATTTAATTAATACTAGTGTCCGACCGAACTTTCGGTTTCGATTGCAGTTTCGGCTAGTTTCGGCCAGAAATTCTACTTTCGGCCTTAGTTTCGGTTTCGGCCAAAAATTAACCGAAACTTTCCGCCGCGCCGAAACTTTTTGTGTGTGTGTTTTTTTTTAATTTACTTCCAATAGTAAGTCATAATTTTAACATGTTTTACTTATAAATATATATGACATATTTGTTACATACTATAATTAGTGTTTATTATTAGCCTTTAACTATCTGTGTGTTTGTGTAAATAATACACCAGATTTCAGTGTAGAAGAAAAATTTTAAATATGTTTCAGTAAATTTCGGTTTCGGCTGTAAAACCTGTTTCGGTCGGACACTAATTAATACATTAAATTTGCATGTTTACAATTTCTATGCAATTAATCAGATGCCAAAAATTTCTGTCACATGACTTTTGTTGTGTCAAATGTCTGTTTAAAGCAAATAAATATTTCATTTTATATTAGTGAATTATACAATCATATCCTATTGATTTCTGAACGAAGAGATTTTAAGTAATTATATGATTATTTCAATGACCCATATCGAACCTTATACCATTTAACAACATCTCTGTAGGCGGCCCGTATGGGACAGTCGATGGTGACGTCGCTCCCCTCCACGACGGTGACCGTCGACCGCGACTCGTCTGATTGCACTTGCGAATGCGTCGGCAACGCTGCAAATAATTATACTGTCATAAATAGCTTTTTGGCCTTTACTTCATACGCAGCGGCGGCCTTACCCATTGCGAAGCTTCGGGCGGTAGGTCTTTGCGACCTTATATATATATATATATATATATATATATATATATATATATATATATATATATATATATATATATATATATACAAATTGGAAATTTTCCGCTGACTCAAGAAAACTATGTCTTATTTTACATTTTTTTTACAATTGATTTTCTTTATTTCTATATTTTAGTGTTGCTAATTTTGTTCATTCGAGATTAAAATGCCGAAATCGGGAAGTTTTTGCAACTTACCACTCGACAAAATGCCACTCACTTATTTATATTATAATCATATGCATGGATTTCAGAAATGGGAAAAACCAATGAAAAGAAATCACTTTAAGATAAAACACATCAGTGAGACTACTCTTGAAATAAATTCCAATTGATCGATATGGAATTGAGATGTTTCGCACTCTTAAATTTCCATATCAGCGACTTAATAATTCTATATTGTTCTGATAGGTGCATATTAGAGTAATTTGCCAATACAAACTATTGGAAATCGATTTAAATTCTTACCTAATTTATAATTGTTATTTCATGAGTGCAGTACAAAATTGTTATTGGCAATAGATTGTATTGATATCAATATTAAATTCAAGAGTAGACCTAGACCAGAGGGAGACTTTGTACAAAAGTGCTTTGCTTGGGCACCTCTGTCCCATTTGTGTTTCAACCGTGAAGCAGTTGTGTTTGCATGGCTGTGTTTCGGTTTAAAGGGTGGGATATGACGGTAAATTTACAGAGTACAGAGAAAGAACACCTGAGTCCTCAGGAATGGCAACATGGGCGAAACAAAATATATTCTGTTATGTCCATGGTACTGCTTATGTCTATAAGCGATGGTTACAACTTTCCATCAGGTGGACCGTCAGCTTGTTTGCCATTCTAAGTTGCTTAAAAAAATAAAAAAGACCCGCTAAATTTAAATTACTCGTTTAAGAATACAATTGTGATAATTAAAGATTGTGTCCCACAATAAAAAGCCGACTTCATTTGTGACTACACCAGTTATTTTATCTAAAAACTAAACTACTAAACTGATTTTGATAAAATTTCTATGGAACCAATCTGTGACAATAGCCTTTTAAATAAAAAAAGAATTTTCCAAATCTGTTTACGACTGACAGAGTTATGAGGTAACAAACATAAAAAAAAAACAATCTAATTTTTAAAGAATTTTATAAGAGTAAAAAAAGTAAAAAGCGCATCTCAATTGGTGCAGTAGTTTTTGCGTAATGTCAGAACAAACATAGATATAATACAGATAAAATTTCTAAAAATTAGTCTTTGTAAAACTACCCTCAAATACGTACAATATATTTCAACGGAGACAGTCTTGTTCACAACACCGACGGTATTGTTTGCGATGCAAGTGTACAATCCGCTCAGTTCTTCGGACGGTCGTTTTATAATTATACTACCGTCGGGCTCGATCACGTAACGTGAATCTGGAATTTTAGATCTGATTGTATTTCTCTTATTCTTAAAAATTAAAAGTTTTATTTTATCTGAGTGTTTTATCATTTTCTTTCCAATTTAGAATTTATCGCAAAAAAGACAAAACATACATAACTTAATGATACCAGAGGGAGACTTTGTACAAAAGTCGATTGCTTGGGTACCTCTGTCCCATTCGTGTTTCAATCATGAAGCAGTTGTGTTTGCATGACTGTGTTTCGGTTTGAAGGGTGGGATATGGCGTGAATTTACTGAGTACAGAGGAATAACACCTGAGTCCTCAGGAATGGCAACGCATGAGAGGTATCATGGGCGAAACAGTATACTCTGTTATGTCCATGGTACTGCTCATGTCTATAGGCGACGGTTACTGCTTTCCATCAGGTGGCCGTCAGCTTGTTTGCCATTCTAAGTTGTATAAAACAGTTAAAGATAATATGGCGGTATTCTCTTTCTATGGACAAAACACTTCAACGTCTAGAATAGATTGATTAGATGTTTGACGATTTTTATGAATAAGAGGTTAAATTTTTAATTTAACACTACGTTTGTATCAAAGTATACAATAAACATATAGTCTACATGTTCGATTATATAACTAATAAAGTTTATTTTTACACTACACCAAATTCACACATGTTTACAAAAACATGTTTCTGACAACATTTTACATGTGATTTAATACATCTAGAACATGTTTTCTACATATGTTATTCGCACATGTAGGAAACATGTTCTATATATTTATTTGTATACACTAAAAAAATATTTTTAACGTTATATTTTTTACTATGTTTACTTTTGAAAAACGTGCCATTAAGTATTTTAAATTTATTGTTGGTTTTAGACACATGTTTTATTAAAAAAATAATCCGTTTTATTGTTAGGATACTCCTTTAAATGGATGCTATTAAGTTTAGTATATAATGCTTGGTTTCAGAAGAATAGTCTCTAACTGCCCTATTAAAGATTACAGTAGCGAGCATATTTATTTTCATGTAATTAATATTTTACAAAATAATGTAAATAACTATAAGTATGGAACGCTAACCTATGTCCAGATAATAATCATCCTTCGACCATAAAATATAAGGTGTAGGTTTGCCTGTGACTTTACAAGTTACCAATAACTCGTCATCCATGTTAGTAGCAATATATGGGCCGGGAAAATCGTCTGCTACTATACTTGGAGGCTCTGAAATATAAAAAAAAAATATAAAGAAAATCCATTACTTTTTAAATGTAAAAGAGATTTTTTTCTAATAAGAAATGCGCTATATACATACTAGTAGATGTGGAAAAAGTTCGGTCAATCAGCCCGTCATGATTATTTTCGAGTCATTGCTATACTAAATTGAAATCTATTTACACAATAGCTGGTACCTAATATGGGGTCGTGTGGTCCAAGCATAGAATAGGCCACACCTTCTTTCCCGTTCCCGTAACGGCTGATATGATGATGATGAAGTTACCTAATATACATCTTGGTATTTTTAGGTTATTACCTTAGTTTAACAAAATTTGTATGAAATAATTTAAAAAAAAACTATAGTTTAAAAAAAAAATAGTGTTATTAATAACAACCACCTATCCTAAAGTGTACATGTAAATTGTAATCTTAAATCTAATTAGTTGATATTCGATGATGTATTAGGCAGATATCGATCTCAATTGATAAATATGTTTAACATTTTACCATTTACACGAAGTTGTATAGTCTTCTTGACAATGCCGGCTATATTTTCCGCCACGCATACATACAAGCCTTCTCGTTTAGAAGTTGCGTTATTTATGTGTAAACTACCATATTCATTGAAACTGAAATATATAAAAATTAAATTATTTGAGTTGCAGGTATCCATAAACTACAGTGATCATTTACCATTAGACGGGGCTTGTTTGCCACTTTAGTGGTATAAAAAAAATATAAAAAGTCAATAAACAAAATATGAACATATTTTAAAAATATCAAGGTTTAAGGTAATAAAAATTGCTGGAAATATCGGCAATAAAGAAACAGGTATGTAACTATTATTTACCTGCAATTTTTCATCGCGTTAAGTCCCGACAGTGTATTTAAATGTATCAACAACCAGAAATTTTATACACGAGTAACAACATATAAAATTATCTAATGATCTGCTAACAAGAGTTTCCAAATAACCAATTTGTTACTAACAAAATTATGAATGTATATTTGAAATAAATTATTATTATTAAACCAAGGTAGGACAAAAAGTTCATACATTCAAAATTTTCACACAAAGACACATTTTTGTTACTGCATACAAGAAATAGAAATGGACGCTGGATATTGCTGTCTTATTCTATCTTATACGTACGTTAATTTATGTACCAACAAATAAATTTGTTACTCAGTAAAATGTCATACATATGTACTTATACTACCTCAATGATGTTACCTCAGATCCGTGGTGTTTTCAGTCAATATTTCATCCTCCAATTCCCAAAATATTGACGGTACAGGGAAGCCAACGGCATCGCATTGCAAACTAATATTACTTCCTATAACTACGTCCTTATTCATCACTAATGGTGGATCAATGGACGGTGGCACTGGAAAACACGCCTTAAAATAACAACTTAGAGTTCAAATACACTTTTCATGTATAGATGTATTTATTATACATATTATTATAAAATAATATTTACCCCAAACGTAAAGCGTGTACGATACTGATGCATTACCAAACTCATTACTGGCGATGCAAGTGTATTCTCCAAAGTCGGTTAAGTTGGCTACAAACCTGCAAAATAAAAATATAATATGAATAAAAACAGACTTTTACTTATTAAAAACGGTCATTATTTGAGTTATTCATTTTTAATTAAAACATGTAGTTCAGGTGGCTCAGTATCGCTCCTAATAATAGTAATAAAGATCAAAGGACAAATTACAAAGCGCCATCTAGTGCTAACCAGCTTTTACACAAAGTCACACTTTGGTAATAATTTTGTTTACATCAAGATTATAATCATCTACATATAATTTTATAAATTATAAATAAATGATCTATATTTACATATATATGAGTTCTTTCTACATATATAAAACCATGTTTTAAATCAATATATACAAAACATGTCTTAACACATGTTTTGTATCTTATACGTAATATGTACAACAGTATGATACATGTTACGACTAACTTATAGAAAACATGTAACATAACTTATAATGAGCTTACCGTAAACCAAATCGGTCGACATGTTTCCTGGGGTCTACGAGGTCATGGCCAGCTCGCAGCCAGCGAATGCTTGGAGCTGGCCAGCCGTCCGCTGCGCACGCCAGTGTCGCCACCTGGCCTTCCACCACCTCCACTTCTATAGGCTCCGTCGACTTCACATCCACCATCCGAGGAGGAGCTGAAATAGTACAGCGTAGAGCTCTGTAGGATTTACATGTATACTAACTTTTACCCGCGACTTCGTTCGCGTGATCAGGATATGTTTAATAACCGGGATAAACAGTATCTTATATCGTTCTCCATTCCATATAGTACGTATATACCAAATTTAATAGTGATTGGTACCGTTAAGGCGCTAGAAGGTAACAAACAAACTCACTTTTACATTTATAATATTAGTAAGGATTTTCTAAGCGTATACTTAGTTACATTGTATACTAGAGCTCTTTAACACTCGGGGACTTCTTTATAACCCTTCAGCGAAAACTGTATAGTATTATAATTTTACCATAGACAACCAAAGTGAAGTTTCGTAGCGACGATCCCATAACACTCGAAGCGTTACACGTATACAATCCAGAGTCATATGGGGTTACTTCTTTTATTTTTAACTCGTTGCTGTCACCCAAATATCTGAAAACCAAATACATTTTGTGATTGATATGAAACTATTTATAATTGGAATACGATAAAATAAAATAAAACACGTACTGGGTTTAGGGAAGTAGTTTCGCACCAATAAAAATTCGTTTGCTCGGGTACCTCTGTCCCATTCGTGTTTCAACCGTAAAGCAGTTGTGTTTGCATGGCTGTGTTTCGGTTTGAAGGGTGGGATATGGCGTAAGTTTACAGGGTACAGAGGAATAACACCTGAGTCCTCAGGAATGGCAACGCATGGGGGGTATCATGGGCGAAACAGCATTTTCTGTTAATGTCCATGGTACTGCTCATGTCTATAGGCGACTGTTACCGCTTTTCATCAGGTAGGTCGTCACCTTGTTTGCCATTCTAAGTTGTATAAAAAAAGTCGGAGATCAAATTCAATATTGATAATTTTGATTGAACAGCGTGTCTATCCGCCAACAGACCGTGTCTGTTAGTGTTTTTTTGATGAAAATTATTTTGTTTAATTCCGCCATCATTAGTATGCGTGTAATACACAACACTAACAGTAGCGGAATTAAACAAAATAATTCTAATCAAATATCAGTGATATGAATTTTTTCGAAATTACACCTAGTTCAGTAAAATATTGATCGGCGCGGTGATCTCATTTTTCCTCATCTAGAAGGCGTGGTTAAACATTATCCAAGAGAGACAGGTAAACTAAGGCCGACGCTGAGGCCACGATTTATTTATTTATTTATTCTTTATTGCACAATAAAACTTTATACAAGTGGCGAGCTTAATGCCATATTATGGCTTTCTCTACCATCTAACCGTTAGGTAAAAACAGAAAGCGTATGATGGGCAGATGTGGCGAAAATATGTGATTCGTACTTGTCTACCTGATTCTATGCATATTCTTGACTAATACCTGGCGTATTCTTGCAAAACAAATGCGTTACACTCAGAACGTCTGTAGAGTAGTTTCTATCACCAAGCAGTTTTTTCCTACCTGGTGCATGGTGTCCCTGAGTTACTATTCTCCATCAGGTCGTTAGCTTCTTTGCCATTCCAAATTGCATAAGAAAAAAAAATACCATGTATAACTATGATAGGTATTTTTTAGTTTTAATTTATAATATGCGCAAAGTAAATAAACATTCTTACATGTTCTTCGAATATACTACCGGGCGGTAGTCCTTAGTCCAAACTACTATAGGTAGTGGATTGCCATAAGCTTCGCAGGAGAATTCTATACTCTTGCCAACTTCTACTTCTATAGGCTGTTCCATTTTTTTCAATTCTTCTTTTTTTATAACTAGTTGTGGAGGATCTAAAGATAAAAGTTATGCTTTAGTAACAGCACGGATTATAAAATACTACACTAGTCTTACTATACTACAATATCTTGCATCTTCTACCGCCTGTATAACGAATTGTGTTCAGAAGAATTCTTCAATATGATGCCTATAGCAACCTTTCACCATAGTACCGCTCGCCATCGGCAGGGAATACATCCTCACACCATAGAACCAGAATGGTTACGTACAGTGCGGTTTTAGAGGAGCTTCCTCCTACGAACACTCAGGTTGTGGAATGATTTTCCTATTGAGGCTTTCCCTAGAGACTACAGCATGGGGTTCTTCAAAAACAGCGTATTAGTTTCTTAAGAGTCGGCAACACGCGCGTGACATCTGTGTTAACGGCATCCATAGGCTGCGGTAACCATGTTTACCATCAGACAGGCCATATGTTTACCACTATAGATGTATAAAATATATATCCAGTATTTATTTATTCTCTATTGCACAATAAAAAATTATATAAGTATCGAGTTTAATATCATATGGTATTCTCTACCATTGTATGTAATAAATGTTTTTGTTACATATTACGCAGATATTTAATTAAAAAAGTATCTACAGAAATACAATGCCCGTTTTAACAATTTTTTCGCTCCAGACAAAAATTAATATTAACCGATCTTTTTAACCTTCCAGCAGCCTTCAATTTTAGGTCATTCTGGACAAAGTAGTCGCCAAATACGTTCGATACCAAAATTATATCAGTCAGTAGGTACATATGTTCTTTTAGCAAAATAGAAAAAAAATCTACTAATTTAAAATATCAAGTTCTAATAAAATATTGACAATAAAATTAGTAGATAAGTATAACAATATTTTTCTTCATTGTTCATAAATTTTCACAATATTATGTATTCACTACAATTTATAATCTTACTTACATTGTACGATTAAAGAAGTAATGAATTCATCTCTTCCCAATAAATTTTCAGCGATGCATCGATACACACCGCCATGATCGATTGTAACGTTCAATATAATGAGTTGTGATTGATTATGATTTGGTAAAATATCGTGTGGTAACTCGTGGAACGATTCAGATGTATTTTTTCTGTATTGCCATGATATTATCGGTTCTGGTTTCCCATATATAACTCTGTAATATAACAATACAAAACTTTACTAAAGGACATTGAACAAATGTCGTTTGCTTGGGTACCCATATAAGGTCGACCTCCACGTGGTTCTCCCTGGAAACCATCGTGGTTAATTAATGTTGATTTCATCACGATGTACCAACTGATTTACTTTCATCTTCACCTATCATTGCTCAATAGTGCTCCGTCAGCGTATACCGATAGCACAGACGGGGTTACCATTCCACTTTCATCCAATAAAAAAGACCATTTGTATTTCTACCGTGAAGCAGCTGTGCTTGTATGGCTGTATGTCAGTTTGAAAAGTAGGAAACAACATTAATATTAATGCTTATCAAAGAATATCGACGTACTGGTTATTTGTTTAGAATTATTTTGTTTAATTCCGCTACCATAAGTATGTGTGTGACTGCCAACATTCGAAGGTTGACCACCGCTATTACTACCAGAAGTTCCAAAACCTTCCATATTAAACATCAATCTTTGACTGCTATTTTGTTCATTTTGCAAACTTCAAGTGTTGGTAGTCACATACATACTAATGGTAGCGGAATTAAACAAAATAATTCTAATCAAACAGCCAGTAAAATGAATATGTTATTGTATTATATGTAGGTATGTTATAAAATCAATTTCTGATAAATCTCACCTACATGTTATTATAGTAGGATGTCCGCTCTGCACTGTAGTTGCTTTATGCTCTTTCATAATTTGTGGACTTTCTGAAAGTAAAAACCTAATATTTAATATTAATTTCAATTTAAATTCTTATATCAAATTTTTATGGCATTATTATTAAGAAATAATATTCCAATGGGACAAATATTTATATTTCACAGTAAGAATATTAACATTATAAGAAGTTCGTTTAAAAATAACATTAACAAAATGACAATTGAAAAGAAAAAATGTTTTATAGATTATATTTAAAAAAAAAATTACATCGATAATTAATTCTATGAATTACACACTAGGCATGCTAGCCCGTATTGTGTATTTCAGTTATTTGCATAAATTTCTTTTTTTGAAAAATGCCATAAACATTTTAGGTATTAAAATAGCCGCTGACTTAGAATCATAATACGAATCATATCTTATAACCCAACTAATAGATCTGAACTACTGTCTTAATATTACACCTTCAACGTGAGATGACAATGAAACTCAACAAAAAAATTTAACCTTCTAGCCCCTAACAAACGAATCTATCGACAGAATCGTTATTATTTTACTGAACTAGGTGTTATCTTGCGGAAGTCCATATCACTGTTTATTTGATTAGAATTATTTTATTCAATTCCGCTACCATTAGTATGTGTGTGACTGCCAACACTCGAAGATTGACCACCACTATCACTACCAGAAGTTTCACAAACTTGCGTATTAGCTATCAATTTCCGACTGCCATTTTAGTGTTAGTCAATCTTCGAGTGTTGGCAGTCACACACATACTAATGGTAGCGGAATAAAACAAAATAATGCTAATCAAATGTGTAGAATTGTTATTGCTAGCGAGTTTACGAGATAAAATAACATAGCGACGTCAGGTGTCTTGTTCATTCTCATGCGAGCGCTAACAGACACGTTTCTATCGATTCGTCTGCCACTTCTCTAGAGAGGTTAATCTCATTACCTATAAATAATATATATTATTACAATGAAAAAATATTAAATAATTAATTAAACGAAGTGCTAGTACTTAAACACACACTATGGGGGAGGGGGGAGGAGGAGGGATTGTTAGTAGTGCAAACTACCAGTCCCATTTCTAGCATTATACCCTGTCAGGTCGGCCTCCACACAGCCTCCTTGGAAATCATAGTGTTCAATTTTAGGTATATTTATCACGATGGGCTAACTGACCTGTTTTCATCCTCAGCTATCATTACTCACTGGTGCTCCGCCATTATCCATTAAAAAAAAAACGCACATTGTATTTTTCAATAAATACCAGCATGCAAACACTTACCTAAACCTGTGACACTTAAAGTAGAATTTACAATGAGCGTCTCAAATCCGTTATTGGCTTCACATGAGTAAACACCCAGATCATTAAAGTCCATTTTCAGTATGGCGAGTTCAGTGTTACCCTCGGAGGTAAGTACATTGTTATTACTCGTCACCACTGTACCGTTGTGACGCCAAATTACAGTCGCTTCTGGATAACTATCGACTTTGCAGCGAAACTCGACTTGGGAGTATAACTCCACTGACTTATCTGAAATTATTTATTTAATCTCTATTGACCAAGTTTACATTTATAATTTAAGATTTTGAACTGGCTTTCAAAAAAAGGGAAGTCTTTAATTCGGGTGTATTTTTCATGTTTGTAACCTCAAAAGTCCGTTAGTTGTAAACCGATTTGGAAATTTATTTCTTTATCTGAAAGTATAAATAGACAGAGAAAGAAAAAGAAATTCAAAAAAGGAAGCACTCAATTCGGTTGTATTTTATTTTTATTTTTGTAACCTCATAACTCCATCGGTTGTAAACCGATTTGGAAAATTATTTCTTTATCTGAAAGTATAAACAGATAAAGAAAGAAAAAGCATTTCAAAAACGGGAAGTACTCAATTCGATTGCATTTTTTATGTTAGTCACACTATCCGGACGGCACTATCCGGTAGTGTACCGGATAGTGCCGTCTCCTTCTCTCATTTTTATTAACAAGATACATATCTGTTTAATAACATTTGTTCATAATAATTTAGTCTTCAGCAATGTGAACTAATAAGGATTACCATTGGTTTCGCCATGTATTCCATGACGTCCATGATAATGATACCATGGGGTGGGGGGAAGACTTATTAGTAATGGAGATTACAAATCGCTATAATATATTGCTAGTAATATACCTTGTCAGGTCGATCTCCACGCGGTTTCCCCTGGAAACCATTATGATTAATTTATTGTTGAATTCGTCACGATGGGCCAACTGACTTGCTTCATCCTCACCTATCATCCCTCACTGGTGGCCTGTCAGTGTATATCGAAAGCGCAGGGGGGTTACCATTCCATTATCATTCATTAAAAAAACAGTACCATGGACATGAACAGTCATGTCTATAGGCGACGATTCCCACTCTCCAGCTTGTCATCCAATCCAATGAAATGCATCAAATTAAATAAAAAATAATAAAACTAACTTGAAAATGGTTCTATTAAGGTCATTTTTCTCCTGACCCTGACGGTCGCGTTGTCATACCCAATCCCTTCAGAGTTCTCTCCATAGCAGAAGTACATGCCAACGACATTTTCTTTAGAGCTGTTCAGTGTGAGAACACTTCTGTAAACACCCGGCTTTACAAGTGTCACCTGAAATCAAGATATGACACAAATTTACTATATTCACCAGAGGGAGACTTTGTACAAAAGTCGTTTGCTTGAATACCTCTGTCCCATTCGTGTATCAACCGTAAAGCAATGTTTGCATGGCTGTGTTTCAGTTTGAAGGGTTGGATATGGCATGAATTTACAGGGTACAGAGGAATAACAGCTGAGTAATGGAACGGTAACTGAAGCTGGAATGGTAACGTATGGGGGGTATCATGGGTGAAACAGTATACTCTGTTATGTCCATGGTACTGCTCATGTTGTTTGTGTGCTGTAAGTAATGCAAATAAATTATTTATTTACCTATCTATCATACGGCCCACCTGATGGTAAGCGGTTACCGTAGCCCATAAACGGCTACAATATCAGGGGCATTACGCGTTGCCGATTTACTTCCGTGTTGGTTCTATATTATTTTTAAATGCTTGAATTTGACATTTACTTTACGAAGTGAAAAACTGCTCGTTGCAGAGATAAATCTGTTATTAGACACACGATTGCGCATTCTAAATTCAAATATTTTGAATGAGCGTCTACAGTACACCCAGTCTTCTATCATTCACGACTGCTGTAGCAAGTTTTGCGGAGCAAAATGTTATTTTATAGTGCTCTCCGGAATTGATTTTAATGGAATTTTAGGTATGCATATCTAACTTAAAATTGCCGTGAAGTCCCGGCATAGAAAGTTCTACCCCTTTCTTTCTCGTATTTGTCGCAAGAGCCGTCTAAGGGAAAACGAGGGATGGGCAGTAGCATCCCTCTGAAAACATCTCCAAAAGCCTTAGTGTGGTTGCCAACCCGCTTACCAAGCGTGGTAACTATTGGCAAAACTCCCCTTATGGAAAAGGGAAGGCTCAGAAAGGGAAAATATTATATTAATACGCAAAATTGTATAAAAAAATTTGACTCGCTTTTTTCAAAGCATTTGTATGGAGACACTCCGTCTATATATTCCAAGAAATAAATATAAGATACTAACTGTATGGTTGAGGAACTCCTCCGTCTCCCTGTGCCATATGATCCTGGGCTGCGGCGTGGCGACCACAGTGCAAGAGATGTTGTATACCGTCCCGTTCAGTATCGTTATATTCCTCTCGCCCACGATGCTAGCGGCAGGCCTGATGGTGATTTTTAACTCCACTTTGTCATCGGCTGTTAAAATAAAACTTACTTATTACAATGACTATATATATCATATGACTATATAGTCATATTATACTATATGAATAGTATAATATGACTCTGCAGGGCCGTAGCTAGACCCAAGTTTAAGGTAGGCCAAAAGAACTTTTTGGTAGGGCAGAAGTCATAATTTAGTGACTTCAAAAAAGCGAATCTGTCTAATTTTTAAGGCCGGGGGGAAAGGGATTGTTAGTAATGGAGTTTGACAGTCCCATTGCTAGCAATATGCCCTATTACGTCGATCTCCACGTGGTTCCCCCTGGAAACCATCGTGAACAATTCTTGTTGAATTCGTCACGATGGGCTAACTGACCTGCTTCACCCTCATTTATCATCCATCACTGGTACCCCGCTAGTGTATACCGATAGCACAGGCGGGGTAACCATTCCATTATCATCCATTAAAAAAAAATTTAAGGCCTTTCATTTTAAGGTAGGGCATTGGGCCTATTAAGGTAGGGCAATGCCCCCCCCCCCCTCCCCTCTAGTTACAGTCATGTGACTCTAACTAAAAATCACATAAACATATCTCACGTTTTATTTTTCATTGCCTGAACCTATAAAAGTTTACTAAAATCGATTGAAATAAAACAAACACTAAATGTTAAGCGAAGCCAACCGCAACGCATTAGTGAAAACCGCATTTAAATCGGTTAAGCCATTTTTTTAAAATAGCATGCACAAACCTACAAACAGACAAAAAATCAAAAAAATATTGTTTTGGGTTCTTTTCGTTCATAAAGCTCCCCTATAATCGTTTTTCTTATATATCTTCCATGTACAGACAGCGACCAGTTACGAATTTATTATATGTATTGATTGATTGATGTACAATGATTATACAGAGTAAATCATAAATGTTCAAGGAGAAAATGAATATGTAGTCCTTCGAGCCGGACACTTACCTCTATTATCTCTTCTTAGCGCGACACATTTCCAGAAACCCTCTTCTGTTACATTTTTAATATCGAAAACAGCATTATATGAACCATTCACGGCCATTTCTGATACAACTGTATGATTGGGCGCGATCCACTGTAAGGTATCGGCGTTTTCCACGTGACAAACTAATTGTAGCTCTGTGTGTATTGCTTTCTTTATGATGTGAGGACCGAGTAATTGAGCTGTGGGCGGGGCTCGAACAGTTATGGACGTCGACTGGGTTGTTTCACCACCTATTTGAAATGTAAATAATAGATTATTATACCTGATTTTCACCCACATAATCCACATATAAGGGTCCGTTTTAGTACATTTACATCTATATATATTTATACTTATACTAATATTAGAAAGAGGAAAGATTATATTTTTTGTATGTATGTTTTTTTTTAATTGATGATAATGGAATGGTAACCCTACCCGCGCTATCGGTATACACCGGTGGGGCACCAGTGAAGGATGATAGGTGAGGATGAAGCAGGTCAGTTAGCCCATCGTGACGAATTCAACAAGAATTGTTCACGATGGTTTCCAGGGGGAACCACGTGGAGGTCGACCTAATAAGGCATACTGCTAGCAATGGGGCTGTCAAACTCCATTGCTAACAATCCCTTTCCCCCCTTTGTTTGTATGTTTGTAATAGATAAACTCAAAAATTACTCAAACGATCATTTAAATTCTTCCATCTATAGAAAGATACATTATCAGCGAGTGGCATAGTTATGTATTATTTTCAAAAAACTAGAGACCCCTCCAAAAATTACAATAATGTAAACCAAAGTATCAATAATTTGTCTATTAAAATTAATATAAAACACTATCTTTCTGTCTATCCATCCAAAAACCGGGGCGGACGCAAGTGGGGTGCCTGCGCTAACGGGATACGCTGGCGGAGCACCAGTGAAGGGTGATAGATGAGAATGAAAACAGGCCAGTTAGCCAATCATGATGAATTCATCAGGGATTAACCATGATAGTTTCCAGGGAGAACCGTAAGGAGGTCGGCCTGGTTGGGTGCTATGATATTGCTAGCAATGGGATTCTCAGTCTCCATTACTAACAATCCCTTTCCCCTCCAGTAAGGGGGGGTTGTACTATACTACCTTTGCCTGTACGAGGTTGCCACTCAAGAATCTTTCTTTATGTAGTAAGTAATACGTAGATCTAATTTATTTAATAATAAATAATTAATTAAAAATATATATATGTATTAATTTGTCAAACAAATCACCTCTATTAGCGGCAACACAGGAGTATACCCCAGCATCAGTTTCCTTCACATGTTTCATGGTGGTGTTGAAATTGTACACGCCATCTATACTCGGCTCCAACTGGATTTTATCTGAAAATAATAACTTTTGTTAACTACTACAGCTATGTTTTTTGATAACATAGGAGGCAAACGAATATGCCATAGACAACATAAAAAAATGCAGGCGTGCTGCTGGCCTTTTAGGAAGGAATACAATCTTTTTTTTTATACAACTTAGAATGGCAAACAAGCTGACGGCCCACCTGATGGAAAGTGGTAACCGTCGCCTATAGACATGAGCAGTACCATGGACATAACAGAGTATACTGTTTCGCCCATGATACCCCCCATGCATTGCCATTCCTGAGGATTAACTTGTTATTTCTCCGTACCCAGTAAATTCACGCCATATCCCACCCTTCAAACCGAAACACAGCCATGCAAACACAACTGCTTTCTTTTCTTGAAGGTTTTAATATCGTATCTATTCGATAATTCTACTACTGGGATATACTGATAGATAGTCTTCTGAGATAATAAATATTGTCTATGGTTTGGGGAGTCCCACACTACACGGTTACCCGGTCGTGGCGGGGGGCCGGTCTAAACCCTCGCCATCTGAGTAGAATGGGATTGTTAATAATGGAGACTGAGAATCCCACTGCTAGCAATATACCCAACCAGGTCGACCTCCTCGCGGTTCCCCCTGGAAACTATCATGGTTAATTCCTGATGAATTCATCATGATGGTCTAACTGGCCTGTTTTCATTCTCATCTATCAACCTTCACTGGTGCTCCGCCAGCGTATCCCGTTGGCGCAGGCGGAGTTACCATTCCATTTTCACCCATCAAAAAAAAATCCTCGCCATTGTTACGTCAGTTAAGTCGTTATGTATGGGATTTAAATATTATTTGTCTATGGTTTTGTTTAATTATAATTATTTTTAAGTAAACTTTATTGATCAACAAAATGTGATACAAAACATGGACTTAATGCTATACGCATTCCCTACTCGTCAATCTTTAGGATGTACAGAGGTACTCGATGACGGTTTAAATAATGAAATAATTGAATTTCTTTAAATTTTTCTTTGCATACTGTAATCACAGTCTCTTAAATGATAAAGTAAGCTAGCGGTAGAGTTTGAAAGGAAGCTCGTCGTCTCAGTACAGAGTCGACAAATTCAGCAGTCGTGATATTTTAGGACGTAAAGATTCCTTCTCTTAAAACAAGTGGGTTTCTTATAAAGAATTCCAATTAGCAACATACAATATCTCTGTCCGCTAGTTCCGTTGTAGACGACCTGGAATTTTTGCAGTAACACTTCGGTGTAGACCGTGCACGATATAGTGATCTCGTCGCCGACCTCCACCGTCCTGTTTTCAGGACTGATTGTCACTTGTGGTGGATCAACTGCAAGAGGCACACATTATGTTGTTTTGCCATATACATTATTTCCAGAAAATAGTTTTTTTTTTAATTCAATCATAAATAGCTAACACTATAAGTGTGTTTGGATTGAATCATGATTAAAAGAGGAATGAAGCATTGCAGGCAATTAAAGTACACTTATTTAAATTAATAAATTATTCAAAATAACAAATACATATTAAATTACAATTCTTGATAGCTATCTATACATCTATAATAGTTTTTTTTTTTTGTATATTTCTACTAATAATTATGGCAATTAAAAAATAAACAAAGATTAATCTCTCAGCCCTTAACTGTCTACTGCTACATAAGCCTCCACTCGCCTCTGGGTTTTGCCAGTAGTAGCCACGTTTCAGGCGGATTGGCAACCGCAGTGAATTCTTAATTCAAATATATTTATTTATACTTTATTGTACACAAAATTTACATAGTTAAATGAAGATATACAAGAGACGAGCTTAATTCTGTAATAGTTCTCTTCCAGCAAATCCTGAGTGGAAAGGAACATTAATTACTAGCGGGCCATATGCGTACTATAAGTTACAAATTATAGTGAGGATGGTGTTTACCTGCAAGCTTGACTTCCGTGACACTTTTGCTAACGCCGGCCGCGTTCTTCGCGACGCACCTATACGTGCCTGACTTATCTTCTGTCATTCTATCGATTATGTACTCCACTATTGTGCTCTGTCTGGAATTTAAAATTACCCTAGGAGTTCACTTTGAAGAGGGCAACCTAAAAAATATATATATATATATATATATATATATATATATATACATACATACATACATATATAATAACACCATCAACCAGGCGTTATCTATGAATGCCATAAATAAACACTTAGCTGAATGGTGACCATTTCGGTCGCATAATTTCTAATTAATTGTCTGTAAGAGATTGCGCTTACAGGCTTACAGGCTTTTAGCTATCAGGCCGTCTTTTGGATATGCACATTCTGAATAAATACTGCTTCTATACATCTTTTGTGTGCACGATAAACAGTTTATTATTATTTATTTACTCTAATTTTCCATCTAAGTTCAATAAGTACCTTACGTAAGTAAATTACTCAAGTAATCTATTTTATAAAAGTTATGCACGAAAAAAAAGACTCACAAACTAGAAACCTGCGGCTGTATCTTCTCATTGTTCCAGGTCCACGCAGCGGTGACGGGCACCAGACTCTCCACGTGACACTTGAGTACCACGCGCTGGTTGGCGCGAGCTTCCACCTGTACATTTAAGATTACATTTTATACTGGACTGCCCAATCTATGTCTATATTAATGTTATAAAGAGAAAAGAATTGTTTTTTTGTATATTTGTTTGTTTTTTAATAGATAAACTCAAAAATTACTCAACAGATTTTAAAAATTCTTTCACCTGTAGAAAGCTACATTATAAGGGAATAATATATATTATATTTAAAAAAAAAATAAGATTCCTACGAGAATTGCAATAATGTAACACAAGGTAACATAAATTTGCTTGTTAAAACTGTTGAAAATACCTATCTATCTAGCCATGCGAAACCAGAGTGGATTACTAGTCTAGTATAAAGTATAATAAAGGGTATATGTATTTAAAACAAATCGAATCATACCTTTCGAATTGTTGTTAGGTAAGGTACATCTGTAAATAATAAAATACATATTATGTATTTAGGTATTTTGAAAATACATAAAATAAAAAATCAGTACAATCTCATGACGAATCCACGAAGTAAAGTATATCCTTACCAATGATAGATGATAGGTGAGGATGAAATCAGGTCGATTGGCCCACCGTGAAGAAACCGACTTGAATTAACCACGATGATTTCCAGAGGTAACCGAGTGGAGGTCGGCTTGATAGGGCATATTATTAGCAATAGGATTGTTAGACCCCATTACTAACAACCCTTTCCCTCCTATACACTGGACCGATTAAGTAATCCAATAAAGATTATTAAGGAAAGAAAATAAATTGAATTTGAGAAACGCGACCTCTGTCGGATTAATTGGTGATATATAATTATAAAACAATAATTTACCCGGATCTTTTGGTTGCACAGCAGTCGTACCGACCCTCCTTATTTCTTGGTCGTCTTGTGCAGTGCCTTTGATCTGGTAAACAAATGAAAACTCCATAATCAACCGACTTCAAGAACAAGAAGTTTCCCAATTCTATAACATTTCCCAATTCAATATTTTTTCCTTTCGTGCGTGTACCATAGTAACACAAAATAGTTACAACTCAGTTGCTTTGCTCTTAAAAGAGCAAAACACTGATGATTTCGGTTGACGTCAATGTTGTTCATGTTAATAGACAACGTTTACTACTTTACATCGGGAGGGTAATAAAATTATTTGCTATTCCATATTGCATAAAACACAGCCATTTAGTAGACAAATAAACGAATCTATCAATAGAATCGTTTCAGTTAACGGTCGCATGAGAAAGACTAAGAAATTGGATATCGCTATCTCATTCTATCACATGGATACATCAGCATTAGCGATTCTATTACAATTAGATAGTTGTTGTTGGATCAGCCGTTAACTGTCCACTGCTGAACATAGCCATCCCCATAAGGGGAGGTTTTGCTAGTAGTCATCATTGCTAGTAGACTCTGCTGCCCATCCTTCGACCATAAGTTCCCTTAGTCGCCTCTTACAACGTCCACGGGAAAGGAAGGGGTGACCTATTCTATGCCGAGGCATACATAGTTACTATATTTACAAGTATATTAGTGTAAATCAATCAGTTTTAGAGTATTTTTATTTCATTTAATAGGTGATAACGGTGACCTCGCCTGTGCTATTGGTAAAAGCTGACGGGGCACCAGTGAGAGATGATAGGTGAGGACGAAAGCAGATCAGCCCATCGTGAACTCATGTGGAATTAACCTAGAAAGGTTTCTAAAAATAATCGCGTAGAGATTGACCTGACAGAGTATATTGCTAGCAATGGGGCCATTTGACCCAACGAAACAATTATTTTCTTGACAGTATCATGAAATTATATCTACCTACACCAGTGTTACCCAACATTTTTTGTGCCATGTCCCACTTCTAAAATTTCTAAAATTTTTATGCCCCCATACATAATTTTTCTCGACGAAGTTTACTTGACGGCTCTAATCCCCCAGTTGATATTTTGGTAACGTCAAACAAAATTATACCTAATAAATATTTACAGTTTTTTTTTATTTACTTTTTTTTTTGGTAAATTTAGGACCGATATATACTCGTAGCATTTAAATGGCTCGGAGCAAGAGGGTTAAAATCGCTTCGAATCCATTTTTTAATTGCCCCCCCTTAACTATCAAATTGCCCCCCTGTGGGGCGTGGGCCCCACGTTGGAAAACACCGACGTACACTGTATGAAATCTGATGTGTACAGGTAAATATAGATTTAACAAATACTTACTGCAATATAGAAGAAATCGTCAGGAGGCAAGAAGGCATCAGCTATATACACCTTATTTCGTTTGTCGAAGTACTTTAGAGGCACTTCAAACAATACCTTGCCGTCTAACGTTTGTATTTCGACGTAGTTTAGATCAACCGGCGCGTCCGCTCGGGACAGCGATATCAACATGTGATTGTATGTGCCTGGAAGTAAAGGTGGAAGTCACCTAAAAAAAGTGTAAAAGCGCATACACACACTAGAGGAAGGCTTTGTACAAAAGTCGTTTACTTGTACACCTCTGTCCCATTCGTGTTTCTACCATGAAGCAGTTGTATTTGCATGCCTGTGTTTCGGTTTGAAGGGTGGTTTATAGCAGTAAATTTACAGGATACAGAGGAATAACACCTGAGTCCTCAGAAATGGCAACCCATGCGTTGCCATTCCTAAGTATCATGGGTATTAATTATTCCATAGGGTATCATGGGCAAAACAGTATAGTCTGTTATGTCCATGGTACTGCTTATGTCTATAGGTGACGGTTACCACTTTCCATCAGGTGGGCCGTCAGCTTGTTTACCATTCTAAGTTGTATAAAAAGACACAAAAAAGAACCTTTTATCATCGTACCGCTCACCATCGACAGGGAATTTATCCTCACACGCTTGACCCTAAATGGTCACGTACCTACAGTGCGGTTTTAAAAAAATTCCCGCGAACGCTTAAGCTGTGGTACCAAGGTTTTTCCTAGAGGCTGCAGTATGGGGTTTTTCATAAAGAGTATATTAAGGTTTCTTCAGGGTCGGCAACGCGCACGTGACATTCCTAGTGTTACAAGCGTCTATTGGCTATAGTAACCGTTTACCATCAGACGAGCTGTATGTTTGTTTGGCACCTTCGTGATATAAAAAAAAATGGAAATCCTTCTTTTAAAACTCTGTTAAAAATGTCAAACCTTTGAGCGGTCTATAGCTGGTCTCCACGACGGTGTGCGGCTTCTGCACTGAGAATCCGTGGGTGAAGGTCAAGTTGGAGAGGCCCACCACTTTCACGGAATAGTCGTCCTCGCTACCTACTGTTATGGTCCAGTTCCCAGGCTCTAGCTGCAGTACCTTCACCACCTGAATGGAATTTCCATTTACAATAAGCATAAGTTGTGTATTTGGATTTTGGCAGAGTAGTTGAAGGATACGGGTAACGACTATTTATAGATACAAACAGCGTCAAGGAATTCACAGAATATACTGTGATGCCATGACACACCTTATGCTCTTTTATGGGATGAAAATAGCATGGTAACCTCGTATACGCTATCGATATACGATGGCAGGGTACCAGTGAGAGATGATAGATGAGGATAAAGTCAGCTTGTCGTGTTAAATTTAACAGTTATTAATCACGATGGCTTCCAGGCGATCCACTTGGAAGTAGACCAAATATTATACCAAGTATTAGCAATGAGACCGTTAGATCCCATCACAATCCCTGTCTTCCTCACCAGCGATGATAATTTCCAAGTGAGGATGAATTCAGATCGTGATTTCTGCGCGCTGACTTCATTCTTACCTATCATCTTCCATTGGAGCCCCGCCAGCGTAATTCGATAGCAGCAGGAGGTTGCTATTCCCTTAAAAAAAGATAGGTTTAGCAATCCAAAGAGGTAATGCTGCCAGTATCATGGGTACGCTGCCTCGGTGTGGTGCGTTGGGAGATTACTTTTAATTAGTAATAATATTTAAGAAATTGTATATGCCAATATTAATCTATTCCTTAAAAAAATACCTTCGATAATTCCTGGTGAAGTAACTAACTGACCTCATTTCAACATCATTCGAGCCCACACTGATTCCTTACCAGTATAATCCCGTAACACAGACCACGTATCATTCTATTGTCATCATCATCATCAGTAAACTAAGCTGAGCATGCGTAATAAGTATACTCACCATGATTTCAGATAAGTCCAAAGTGGTGACCAGTTGCGGTGGTCCCTTCAACTCTTCGCCGCTCGGGTTCACGACCTTGATCTTGGGCTTAGCTCCAGACACCGATACTGTTACTTCTGATAACGTACTGTCCACTGGTAACTGAATACAGACACCATTTATGTATAACTAGTATTTTTTTGTTTATTCTTTTGCACATATTAAATACTAGGGATCCGACCCGGCTTCGCACGAATAGACAAAATTTTCGAAAATCAATACATACAATAAAAAAAATTTCAGCCAATTTGACTGATCGGTTACTTTATAGCTTTTTATATGGGATTCTTTAGATTGATGTAACTTTTTTATTTATGAACCTATAGAAATAAAACAAACACTAAATGTTAAGTGGAGCAAACTGCAACGCATTAATGAAAACCACATACAAATCGATTAAGCTGTTTCTGAGATTAGCGTGCACAAGCGTACAGATAAACAGACAAAAATTATAAATTCATTCTTTTGGGTTCTGTTGCGTTCATAAAGCTCCCCTATAATAGTTTTTCTTAAATATCTTCAATGTACAGACATCGATCAGTTACGATTTTTTTATACGTATTTATATCTACAAGGCAAACTTTATGCTTAACGGTATTCTCTCCCAGTTAACCGTTACGCTAAACAGAGAGTTACCTGCGAGTGTTTAGTGATTGGGATAAAAAATGGCCTATATTCTTCCCCATCCCATAGAATAAGTATTTACCAAATTTCATAGTGATTTGTTAAGATTTAAAGGCGCCATAAAATAACAAACAAACTCACTTTTGCATTTATAATATTAGTAAGGATCCTATAATATAAAATTGGTACATACATATCTGTCACACCTTTCTCCCATTAGCATAAGCATAAACAATGGAACACTAAACGCTTCGATTCAAACAAACCTCTTTCGCTTCTTCCACATTCATCAATCTTTTCATACACGCTCGCCGGTTGCGGGTACTTTTAATTTGACCCTTCTTCAGCACGTCGCCTACTTGGTCGACATATGTCCGTCTAGGGTGGCCCCTACCGACATCTCCATTCATTCTTGCTCGATAAATCTCTTTCGTAATTCTTCTTTCATATATATCATGATTATGAAAGCAAAAAACTAATAGTTACCATAGTTTACTTAAACGATCGAGTTAATTCTTGTTTCTAGAACAAAATATAACATGCAGCGCGAAAGTCTATAAGTTAAAAAAACTTGTCTGACCTTGATTTAAAGCAGTCAATCGATTTGGATGTCTGCTTTATTTTACTCTAGCGATTTTAACTCAATATAGTTATTTCATTGACACAAAAATATTTATATGCGCAAGATAACGAATTATGTAAACAAAAGATAAGAGTATTTTATGAACATTGCAATTCTTACTGTTAAAGTATTGCAAGTTATATTTTAATATATGTAGTTACTACATAACTAGTTTTAATATTTTAATGGAAAAAGTTCGACTAGATTTGGAACTCATGACTAAGGGTCTCGAACGGTTTCTAAACTAAATTTTCTTAACTACTTTAAAGTTCTTTTCATTTAAGAGTTTCCTCTTGTCGATGCAACTAATTCATGCATCTTCCTCCAGCCAGCTCTATCCTAGGCCATATCTTTTACTTTAAACTTAGGTACTTTAAAATGCACGTAAGTTAAAACCGGTAGTTATTACATTAAAAAATTTCAATCCTTACCTCATGTGTATAATTTTGTCCGCCAGGCTTGATAACTGAGCCAAGATTTACACTTCTACCCATTATTGAGCTTCGCACGAAGTCTAGAACCTGACAAATATTAAAAGATTTATATAATGTTCAGCTTTTTCCCACTATTTCATACGACTGGATTTTTGAAGTAGAAAACTAATGAAATATGATTAGACGAGGTATAGCAACAAGATAAAATATATAAAAGATTTTAAGTTTGACCTTCAGGGACACAAATGTGAAAACTTGTGAAAAAATGTGAAGCAGATAAAATTTCTAAAAGTAATTGTTTTGGCATCGTGTTATCAAGACCCTTTGAATAATTTTTTTAACTAACTTTAATGTACAGGCATTGTTTAGTTACAATTTTATTATTTTTCTAAGATTACTGGACAAGAGACTTCGTACAATAATCGTCTGGATGGACACCTCTTTATCCACACGTGTTCCTGCCATGAAGCAGCTGTGCTTACATGGGAGGAAGGGATTGTTAGTAATGGAGAAGTTAGTCCTCATTACTATCAATATACCCTATCAGGTCGACCTCCACGCGGTTCCCTCTGGAAAACTAATTTATCGTTGAATTCGTCGCGATGGGCTATCTGACCTGGTTTTTCATCTTTACTCGTCCTTTTTCATCCTCACTGATCCCCCGCCAATGTATATCGATAGAGCAGATGGGGTTACCATTTCACAATTATCCAAAAAAAAAAAACTGTGCTTACATAACTGTCTTTTAATTTCATATGAACATTTTTCGCCGTGTGATATTAGCATAGTATAGGCCACTCCTACCTTTCCCGTGAGTGTCGTAAGAGTCAACTAAGGGAGGGCAAAGGGCGGCAGCAGCGTTCCTCTTAAAATATCTCCAAAACCTAACTGCGGTTGTCGATCCGTCTGCCAAGCGTGGCAACTACTGGCAAAATCCCCCATGATGCTATATGTCGGTGAAATTACAAAATACAGAAGCGAAACATCTTAGTTCTCAAACTCTCCAATATTAATTACATTTAACAATACCTTATGGACGTTAGTTTTATTCAAATTGAACACTTGTCCAGAACTGGCAGCGGCGATCTGATGGTACACTTTGTAGGACGGCTTCTGCAGGTCATTGCAGTGTCCAGTGAGCACGAAAACAACCTGGCAAACACATTAGTTACCGTATGTTATTTATTCAATCCAATTTCATTTAATTTGCAGCGATGGAAAAACAAACCCACGAGAAATCGGTACATATGTAGATAGACTCCCTATGTTTGATACACAGCAAAATGTGAACATCAGTGTTACGTTTACTTTAAAAACAACAAAAACAGTTGACTGCATCCGAGATGGAAATTTGAAACATTCACAGAAATTTTATTGTTAAAAGTTTCCTAAGCGTACATTATATTTTAATGTAAAAACTATCGGTTTAATTTACGTGTAATTAGATCGAAAATGTACGACTAGTTTCGGAATCAATTCGTGATCCTTAGTCATGAGAGACTGTGACACGAGCTTGAATTTGACTGAGACTTAGTCAGGCTGAGAAGTTAAACCGGTACTTATTGCATTCACAGAAATATTTGGGATACTAAGAAATGTAGATAGCGAGTGATGCCCTGGTGACCTTCGTCCAAGTGCGATCATCCATTTTTCGCATTTATTCATTTCTGGCTTTTTTTATAATACAGGGGCTAACGAGCCTGCGGTTCACCTGATGATAAGTGACCACTGCTGCCCATGATCACCCGCAACAACAGGGGCATTGCAGCTGTGCTGCTGTCCTTTTAAAAAGGAATATGCTCTTTTCTGTTTTGTTATGTTATGATGCTGTAGCGGTTCGCAAATACTGCTGCTGGAAGTTGATTCCAAAGAGTGGTTGTGTGTGAAAGAAAGTGCCTTGAAAAAAGCACGGTGGAGGACCGCCACTCGTCCAGATGGTTGGGCTAATTATAATAGCTGTCTTAATTCGTCTGTTTACTACCTTTATGGTCGTCATTAAATTGAATTTTGTTTTTTTTTTTAGAATACTACCATTGAAATAAGCTGTAAGAGTGTTATAAAAAATCCTTACCTGACTTTGTTTCCTTTGCACCTCATCCAACACCTTTCCCACCAGCCTGTGGTCCCCCGCAGTAGCGTCGGTGAACACGTAAAGGAAGGACCTTGGCCTGCTGACGTTCAGCGCGAGTTGTATACCACTCAGCGATTTCTCGGGACAATCACCGCCGCCGTACACCCGGACAATATTCAATGCATTTTTGAAGACATGCTTGTTGCGAGTGACAGTGGCTGGTCCTACCGCTGTAGGGAAAAACCTCTTTTTTGTCAAATTCCAAATTCAAAATTTTCAACGATAGCTTAATAAGTATATTATTGTATTTGTATGGTAGTCACATAATATACTAGTTCGTTTGTTAAAGAATTGGAAGAATGTAAGAAAGCATTATACCTACGCGAAAAGTAGAAGATTTTTTTAGAAAACCATTCAACAACATCGAACGACAGATGGTTATCATAATTTTATTAGATAGATACATAAATAGATAGATCTTTTATTACCAACAACAATAATTACCGGTTTTTTTTTTCTTCTTTTGGCTTTTCTTTTTAATCATTACAGTTAAAATAAACGACAATAAAGAAAAAAAATCTGTCCATAGACAAACGTTTAATTTTTACATTTCCTTTTTTCTTAAATTTACGGCGTGTTTGTGGAACGCCTTATTTTTAGGAAGCTTCACAAACAGAACGTTCTCATTGCAACATACCATTCAAATATTATCTTCAAATATAATACATAGGATAAAATAATAATAAGTAGCTTGTGCATTCAGCCAGTTTGGCATTCATCATTTTTATACATAATTCATAATAATATATTTTTTTTAATAAAAATTATCAAAGAAACAAGTTACGATGCCATAACACCTAACTCCTTAGGAACAGTAAATGTACCATACATGTACCATTGGCATCACCTATATTTTATGTTATCCAATGACCATATGCTGCTGTTTATATCAGCAAGTAATGATTATCACTTCCCATCAGGCAGGTCGTCAGCTTGTTTACTATCACAAGTTGCATAAAAAGTGTCTGGATTGCGATGAATATACCGTGCTCGCCCCGAAAAAGACTTCTGGATGAAGCCAAAACAATTCTCGGAAACAACATACATAGTAAGTACAATACATTCTCATTGTCTAAATATATAAATATAGAAGAGAAACTGATTGTTAGAAATGGGATCTATTAGCCCCATTGCTAGCAATATACCCTATCAGGTTGACCTCCACGTGGTTCCTCCTATTTTTTTTAATACAACTTAGAATGGCAAACAAGCTGACGGTCCACCTGATGGAAAGTGGTAACCGTCACCTATAGACATGAGCAATACCATGGACATAACAGAGTATACTGTCTCGCCCATGATACCCCCCATGCGTTGCCATTCCTGAGGTCTCAGATGTTATTCCGCTGTACCCTGTAAATTCACGCCATATCCCACCCTTCAAAACGAAACACAACCATGCAAACACAACTGCTTCACGGTTGAAACACGAATGGGACTGAGGTACCCAACCAATCGACTTTTGTACAAAGTCTCCCTCTGGTAAAAAGCATCGTGGTCAATTATTGTTAAATTTGTTACAATGTGCCTACTGACCTGCTTTCATCTTCACCTATCATCTCTCTTTGATGCCCCTCCAGCGTGCACCGATAGCGTAGGCGTGGCTATCCAATATCACTCATTTCAATTATATACATATAAATACATAAACTTTTCATTTATTAACCACCTACCTGAAGACGAAAGGAGACTGTTAGTAATGGGGATTAGCAACCTCATTGCTAGCAATATACCCTATCAGGTCGACCTTCAAGCGGTATCCCCCGGAAATCATTGTGATTGAATTGTTGAATTCGTCACGATGGGCAAACTGACCTGCTTCATTCTCACCTATCATCTCTCATTGGTGTATACCGATAGCGCAGGTGTAGTTACCACTCCATTATCATCCATTTATTAACTCCTTTCATTTATTAAGCACCTACCTGGATCATGGAAGGGCACGAAGACAAAGTCACCAATAATATTGCTCTCCTTCAGCGCCGTGTTGAGTATCATCTCAGCACCTTCACGTAGCTGCTTCAAATCGTTCATCATGGAGCCGGTGGTATCAAACACAAACACCAAACTGCTTTTATCATCGTCAACAGTGCGTTTAGCTTTCCGGGATTTAGAAGCATGGCCGGCCAGTGGCTCACTGCCTGTGCAGTTTATTAGAAGAAATAATAAAGAACACTTTAATATGATCGACATTTTAGCAGTGTCTATGTAATTAGGTTTGGCAGAGTATTGAGACTGCGTTTATATCAGTTATCGGGGGTAACCTCTGACTGATAAGCCTGCCGTTTAACCGACAGCGAATAGAGATATATAAGCTAATTGATAGGATGTACAGTTTATATTAATTAAGTCAACGTCATATATCTGGATTACGTACGCACGTGTAGAGTGCGTTTTTGTAACGTTGTGAAAAAATATGTTAATATTATGCAATTTGGATTACATGTTGGTATGTGTGAACCGAAATTTTGTAATTGGTTATTTTTTGAGTCTTGTTGTAATGAATTTCTTAAACATAATCATTATAATATAATGCCGTGTGGTCTCAGTTATACAGGGAAAGGAATGCGTGGCCCTTGAGTAGTTGACGTAAGAGGCAACTAAGGGAACTTAGTGGTCGAGGGATGGGCAGCAGCGTCCCTCTTAAAACATCACCAAAGCCAAACTATATATATTAGCAAAATCCTCCCAATGGTAAACTGCCATAAGGAATGGCCCCGTTTTTCATGACAATCTATGGAGGAGGCCTACGCTCAGCAGTGAACAAATAATGGCCGAGATGATGATGTTCTATAAGTATGCTGCAGGTTTAATGTTTAATTTTTGCTGTTGTCTGTATTTATTAAAAAACTATGTCATTTTGATCGTTAAATCTTTTTTAGGGTTCCGTACCTACAAAGGAAAAAACGGAACCCTTATAGGATCATTACTTATCCGTCCGTCCGTCCGTCTGTTATGACCCTTTTTCTTAGGAACGCGTGAAGGTATCAAGTTGAAATTAATATCATACACTCAGGTCTATAATCTCTTGAAGCAGTGAAAAAGTGAAGCTTTTAAATCAATGCACTCTTAAGATACGGCCGTTTATATTCTCGTGTCCTCAAGAATGGCATATTTTGTAAGGAACCCTCGTTACACGAGTACGACTCGTACATGACCGGCTTTTTTGTCGTTTAATGGCAATCTGAGAAGAAACCGTGTTAATGTACGAGTATTGACAACTCGCTTCGCTTATCGCTAGTAACAGTCAGATAAACAAATGCCTATGTAGGAAATGACTGATACCCGATAAGGATTATTATTATATCAGAGTAAGGACGTCTCCATGAATCTTCGATACTTTATAAACATATTTACATTATTGCTAAACGTTAGATATGTATTAAAGTATTTTAATGGGTGATAATGGTATGGTAACCCCGTCTGCGCTATCGGTATACAATGGCGGGGCACCAGTGATAGATGATTAATGAGGATGAAAGCAGGTCAGTTAGCCCATCCTGACGAACTCAACTAGAATTAGCCACGATGATGTCCTTGGGGAACCACGTGGAGGTCGACCTGACAGGGTATATTGCTAGCAATGGGGCTATTTGACTTCATTACTAACAATCCCTTTCCCCCCTATATTAAAGTATTATACAATAGTACAGTGAACGATCTATAAAAGCAACCTCTCTATAAGCAACATTCTTTATATTTTATTTATTCTACTCAGTTTAGTTAGTGAAAGAAATAAGTAAAAATATTTTCCAGACGGTACAGTATTTTTATACTCCTTTTTTCCCTATAAGCAACTTTTCCCAATAAGAAACTTTTTTATTGAAATTGGTTCAAATAAGTTGCTTATATAGAGCGTTTATTATAGTTGTCTTCTTTCTTTTCATTTAAGAGTTTCCTCTTGTCGGTGCAACTAATTCATGCATCTTCCTCCAGCCAGCTCTATCCCAGGCCATATCCTTTATCTCCCTATACGACATGACGCCTAGTGTTTCCTTTATCTGTCCCATGTAGTTAGTATTATAGTTGTATTATTATAATAATTGGCTGTTACAATAAACGACTACAAATATTATATTTTAAAGGTCGTAGGTTATTTTTAAGAATCTCTTGTCGTGGCAACTAATTTATGCATTCTCTTCCAGCCAGTTCTATTCTAGGCCATATCTTTGACCTCCCTATACGACATGACACCTAGTGTTGGAGGGAAGGTTATGTTAGTAATGGGAAAGTTAGTCCCCATTGCTATCAATATACCCTAACAGAACGACCTCTCCGTGGTCTCCCTGGACACCATCGTGCTGAATTCCAGGTGTATTCATTATGATGAGGTATCTAGCCTGCCTTTTCATTCTCACTTAACGTCCCTCACTGGTGCCCCGCTTGTGTATACTGTTAGCGCAAGCGGGGTTACCATTCCATTATCATTTAAAAAAAAAGACACCTAGTTTTATACTGTAGTTTTTTTTTTATAATAATAATTTTAATTCTCGGTCTTCTGCTTCTTTTTTGCTTGAAAAAAAAACAGGTCGTAGGTACAGTTCTTAATTTAAATATATAATTGTTTAACGGATTTCGAAAAGGGAATTTGCAACCTATCTGCATATTTTTCATTTATCTATCATCCGATACATCGCTTACAGTGAAGCGATTTTAATGATTCCAGTTTTCTAATTCGATTAAACGGACGCCTTTCGGCTCCAAGCGATTTACGACTTACATCTCACGAAAACCTCACGTAAAGGGAGGAGAATACAGGATAATTTAGTTCGAGAATCAGACTATTCGTATGGTTGTTTGGCACTTGTTATAGCTGTATGAAAATAAACCTATTTCTAACAGAATTCACAATACATTTTCCAATAGAAAAGAGGTAATAAAAAAAAAACTTTGTATTAAAAATAAAATCTTTATTAAAAGTCACACTCGACATCTCTATAGTAGACAATTTGTAATTAACTTACTAGAAAACAACACTATTTACCTATTTGATAGCTCAAAATGTAACAATACATACTGTTTGTGAGTTAAGACAAATAAATCAATATGCAATAGTAAAGTTAAAGAATTAATTATAATATTATGTAAATTACATAAAATAAATACATCCGTGTAAATGCATTTGTTTAAGAGCATCTAAAAGGTCAAATTTAAAAATACTTTTGCTTATTCATACATAATCAGACAAATTAAAGAACTTAGGACTCTCACAAACGAGCATTCCTTCACTACCTCTACTGATAGAATACCATTAGTAGGTAAGAGGTCTCATAATAGAGATTTTAAAAATATATATTATTTAAGATTAACAGACAAGCAACACTTCAACCCGGCGACAGCAGCGCCGAAAGTAGTGTTGCTAGTATGTAAGAATCCTTAAATGTATTTCATTAGTTCCAGATATCAAAACATCTAAAGAACCCATTGCACTATCAATATTTACGAGTACCACGGACACGATTCATACTTAATGTATTTCTGTCTAGCGAGATTGAATAAAGCCGTCTTACTACAAAATAGTTAAACTTGTCATAAACGATTCTTGTTTAGATGTTTTACAGCAAAAACAAGTCTAGCATCTGGTTGTATATAAACGAAAAATATATTTTTTTAAATAAAACATTTAAAATTTATTACAATAAGAAAAGCAGCGTTTTAAAATATTTTGTGGTAAGACGGTAAGCGTTCTATTATTTCTGCTTACTCCATTAGCAGACAGGACGTATGAAAATACCTTTTATTGTAAAACACATTAATATCAAAACACATCTTAATTTGATTAAGGCAAATACAACTTTTGGAGAAACAATAGACACTAATCTATATTAATAATTTTAGTTCCTAAATCATCCTACAGAGGCAGCACCAACATTCACTCGCTAATCGCTTGTAAGTCATATAAAACATTTCAGAAATATAGAATGGTAGCAAATATGAAGCAATTGTTAGCAATCGCAAACTATTTACGGATTACATAGTCTACCCCTCTAGATGCAAGATAAACGAATCTATAGAGAGAACCGTTTCAATCAGCGCTTACATGAAAAAGAACAAGACAGCAAATATAGCCATCTCATTATTCCATCACACGACTCGCTCGTGATAACGATTCTATCGATAGATTTGCCATTCGGGAAGCGGTTGGATATTGCCCTGCGTAGAATTAGAGCGGCAGGCATTAGATTTGTTTGTATTTCTACAGCAAGGTATACATGACCGTGGCACTGATATGTCGTAATGATCACTGGCACATCACATTGATGTATGTAAATGCAACAATCATCAGAAATAATGACAGTGCAATAGGTGTCAATCAACACTCACAAACATGTATTATTTATTGCATGTTGTTATTTACTATTAAAGACAATTTACTAGGAGATCTTAAATATACTTTGTCTTTATATTTGAGCAAGGCAATAGTATACACAATAATCTAAATTTATGAAAAATAAAATACACTATAAAATAAGAAATCAAAAAATTATTGCATATACATTAATTAATTATAAATAATTATATTCTACTTTGGATTCCATTGTTTTGTTTATAACTTACAAAATTATAATAGTGAATCTACTTCATATAATGTTACCGCTTATATCCCTTCCTTGCATAATAGTGGAAATTTCCATCATAACATTGAATGCCCAAAAATTACATAAAAGAACAATTTCACTTTAAGTTGATCGTGTCTGAATACCTTTTTAATGTCCATTGCAGAAAAAAAAAACCTTACCTGTCAAATTTTTTTTTCCATATTTCCTTTAATTCTGAACATGAATTATATCACCTTGATTTATTTCACCAATAAAAAAAATCATGCAAAGAAGGGATATATTGATATATTTAATGTGAAAATAAAAAAAAAATTAACCATTTTACCCATTTCACGACGGTTTATTTTAATATTTCAATAAACAATATTTTTTTTTATAATCACTAATACATAATCAAAGAACATATACTGTATACTGCCATAATTGATCTTTGAAATTCAGAAACAGTTTATAAAATAAATGTAGACAAGACAGCACAATTTAATTTTCGGTGGTAGTATCACAAACGAAATATCTTGTTTATTCCATTCAATATAAAAATTGTAATATAATATAAACTATTCAAACTACGCAATTGTTAGTAAATATAGGAAGTACTAACTTTGGCAAGGTCATAAACTAATCAAATATATATATATATATATATATATATATATATATATATATATATATATATATATATATATATATATATATATATTATGTATGTATAAAATATATTGTACTCGAACAAGGGAATCTCAGTCATGGATACAAGAACAACAACGGCAGACAAGTATGAAAATATTTTTATACACACACACACACATACACACAAATTAAAATTATTTTTTTATTAAATAGAAGTCATCGACGTATATATGCCATACGATATGGTCAATACTATGTCGACATTGATAATTTTCTACCAGGAAAAATTAAGTATCTCCCTAGATAAATGACAAACGAATTTATGGATAGAATTATTATAAATAAAAGTTTATTATAACGTCTGTTCATTCTTGCCTTGAAAGATATGAACGATAGCTATGAATAAATCGAGATACCAATAGATTTGTACCAGGGCCGTGGCTAAATCCAAATTTATGGTAGGGAAAAAACTTTTTAGTAAGGCAAAAGCCATAATTGACTTCGAAAAAGCGAATCTGTCTAATTTTCTTGGAGCCTTTCATTTTAAGCTAGGGCATTGCCCCTCAATACCCCCCTGACCCTCGCTACGGCCATGATTTGTATTTATCTAGGACTATTAACTTTCTATTAAGTTTAAGAGACAATGGCGCTAATAGAATTGAACAATTATTAGGACATCACAGTATATACTGTGATGCCAAAGTGGCACTTCATATTTTGTTAATAATGCTATTATAATTGCTGACATAACATTTATATTACATTTAAATTAAAAAAACATATAAAAGGATGGTGGTCCATCTTGAAAAACGCAGTCCGTTATTTTTTTTTTATTACACTAAGAAAACCTAGATGTGGCAGTAATAATCAATTACCTTAGTAAATCATTCTAATAAAATCTAATTATATTCATAAGCATACTTACACAATAACCACAAAATCGTATTAAAAAATGTACGCAGTTGCTATTAAATTTATATTCTAAGCTTTTTTTTTATACAACTTAGAATGGCAAATAAGCTGACGTCGCCTATACACATGAGCAGTACCATAGACATAACAGAGTATACTGTTTCGCCCATGATACCTCCCATGCGTATAATTAACGATTCTTAGATTTGACGCCGCGCAATGTATTTGAAATTTTACAATGTACTGTACTCTACGTGACGTGGTATATCTACGTCGCGCGATCAACGGCGCTTCTTCGTAGGTAGTTTTTCTTACGCTTGCGGTGTTGACCTTACACAACGAATTCCGTACATTGCGGTAGGATTTTTATATTTATTCTATAGTATTTCACTATAATTATTATTATTCCTATATTTTATGATATAATATCATAAGATTACATGATTTTAAAAGAATAAAAATTAGATATTTTCCGAAAAGAATTTGACTGTTTCAGTTTTTTTTAACCTGCCCCTTACACTTTGTATAATAGACTGTTTTAATTATCATTTATTTATTTTGTGGTTACATGTATGTATGTATGATTCGTAACGCCCACTCCTTATAATATAGTACAACTCTTACACACAAAAATTTCAATTATTTTATATACATTCTATAAAAATGTAAATATATTATTCGAACACATGAACAAATGGGGCCATATTCCCATTTAGTCAAACTTATAATAATATCTAATTAATTAGATAAGTCGTATGTAAATAAAAAAAGTTAAATATCGTTTTAAATTGCACAATAACACTGGTCATATTACGAATAGTAGAGTTTATCATGTTCATAAAGCTTAAATTTCATTCAATTTTAAATTCGGAACATGTTATTAGTATCTACAATATGTAAAAAAGAAAAAAAAAAAAATTATGTGGGCTAAATGATAATATATTAAATGTCTTTTTTATATCAAAATTTGTTATCCTATTAATCTTTTAATATAAAAAATGTAACAATTTTTATTTATATGTGGCTGCAATCTACAAAATTTTTAAGAAGAACCGATACATGTCATAAACCGGTAAATTCCGGTTCGGTTCTACAAAAGACAACAAAAAAGAACACTTTTTTCTTGTCCTTTTTTATAAGTAGGTATAACGAAACTTTATCTTTAGCCATACTATCAATAAATTGTAATATGATATATCCATTACTCGATAGTCAATCACTAATCATGACGAGAAAAATTTAATAAACACATTTTAATAGAAAATATTAATTATTTCTCTATTTTTATTGTGCAATTTAAATTTGGAGTCTTTTGTATCTGGATATATTAGCAAATATTGTACTGGGATAAAGAATGAGATAAAAAACAGCTTATAGTACTTACCTCTCACTCTACCACACGCGGAACATCTGATGCCACCGAATATGATTTATACTTTAAATAAGTCGATTGTGAACGCGTAACGCGAATATTCGGGTCGTTCTCTTTCGATCCACGGGTGAAATCGTATAAGTGAGAAAGAGACAAGACTAAAAGTCCGTTTTACGTATCGAACCCTATTGAGTTTCGTCTTATTGCTTATATTGTCAATATGCAACTCTAGATACTAAGGGCACAGATTTTACTAACAGTTCTATGCTCGTTTGTTCGTTAGACCACCTCGTCGGCGCGCAGCTTTGGTTGAGACTCCACTTTCCGGTACACGAGTACATTTTCACCCACCTCTCCTTCTGGGAACTGTGAACAAAACATACAAAAAAAATTTATACTACATAAAATGACAAACAAGTTGACTCTCCAGTTAATAGTTTATGGTGACTGTGATTTTACGAAATAATACAATAAAAAATTACTTCCGTATCAACGTATATTCGATACAAATTTTAGACAACTGCAAAACAATAGAAGAACTATATTCTAATTAAGAACTATTTCTTTTTCACCCTCTCCTAATTTTTACGTTTACGTGAAAATTATAACAGATAAACATACATTTTACTATTACAATAAATGTCACACTTTTCACATGACAGTTTAACTTTTTACGAATTAGCACAACTTAATACAAGTATAATTAATATATTTAAGAAGTTACATTACTATAATGACAAAAACAATATTAAATAACAAACTTAGCAAATACTTGAGATCAATAAACTTTTATGTTTGTTAAATTTTATTTTATTCAATGCTTTTGTAAATATATCTGCAATTTGTATTTCTGTTGGACAATAGGTAATGCTAAATTCATTATGTTGATACAACTCGTGTATATAATGATAACGAACGTCTATGTGCTTGGACCTCTTATTAAACACACCATTTTTAATTAATGCAATAGCGCTCTGATTGTCAATATGAAATGAAAGTTTTATATCAATATTCAGATCTTTAAGAAGAGATTTTATAAACATAGCCTCCTTACAACATTCAGCTGCAGATATAAATTCTGCTTCTGTAGAAGATAACGATACAATTGGCTGTCGTCTAGAGCACCATGAAATAGGACCACCTGACATCATTAAAACATAGCCCGTTGTACTACGCCTTGTTTTAAGATCGCTCGCATAATCTGAATCACAGAAAGCGGTAAGTTTTAGATCTGAACCGAATTTGTAGCACAAACCTTCTTCTAAAGTACCAGAAAGATATCTAAAAATTCTTTTTATGGCAATTATATCCTTCTTTTCAGGATTCTCCATACACCTACTAGCTTTACTAACAGCAAATGCTATATCTGGCCGAGTTCTGGTCGATAAATACAAGAGACTTCCTACGGCTTCTCTATAAGGATAATTTGATTTTTCTTCTCCATAGTACTCTATTTCTCCATCTGACTCTATTTTACCCTCTCCTACGGGTGTGGGAACTGGTTTACATTTATCCATATTAAACTTTTTTAAAAGTGTTTTTGTATATTCAGTTTGAGTCAAATGCCAACCTACTTCATTTACTTTTAACTCCATACCTAAATACAAAGAGGGTTCATTATAAGACGTAATCTCAAATTTCTCATTCAATTTACGTAGCAATTGCGTTAATTCTTCTGTTTTACCAATTACTACTCCATCATCAACATAAATAGCTAATAAAATTGACGCATCTTGGTTTTTATATATACATGGCTCATTTTTTAATTGGTCAAATCCTAATTCTTTTATTTTTTCATTGAACTTTTCATACCATCTTTTAGGAGACTGTCTAAGTCCGTATAATGACTTCAATAACTTACAAACTTTATTTTTTGAATCATATTGTACTCCCTTAGGAATTTTCATGAAAACTTGCTCGTCTTCCCTTAAATTTCCATTAAGAAACGCTGTTTTTACATCGAACGTCATTAATTTGTAGTTCTTGGCTGCGGCTATAGCAAACAAAGTTTTAATAGCATTTTGAGATGCAACTGGACTAAATATATCATCATAATCTACCTCTTGTTGTTCATTTCCTCTAACTACTAGTCTGGCTTTATGTTTTCCGTTTTCTTTAATTCTGAACACCCATTTATTAGAAAGTATTTTATGTCCTATCGTCTCTGTTTTATCTACTATTTTCCAAACATTATTTTCTTGTAAAGAATTCAGTTCACTTTCTATAGCCTTTTCCCATTGTTCTTTTTCAGAACTTTTCAACGCTTCTTCGTAAGTAAGCAAAACATAATCCTTGTATTTTTCTGGTAATTTTTTAGTTCTTTTTGATGTTATTATTATTTCTTCAGCCTCTTTTTGTCCCGTTTCTTCTGAAATTCTTTTCTCTGCCTCTTTTTCTTCTTGTGGTATTACTTCTTTAATTTGATTATCTTGGTTATTTGAATAGACTTTTACATTAATAGTTTCTGGTTTTGTAATTATTTCGGTGTTTATATTTTTACTATTTCTTTTTACGAATGTGATATCTCTCGCAACTATAACTTTTCTAATAACTTCGTCCCAAAGTCTGTATCCGTTATTTGTATATCCGATCATCCTATATTTTATTGCTCTGGTTTCCAATTTTTTACTTGATGGCAATTTTTTAGCGAAGGCATCACACCCAAATTCACGAATATACGAAAGATTTGGTATCTTTCCATTCCATAGTTCGAAAGGAGTTTTATTATTTATAGACTCACTTGGTAGTCTATTGAGTAAGTATACGCTACAATAAAGAGCTTCACCCCACATTTCTTTTTCCATTTCAGCCATAAACAGCAATGAACGGATTTTTTCATTTAAGGTTCTATTTAAACGTTCGGCTTTACCGTTTAATTGAGGATAATATGGTATTGAGTAATCTAGTTTTATTCCTTTTTCCTTACAATACATTCTAAAATTATTTGAAGTGTACTCGCCACCATTGTCACAACGAACTGTCACAACTTTCAAGTTGGTTTCACGTTCTGCTTCTGCAATAAAATTCTTTAAACAAGTAGGAACCTCGCTTTTAAATTTTAGTAGAAAAACCTTAGTGTAATGGATATAGTCATCCAAAACAGTTAAGAAATATCTATTACCATTCCACGTTTCCATCTCAAAAGGACCACAAACATCTGTATGTAATATTTCTAGTTTTCTGCTGGCTCTAGTTCTTACGGTATTGAAAGGCAATCTAGTTTGTTTAGCTTTTATACATACTTCACAACTTGCCTTCATACCTTCCTCATTTTCTATTTTTACACCATCCGCTACATTAGGTAAAATTTTTAAAATATTCTCACCTGGATGTCCTAATTTTCTATGCCAATTTTCTGCAGAATTATCATTTTCCTTTAATAAATATACTTGTTCTTCCATTTTTACTTCTTTTTCTAATTTAACTACAAATAAACCTGAGTCTTCTTTCTTACCAGTTATTACTTTACCATTGCTGCGAATCTCTACACCATGTTTATTAAATAGAACGGAACCACCATTCCTAACAATCTCTGGAACAGATAATAAATTACGCGAAAGATCCGGCACACATAATACATTTGTTACATCACATTTAGTTCCAATAAAATCACCTACATATTGTGACTTCATACTAACATCTTTCTTAGCTATACCAACATCAATAGTCTTAGGTTTGATATTAGAAAGTAAAGTTTTGTCATTGACCATATGTACAGTACAACCAGAGTCGAGAACAAAACTTTCTGACATTTTAATTGTATTACGGCTAGAGGATAAAAAAGCAACATTATTATCGTACTTATTTTTTTTAAAAAAACAATCTCTTTGTGGTTAGTTTTCTTACAAATTTTACAGTATAAAGAATTTCTACAAAATTTTGCTATATGACCGAACTTATTACATTTAAAACACCTATTAGAAGAATGCGAGGTTATTGTCTGTCTATTATTACCTTCTTTTTTCAGCATTCTACCTTTATTTCCAGCAACTAAGGCCACTGATTGCACACTCTCCTTCTTCCTTTCTTCTTCTTTTACTAATCTCAATCTTAAATTTTTTAATGTTCTTTCTTCTTTAGGAGTACTTTCCCACGCAGTTACAAACGGTTGGTATGAGTCAATATTCGAAAATATGTTTAATATTTTGGATTCTACTAACGCATCATCAAAGGGCATTTTTAGTTGTTTTAATCTATGAACCAAATTTTCAAATCTTGAGAAATTTTCATCCATTGTCATATCATTTTCAAATTTATAATTATAGAAATCTTGTAACAAACTCATCTTTTTTCGTTCTTCCGATCCTTCGAATAAATCGCTTAGTACTTTATACATTTCATAAGCAGTCGTACAATCAAATAGTTGTGTTTTATATTTTTTTGATACTGTTTGAAGGATGATGTGCTTAGTCAAAGCATCTTTATTCGATTGTTCGCTTTCTAGTTTTATATTTACGTTGTCTATATATTGTATCAATCCTTTCGCTTCCAGCAGAATCCTAAATTCGAATTTCCATAACTGAAATGATGTTACATCATCTAAAATAGTGACTCGGTGGATTTCTTCTGCTGTTTCAACGGCCATTTTCAGATCGAAATTTTTCTTTTTTTACTTTTACTTTTTTTAATATATATTTTATTTCTTACCAATTTTATTTATTTTACGCGCAGAAACGCAAAAACTAGCCCATAACCTGTGATTTTACGAAATAATACAATAAAAAATTACTTCCGTATCAACGTATATTCGATACAAATTTTAGACAACTGCAAAACAATAGAAGAACTATATTCTAATTAAGAACTATTTCTTTTTCAGTGACCGTCACTAATAGCCGTAAATATTACTGTCAACATTCATAATAAATAATATATTATTGTACATTTAATAATAACTCTTCACCTGGTTACATTGTTAAATTTAGTTTCTTTAATTAAGAAGTGTACTATAAACAGTATTCTCTGTTATGTCCATGGTACTGCTAATGTCTATAGGCGACGGTTACCGCTTTCCATCAGCTGGGCCGTCAGCTTGTTTGCCATTCTAAGTTGTATAAAAAAAATAAAGATATTTTAAAAAGTGGCAGATGATATAATGGCGCCAGTCAGTCATATTGTACGCTTCATAGCGGAGTAAAGTTTTGTTATCGATAACGACTTAAATTTGTTGATGAATTTAAAATACATATAACGTGTTGGTAAACTGTAAGTATAGTTTTATTTTTTGAACACTTGATATGCAACTGCGATTCGTTGGCAAGTATGCGTATGAGTCTACTGGGAACGGCTTATCCAGAACCAGGGGACTACAGATATCTTAAACCGCGGGATATCGTCAAGGTAACACAAAGGATCTATGAAATGATGGTATAAGGCAGGGGGAAGCACAAAAGATCTCAATGGGTTGACGTGCAACAGCTTAGCTGACCCCATATACGAATATAAGATAGTTTTATTTGCTGATGTTATCCTTCTAATCTCGAATGAATTTAGTTAGAATTTATACAATACAATAAACAATCCACGGCTATTAAGTTGACATTACTGAATACAGTTTAAGGCTTATGATACCCCTAATGATCGTATGACTTCTAGTATTTACCAAGCATTTTTAGATAGATGATTATAAGGCAAGTTTATGACTCAAAATAATAAACCCAGCATTACATCATTCTGGATCTGATTCTAGATTTACAGTTTAAACTGACTAAATAACACTGTTATAAGTCAAAAACAACTATATGTGTGGAACTAAGCATCTTTTTTATACAACTTAGAATGGCAAACAAGCTGACGGCCTAACTGATGAAAAGTGGTAACCGTCGCCTATTGACATGAGCAGTACCATATATATATATAAAAGCGTATGAGGGAGGCCTATTTCCAGCGGACAGTTAAGGGCTGATGTATTAATTTATTTATTTTACACTTTATAGCACCATTTATAAAATAGTAAATACAGTTAAATGAGAAGTGATATAAAAGGCGGCCTTATCGCTAAGCAATCTCTTCCTGAAAATAATATAATAAAAAAAAATGGCGTCGTATGAATAAGTAAACTTCCCAAAGAGGGTTGTCGTCAGACAGGTGGCCGGTCGTAAAACTATAAGCCAAATCTTTTTGTAATATGGATGAAAACATATTACGCCGACTCCAAATAATAATTAGGATAAGGGTAGGAAGTTGATGATGACGAATGAATAGAGCAAGTGACCTGCGTGTGCGGGAGCTGATGCAGCAGCGTGTAGGCAGCCAGCGGCGCGTCGAGCCGGCCGCGCAGCCGGTCGAACATCACCAGCAGCGTGGGCGTGGCCCGCGTCGAGTACTCGGCGCGCCACCACCGCAGCGGGTTGTTGAAGAACGCCTCCGATTCGTGCGTCTCGCCCACTTTGTCGATCGGCGGGTCGCAGTTCAGGTAGCGGGTCGTCACGTTTATGTGGAGGTGGCTGTACAATCGTAAACAATTATTACATAATAATAATGACATTTATTTATTGGAACCACAAAAACTTTGTTACACATTATAAAAGTTGTGTAGTGTAGTGTACGATAACAGCTACGTTAGTTAAAATCACTGTATCGTGACTGTCAATGCCCACCTCCTCAAGGCAGAGGCATTAGCGTTCCAGTATAATAAATAAAACAGTGTTAATTAAATAAAGCTAAAGTTAGTGTTAGCATATAGCATTATTTGTTTTTATAATAATAATTATTTATTTATTTGTTACAATATGGTAGAAACAAGATGACAGTAGTAAATAAAATCCCATTATATTCTGCTGTTTACAACGTACAAATATTTAAAAGCATATAAATTATTATAAACAGTAGGGGTACATCATAATTTTCGAATCAATTATAAATTTTTGTGTATATAACGTTAGATTTAATAATATTTTTTATTAAATGTCAAGACTAAAATTTAATGTAAATCGATCACAATCACATTGGCGACTGGGAGAATGGTAAATACCACTTTCACCCATCAAAAAAAACTATAAATTACTTTAATCCCATACATCTTGCACTTTAGTTACATCACTAATAGACATGTACTTTTACCAGAAGGTTTTTTGTTTCAATGGGTGATGATGAAATGGTAACCCGACCTACGCTAACAGTATTGGTTACAGCACCAATGAGGGCTATATTAATACTAGCTTATCGTGATTAAGAATCACACTTGGAATTCAGCACGATGGTTTTCAGGGGGGGACCACATGGAGGTCGACCTGGTTGGATATATTTCTAGCAATGGGGCACTTAGTCTCCATTATTAACAATCCTTCTCCCCCTACCAGGAGGGTTGAACAATATGGAATTCATTAATTGATGTAACGACCTGTAGAGCGGCGTCGAGTGGCAAGGCATCAGGAAGGCGATGGAGGATCTGTTGTGAGGAACAGCGTCCCGCAGGAGCGGCACCACTTTCACTGTGGCGGCCTGGTGTACGTAGCCGAAGTAGAGCGCGGGCACAGCGTTGCCTACCAGGATTACACCCGCCACTATGTATAGTTGCCATCTGTCAAATATAATTTTAGGTTACTATAAGTTATATATTATAAACTAGCAAGCCGCCCCGGCTCTGCACGGGTTAGACAGAAATTTCGAAAATATAGGCTATGTTACAAGCTGACAATGTAGCTATATTATTATATGAGCCATTAACGGTCCACTGCTGAACATAGACCTTCCCCATAAGGTCCCGGCACAGAATAAGCCACCTGTTACTCGTGGGATTTATAAGAGTTGACTAAGAGAATGGAAGAATGAGTAGCAACGTCCCTCTTTAAACATCACCAAAATCTAACTGCGGTTGCCTGTCCGACTGCCAAACGTGGCAACTGTTAGCAAAACCCCCCATTAACCCTTAAATACCTGAAGTTTCAAATTTGATACCGGGGTTATAAATCGCATTGGGCGCCTACAATCGATTTTATTTTAATATTTGGCTGTTTATATGTTACCAAATGTTTTTTTCAAAATAAATATATAAAAATATCGTTTTGATTTTTTTACTATTTTTCCCTATTAGTAAACACAGTAAAGAGTACACTTATATATTTTTTAATTTCATTCAAAAAATCAGGCTTTTAAGGGTTAAGGAGAAGTCTATGTTTGAACGAAGATTAAAAATAAATGTGCCCATATGGTTTACAAATATGCTGTTATATAAATGTATAGTATAGTAACATATGCTTTATAGACTTTTTATCAACACTATTAATTAAATGAATATTCATTGTTTCAAAATATATATACAAGGAACAGCACAGCAATCTCAATACAGACATTCCTTCATTTTTGTAATAGTTCACAGAGTAAACAATTAAAACAGACACTTCTTTTTACAGATACACATTTACCTTTTCGACAATGACAATACAGACTTCTTAGACAAAGGAATTGCGTTTAACTTACTTTTTCGCTTTCCGGCTCCATGGGGCAATAACATCTTGTGCCAGGTACAACAGAATCGGCAGTAGGGGTAGCATGAACCGAAACTCTTTGTGTGATATGAAACTGAAAAGAAATATCATTCTAAAGTTAATAACTATATTGCTATGTGTGAATATAAAGTACCTACAAAATGAAAACTGATTTTTATTTGATCTAAAAGGAAGAAGTACCCAATTTGCCTGTACTTTATTTTGTGTATGTTATGTATTATTTCAGCATGTCTAAATCAATTTTGTGTGTGCCCCGGCATAGAATGGGCCGCCCCTACCTTTCCCGTGGGTGACGTAAGAGGCAATTAAGGGAGGACGAGGGATGGGCAGGAGCGTCTCTCTTGAAACATCTCTAAAAACCTAACTGCGGTTGCTAACCCGCCTGCCAAGCGTGGCATCTACTGGCAAGACTCCCCTTATGGGAAAGGCTTATGTCCAGCAGTGGACAGTTAACGGCTGAAATAATAAAATCGATTTTAACAGTTCTTATTGCTGATAAGGTTACTATTAGTAAAGTTTATTGTTGATGAGGTTACTTATTGACCCATTTTTTGTGACCAAAAACACAGCAAAGCGACATATACTTGCAAGTATTAAATATAAAAAAAGTAAATAAAAAGAATATTTATGTATGTATATTTTTATAATCATAATGTGCAGTAGTTCTCCATTGTATGTGTTGTGATTTGTAAGTCAATATCGATATGTACATGTAATTATTTATCTAAATCAATTTTCAATTTTTTCACTGCATAATTACATTTCGGTTTTGCCAAACGTTTACTGGGAGAGAATGCTATATATAGTATTAAGTCCGCCTTTTTTACTAGACATTTTTTTTAATATGGTCAATAAGGAATAAATAAATTTGCAAAAACAAACCCACCTATAAAGCGCCACATACAAAGTGGCCGCAACCAACAATAGTAGACCAATCTTGTGTTCTTTAGGGCGGCGGAGTATCGCGTACATCGAGGCGAGAACTGGCAGCACGTTCACTCCCAGCACGGCTGGTAGCCCTTGTGTGATGTACCAGTGCCTGCAATACGAAAAATACATTTGAACTTTAATATATGCAATAATACTAATTCAAATTCGAATCATCTTTATTCAAATATACTTGTTATCAAGCACATTTAAATGGTCTTTTTTTGTGTCCAATCTACTGCAAAGTTTGGTAAGTTGTTATGTGCTGAGAAGAGCCCGCAAGAAACTCAATAGTTACTATTTTATTATATATATATATATATATATATATATATATATATATATATATATATATATATATCAATATTAGATGCAGTAAATTCAAGCCTTCTTCAAAATTTTACTCAAAAATCGACACAAAAATTACTGTATAGTTATTAATTTTATTATTTTTTCTGTATTATAATTTTTATTTTCATTGTAAGCTTTCTTGTTATATTTTTAAATCACTTAATTAGGGTTTTGTTATTTTCGTATCATGTGTTTGAAAGGAAAATACCATACTTGACATATATACATTTTTAACACAATTGTTTAAAAATGATGTAACAAAAATATCTAAACATCCAAAAATATCCAGACTAACTCACAATCGTAGAGATTGTGAGTTAGTCTGGATATTTTTGGATCATCAACTTGTCATACAATGTATTATAATAATTACCAAGGATGTTGTCCATAGAAGGAAGCCACGTCATACAATACGTTGAATCTGAAGAATTCCCATGGCGTCACAACGAGTCTACCATAGAAGTAGGAGTCCAGTGCTACTAGGGCTCCGCCACTTATTAAACTGTTGAAGAAAATATAACTTATTTATTTAAATGAATTATTTATTGAATTACATATTTAAATATAATAATGTAAGAATGCTTCTGAAGCAATTGATACGATCATGACAAAATAGTATACATCATGTTTGAATGTAAAAGTAAAAATACTGGCATTATTATGAGATGGAATACCATGAAGTTTTAGGTAGTGAGACTAGAGTCCCAAAGATTTCTCTCAAATTCCAAGATATTTGAGACGAATGGGGTCTCTAAAATGTACAATTGAAAAAAACTTTTTTTGTCAATTGTAAACCAATTTAGATGGTTCTTTTTATACATTTAAATTTTATTGTAAAAAAAATCTTACGCAATAGGCAGATAGGTGCGCAGGAGTAGCTTGAGACGACCCTGGTTGGTGGTCACCACGTTGTAGATGCCTAAGACGAACCACAGTGGTGCCGAAGTCGGCCGTACAAATACCGATATGCACGCAAACCACACCCACTTGTTATTCTCTGTTCAACAAGACACTTTCATTACTTTATACATTTATTTACTGCCTCCAAAAGTCTCCTATTTGCAAAATCACTAAATTTATTCAGAATAATTATATAAGTACGAGGTCTGTCCGGAAAGTTCGTATAAAAGTGTTCTGGAATGCGAGAAAGAGGAGTGGGGAGGCCAGGTAAGCGCAGGACCCCTTCCTTATGTCCCTAACAATGCTTCAGTTCTGGTCTGACCGCCGTGCGGTGCGAACTGGCTTGTCACGCCATCTGTGAAGTTACCTCTTAACGAAACCCCGTCGGCATGGAGCCCGCTTCCGTTGAAGAGCAGCGCGTCGTAATCAAGTTTCTCTCGAAACTCGGCAAGAATGGCCGTGAAATTTTTGCCGATCTCAGAACAGTTTATGGGGATGATGCTGTGAAGGAACCAACCGTCCACAAGTGGCTAAAAAGATTCAGAGAGGGCCGAGAAAGCGTTCAAGATGACCCACGTTCAGGACGTCCTTCCACTTCACATTCCGACGAAAACGTGGAAAGAATTCGAACTTGTGTTAATGGGGACCGTCGTTTAACGGTCAGACAGGTGGCTGAAGAGCTTAATTTGGGCAAAACCGTGGTCCACGAAATTCTAAGAAACGAACTTCAAATGAAAAAAATTTGCGCCAAGATCGTTCCGTGAGTTTTTGAGTAAAAATTCCATTACGGTGACCGAACACCCCCCCTATTCGCCGGATTTGGCCCCGTGTGACTTCTTCTTGTTCCCAAAAACCAAATTGGTACTTCGGGGGCGGCATTTGGGGGACATAAATGAGATAAAAAAAGCTACGACGGGGCAGCTGAGAAACCTACAACCAGAGGACTTTCAAGGAGCCTTCTCACAGTGGAAACGGCGTTGGCACAAGTGCATTATGTCACAGGGGGAGTACTTTGAAGGGGATAAAATTGATTTACCTGAATAATTGTAAAATAAAATTTTTAAAAAACTTTTATACGTACTTTCCGGACAAACCTCGTATTAGTTATCCAAAAATAATCTATGTTCTTCTCCATACAAAATGTTACAACAATTTAACTCTGCTATAATTATTTATTTAATACAAAAATCTACATCTCTTAAAAAATTAAACAAGCAAACCAATTGCTAGCAATATACCCAATTAGGTCGACCTCCATGCAGTTCCCCCTGGAAACCATTGTGATTAATTTATTCTTAAATTTGTCATGATGGGCCGACTGACCAGCTTGGTCCTCACCTATCATCTTTCACTGGTACCCTGCCAGTGTACAAGTGTATATCAATAGCGCAGACGGAGTCACTATTCCATTATTATCCATTAAGATATTCTTATGCTATCAATGAGTGAAGAATTTATTAAGAATAATCCACACAAAGGTATAATTTATTCCACTTCATGAAGTCAATCATCAGGAATAAGGGGGAAAGGGATTGTTAGTAATGGAATTTGACAGCCCCATTGCTAGAAATACCCAATCAGGTCAACCTCCACGTGGTTCCCCCTGGAAACCACCGAACAATTCTTGTTGAATTCGTCACAATGGGCTAACTGACCTGCTTCATCCTCACCTATCATCCTTCACTGGTGCCCCTCCAGTGTATACCAATAGTGAGGGTGGGGTTACCATTCCATTATCATCCATTAAAAAAAAAAATATCAGGAATAATTTTATATACAGACATTTGTCATCACAAATGCTATATTGGATCAGAATTATATTCACACTTCCATTATATAGGGATGACAAGTAATATGAATTCCTTTTTTTAAAATATCTCATTTTTCACAATTCTCCTTAAATAACTGCCTATAAATGAAATTTCATAATATAAAAAAATTCTTATATTCTTATATACCTTTTTCATAATATCCCATTTTGCCCGCTTTAAATGGGAATAGAGAGAGGCCTACAGCCACAAAGGCAGTCTCCAGGGTCTGAAGTAGTGTCCTTCCAGAAGTGTAGAACCAGAACCATGATGTTAAGATAAGAAAGAGTCCCCATTTGCGCCCAGTCCATTTATAAAAGCTGTAATCAGCAGCTGTACTGATAATGGCTTGAAGAATTCTAGGCAGGATAATCTAGAATAATAATAATAAATATTGTCAAATTCAAATAATAATAAATACTAATGTAATTAATTATAAAATAATAATAAATAAATGTCATTATAAAGATGTAATGACATTTAATTTATTAAAATATATTAAGTATTTAAATTATGATTAGCAATTATACAGAAATAACATTAAGTATTATAAAAGATAATAAATTCATATTGACTGTTAATTTCTAATACTCATAAATATATTAATAAATAATATGATGAACTTCAGGAGTAAATTAAAAAAATATCTCAAAGTTTGTTATCAATATAAATAAACATACCACAGCTTGGGGATGATCCAATCCAGTCAACTTCAGTAATGTGTATAGAGCAGCTACTACACTTGGATATAAATAGTTTCTTATACCTCTCTGCCATTCCCAAGTTAGGGCTCCATATCCAAACGCATGTTTATGGGCTACCTCCAAGGTTTGCCAGTACTCATCTGGTACATACCACGTTTGCACCAGGAATACCGACAGGATCCTCACAAACAGTATCACCAAGACCACTTCGCGTGGTCTCAGCGCCTTTGCCAATGCCATTCTCCCGCCTAAATGAAAGAGGTTACTTGTATCTAGGCTATAAATAGATACCTATAACGTGCTCATAATTTGTATGTAATCAAACAGTATATGACTTGAAATTTTATTTATTATCTTCTTAACATTAAACAATATTTTCTTATAAGATTTTAAAGAGTAGAAGAGTTTCTGAAGCGATATAAAGTTTGACGAAAAAAATGTCAACTAAAGCGTCCTTCTAATTAACGCTAAATATGAATGAATGGATCCATTTACTTACTACACTGTGATTCAATATTATTATAGGAATTAAAATAATATTATTATGACTACAAATTCTTTCGTCTATAAACAAAATATCAATATTTTCATAATAAATTGTCTAACCTCAAACACTACAAAACCCGCCGCCACCGCGAAGTAGTGTTGTCGGTTATCGTTGCCGATTTATTATATTCATAACTTTGACTATTATTTTATGTTTGGTATATTATATTGATTGTGTTCATTAATGTTTTTAGGAATAATTTTTACTAAACTCTTTAATTTAATGATTTTAAGTAACTATATAATAAAGAGAATTGGAATATAATATAATAAATCGATAAAGTTTACAAATTTACCGGCAATAGCATCTTTAAATGAATAGGCAACACTAGTCTGTCAACTGTAAAAAAAAAAATTAAGTAGTTCCGTTCTGAACTACGGAAAATATATGTCAGTTAAATTAATTTATTAAAGTGCAATTTTTATTAACACAATATTGACAAAATTTTATTAATATTCATGTTACTTACAATAAAATTATAATGTATATATACAAATTTTTAACATCTTTTTATAATAATAGTAATATTCATTGATAAATCGTGTCCATTGTGCCGCGTAAGTTCTGAACGTTCATTTACGAAATTACGAATGTTCAATGTTGATTTAGAAAACTACATCATATTTCTAGATTCGCTAAATAAATAAGAAATGCTGTAATAACTTTAAAATGGGTAGGTAATATTTTTTAATAATATATATCACATAATGTATTCCTCTAATATATGATTTGTCTTCAGATGAAGCAAGTAATACCACACTGGATCTCTCGAGGCGTGGGCTAAAGAAAATAGAGAAAGCGCCCGCTGAAGATTCCAAGACAATTATTAATCTGATTCTTGATCAGAATGAGCTCCAGCGACTGGATAATATTGACACTTATAATCGCATCGAAAGTGTACGTACAAATTTTCCAAATGTAAAGATTTGTAAAACATCATTTAACTAATACTGCCGAAATATGATTGTTAAAAAGAGCTAGTAAGCTTAAATAGACGTGGTCTATCTATTCTGTTTATTACACAAAAAATTAAATCGCCCCTAAAGGTACCCATTATAAAAAAAATATCCTTTATATATTAAATAGTTCGAAAATTGGAAACTCATCTGCTCTTATTTAGGAGTCAGCTAAATAAAAGCAGGTGAGGAGCAGTTGCCTAAATATTACCTTTTTAGCCATATCAATGTTCGTATAATTTTTTTTCACAAATATATATAACAAAAGCACATATAGTTATTATAAAATACAAATAGTGAAACTTTTGTCAGTTTATACTCAATGCACTCAGTAAACTGCTCTATATCAGAAATAGGCAAGAACAGTGTATGTATCTGATTGGCACAGTACTTTATTATAGTAGTGTTAGTACAGGAGGCACAATACATATTTTATTATCTTTTTAATAAATGAGTACCATATTTGCACTTTATTGTCCATCCCAAAGCATAATAATTTTTGTACTTAGTTTGTGTAGGAATTTCCAAATTTAATATTATTCAATCATAACATTACAAACATGAGTATAATATAGTTGCTGTATGATCCTGGCATAGAATAGGCCACCCCTTCCATTCCCGTGGGTGTTGTAAGAAGTGACAAAGGGACTCATAAAACACCAAAGCCTAACTGTAGTTGTGAATTCACCTATCAAACATGGCAACTACTAGTAAAACCTCCCTAAGGAAGATGCTTATGTTCAGCAGTGGATATTTAAAAATTGATATGATAATGACAAAATAATCCAACCAATAATCATTTTATACTCTGTCATATCCTTGTAGAATACAATAGTCTGAAAATTGTTTTATTTTCTGTTACAGTTGTCCATATGCAATAACTTTTTGCTTCGGATGCACGGTGTATCCAGATTAACAAACCTCCGCATTCTGGCGTTGACCAACAATGGTATCCTCCAAATTGAGGGTTTGAAAGATTTGATATACCTTAAAGTATTAAAACTGGCTGGTAAGTATCCGTTATTGTTATTGATGATTTACTTGAAGACAATCCTTTAAAATTGAGAGTGCAAAAAGGAAAGATATAGAAAGTATATAGAATGTAAATAATTATTTTGTACCAGACTTTTTTTTTTTGTAATATAGTCAATAAAGAATAAATAAATAAACTAATCTCAAATATAAATAAAAATATAAAATATTCTTTGAATAATGTCATTCACCCCAACACTTTGACAAGTGGTAAATGAATAAAATGATAGTAATCAGTAACTTAGTAGTTTAAACAGTTTTAATGAAATTTGGTATACACATAATATTGGTGAAGGATGGCTATTTATTATGGGAGACAGAAATATGTATATATGAGGATTATTATTCCCAGTCAATTAACATATTCCACTCATGTGTGTGAGACAAACTCATGAGATCTCATATCTGTATAATTATAATAATTGTCATTAGTAATAGAAGAGTATAATTCGATTATATCCAAATATATCTTTGTTTACAGGTAATAACATTAAATCAATTGAACACTTGAATCACAACATGCATTTGGAGCATCTAGATTTGTCCAACAATCAAATATCATTTATAGCAGACATTTCCTATTTAAAAAATTTAAAGGTAAGATTAGAAATAGTATAACAGAGTAGAATATAATAACATTATATATGTTATATAGAGGAATTTCGGTGGAATATTGACTTTCATCACCTACTTCATCTCACACTTAGGTGCTGGTTCAGGGCTCCCGTAATTCGTGTTATCGGTGTCTATTTTTTCCTCGATTTATGTGTATGCATATAAAAACAATAATAATAACAAATAATAACCTAAACTCACCCCAAATAACCGAAGATTATTAATATTTTTAATCACTGCCGTGGAGGTCGATGGTTGTTCCCGCGTAAAAGTTGACACACAGGCGTTGTTGCACGGCACTCACACCAGAGGGCAGGCGTTTCCATATATCCCCGTAATGACTAATTTACAGGGACAATATATATTTATATGTGTGTGTGTGTGTGTTGTAGAATTGTGAAAGTGTGGTGCCGCGAAGTAAAAATATTGCAGATAAATTAAACATCCCCCCGCCCGAGAAAGGCTGAATGCCTTTATCAAACAAAACCGCTTAAAATAAATAAATATTGGAAACTGTATAGACCGCACTTATACAGAACCCACTTATGAAACCGCAACAAAAATAATACTAATAAATTAAAAAAGCTAAACTAATACATAATAAATAACAAGGTTGCAACTAATTAGAGGGAAGTCTGCAAATCTTGACAACTGGACGCGTTATAGTGCCAGTTGCAGTCTTAAGTTTCACAACTCGTACTACACTGTCTTTACCAGGCAACAACTCTAAAATCCTGCCTAATCTCCACTTTAATGGTGGTAAATTTTCATCTTTAATTAGAACTAAATCATCCACCTTGGGAGGGTCTGTAGGAGACATCCATTTATTCCGCATTTGAAGAGTATGGAGGTACCGCTCACTCCACTTTCTCCAGAAACGCTGTGACAGTGCCTGAATAAGATTATACCGATTTAACCGCGAGTTAGGAATATCCTCAAAATTATATTCGGGCACTGATAACAAAGATCGACCGATTAAAAAATGTGCCGGTGTTAAGACTTCAAAATCTTGAGGATCTTGTGTCAAAGGACACAAGGGCCGGCAATTAAGAACCGCTTCTACTCTAGTAAATACCGTTACTAGCTCCTCAAAAGTTAATACCTGGTCACCGATGACCCTCCGTAATAACGTTTTGGCTGCCTTTACCGTAGCTTCAAAAAGACCTCCAAAATGTGGCGCTGCTGGCGCATTAAAACGCCAATTAATATTTTGTTTAGCAGCAGTACCACTAAGCTCCGCTTGTACTTCCCGAGAAGCTAAATACCGCTGTACTTCATCCAAATGTCGGTTTGTGCCTACATAATTGGTGCCATTATCCGACCGAATTACACTCGGGAGACCTCGTCGAGATGTAAACCTGGTCAAAGCTGCCAGAAAACTATAAGTAGATAAGTCCGTAACACATTCAAGATGAATGCACTTAGTAGCTGAACAAATGAAAACGCACAGATACGCCTTCAAAGTTTTTGCATTTCGCAAACGTGAATGCTTTATAATAAAGGGTCCGGCAAAATCCGTTTGCACAGTATGAAAAACTCCCGTAGCAATCACTCTATCGGTAGGTAACGAAGACATCAAGGGTTCCGCGGGTTTAGCCCTTGTCCGAAAGCATGAAATACATTTAAAAATTCGGCTACGTATAACTTGACGTGCCGAAATAATCCAAAATTGACTTTGTAAAATAGCCTGCAATGCCGTTGAACCTATATGGCAATGCATTTTGTGATAATGATCAATTATTAAAACCGTTAATGGATGATCTTTTGGCAGAAGAAGAGGATGTTTCCTATTAAAAGACAAATCGGAATAATTCAATCTTCCTCCTACACGTAATAGACCATCCTCACTAACGAAAGGCATAAGCCGCCGCAACCCTAAAGAACAAAGACTCTTTCGATTAATACAATCCAAATCATTAGCAAACGCTGTAGTTTGAACCAATTTTATTAACCGCAGTAAGGCAAATTGCCTTTCCTTTGCTGTCAAAACACCGGTAACTTTATGATTTGGATTTTTAGAATTATTAATAAACCGAAAACAATAAGCCACTACCGCTAGCAGTACAGTTAATGAACTAAACCGCGTAAAGATGGGATTCGCTTCCGTCTGTACCATATGAACTTTTACCATCGTCTTGCGAAGACCAGGCAAATCGCCTTCTGCCTTTTTCATTATATTCTGAGGCCAGGTATCAGCCTGACCTTTAAGCCAAGACGGACCCCACCACAATGTGTGTTCGAGCAATTCCGACGCGCGACAACCACGACTTGCAACGTCTGCAGGGTTCATTTCCGATGGTAAGTGCCGCCACTTTATATCTACACCGCTATTGACAATCTGTGACACTCTATTTCCTTCAAAGGTCTGCAAAAGATGAGGTGAGATCCGCAGCCATGAAAGTACGATAGTGCTGTCTGACCAACAAACAATATCTTCAATATCCACCTCATTCTGAATAGAGTCCACGACATATTTGGTAAGCCGTACCAATAATGTCGCGCCACAAAGCTCTAGTTTGGGAATGGTAAGTTTGGACTTTACTGGTGAAACTCTTGACTTGGCCATCATTAAAGTTACAGTAACCTCACCACAGTTATTGACCGCTCTCAAATAAACAGCTGCGCCATAGCCGAGTTCAGACGCATCAGCAAATCCATGAATAGAGCAAATCTTAGAATCTCCTAGGGCAAACCGCTTCAGATTAAAACTTTCAATTACAGGCAAATCCTTTAAAATGCCTTGCCAATCCGCAACAATATCCGCAGGTGGTTTGTCATCCCATGACAACTTTAATAGCCAAAGCCGTTGCATCAGAATCTTACCTTGTAAAATGATTGGAGAAATCCAGCCCAATGGGTCAAAAGTTCGAGCTACCGTCGACAAGATGAAACGCTTTGTACATATTACATTATCATTTAGCTTGGTATGATAAGAAAAACTATCATTACTGGGATCCCATTGGATGCCTAATATTTTAATGAAGCTAGGCCCGTCCGCATTATCTACAAAGATACGAGGTTTTTCTAAATCTTCCTCAGATATGTCTCTCAATAACTCCGCGGTGTTAGAGGTCCATTTACTGAGATCAAATCCGCCCAATTTTAATAAACCGGTCAGATCCCGCTTAAGATTTTGTGCTTCTTCTAGCGTATCCGCACCACCCAAAATGTCATCCATGTACACGGAAGTACGAAGAAGACGCGCCGCCGCCGGAAACCGTGATTCTTCGTCCTCAGCCAACTGTCTTAAGGTCCGTATCGCGAGATAGGGACTCGACTTCATCCCGTAAGTGACGGTATTCAATTGATAAAGTTGAAGAGGCATATCTGGGGACTCTCTCCAGAAGATGAGTTGATATGGCCGATCTTTTGGGTTAATCAAAATTTGACGGAACATCATTCGGATGTCCGTTGTAAATACATATTTATGTAATCTAAATCTACAAATAATCTCCATTATGTCGCGCTGAAGCTTGGGCCCCGCATGCAAACAATCATTAAGACTAACTCCGTTACTAGTGCTACCACTAGCATCAAATACGACCCTTATATTTTCCGAACCTACTTTAAAAATTCCGTGGTGGCATATAATATAAAAACAACCGGAAACATAGTCTTCTGGTTTACCGACGCAGAGTGACATATGTCCCTTTTCCGCATAGTCTCTCATGAAATCTACATATTTTTTACGCAACGAGTCATTACGCTGAAGCCGTTTTTCCATTGCCAAGAACCGCTTCTTAGCTAATGGGACTGAATCTCCAAGCAAAGGTTTGTTGGATAAAAAAGGCAAATGTACAACATACCTACCGCCCTTATCCCGCTGATGAGTGCTTACAAAAATAGACTCGCACTCCATGTCCATAGGGTTTTTAACCGCGTGAGGAAGGTCTTCAATTTCCCAAAATCGTTTCAAAATATCATCCGTAGAAATGTTAGAATAAAATGTATGAGAAGAATGAGTAGCCCGAGGACATGGATCTGTAGCCATAAATGTGACAGGACCAGTCAACACATGCCCGAACACCGTATTCATCGCACGAGGTAAGTGGTCGTGTACCTTGATAGTACCGCCGCCTAAATAAATGTCCCCAATAAGATCCGCGCCAATCAAAATATCAATTTCTCGACTTATAAAAAATTGTTCATCCGCAAGAACTAATCCTCTATAATTATCCTCTAATCGAGGTGATAAGGAGAATCCTGGCAAATTACGAGTGATTTTATTCAAAACTGTAGCCGTTGTAAAGAGAACAGGTAAATCCGCATACTTGGGTATAATAGTCAAGTTAACAACCTCTTTACAACCGCTTACAGGAATATCGCTTAGCCCCGTGACTGTTACTACGTTAGATTTAAACCGCTTTAATCCTAACTTATTAGCACAATTTTCAGAAATAAACGTACTCTGACTGCCGCCATCAAGCAGAGCACGTGCCTCTAGATAATATCCGTGTGAATCTAATACCCGAACCATAGCAGTTGCTAGCAAAACTGTATGTTGGTAGGTCCCACAGGGTATTGCTTGCGATGACATTCCTCCAAACACGTTATTAACACTTGTACTCGTCGATTGAACCGTGGCCGCAGGGACCGTCACCTGAGGTACATGGTCCGGAGCATTCGTATTACTCATGATGTGATTGGATGGTGATCGCTGTTGCCGCTCCCGCGCCCCCGCAGGGAGGTCAAAATGTAATAATGAATGATGCTTTGGCGAGTTGCATTTGTAACAATTTCTATTATATTGACATTGTGCAATATTGTGACTATTAAGACATCGAAAGCATAAATTATTCGATATCACGTGACGCTTTCTAATAGTAGGCGTTAAACCCAAAAATTTCTCGCACTTGACAATGAAGTGACCCGCTGTCCCGCAATATTTACAAGATGTGGTAGAATGATTTTGTATTACCGCATGGGCAGCTCGTACCGCTGCTGGAGCTGGCATTCTACGCCGCATAGAAGTGTTGGAGTCAGGAACCGCACTGGACTCCAACTTTCGTATTTCACATTCCAAAAATTTTAATAAATCCGAAAAAGTAGGTAGTTCCTTTTCCTCAATCTTGTTTTCAAAATCTTTTTTTAAGTTGTTATCCAATTTTTGAAAATTAATATAATATAAAATATATGACCACGAATCTACTGGAAAATTCATCTTTTCTAACGCCTTTGTATTTTCTAATAAAGTATTTACAAATAATTTAAGACCACTTAAATTCCTAGAATTTACTGGTGGCGCACTCAATAAATTGTGCAACAACTTATCCGCCAGTAACCGCTTGTTACTATACCGCGCTTTAAGCAAGTCAATTGCGATCGAATAATTATCACCAGTAACAGATAGGTGTTGAATTAACGTTTTGGGCTCCCCTACTAATGAACCTGACAAATAATATAATTTTTCCGTATTCGATAAAGTTAAATCTTGACCGACTAATGAATGGAAAAGTTCTATAAAGGAATTAAACTCCTCTAACTTTCCAGAAAACGTAGGGAGTGTCAACCGAGGAAGAATTGCCTTAAACTTAGCAGTGGAATCAGTATTTTGATTATCACTACCGCAATCATGTTTTGTTTCACTAAACAACTCGAGATGACGTCTCTTAATAAAGTAATACCTTTTGTTATAAGTTTCGTATACGGCTTTAAGTTTATCTAAATCCGAGTCATCCGCCTTAAGTTGCATTTCAAAATGCATAGAAACAAATTCTTGGTAATGAGTGTCTAAATCGGTATATCTAACTCGAAACTCATTCTTTTGTTCTACTGTTAGTTGGTCTGTCCGCACAAGATCGTATATAAGATCGATATTCTGAACTACCATATCGTACTTCATTTGTATTCTTTTAACCGCAGCCATTTTTAAGAAAATATTTATTTTAATTATAAGTTAATCGTAAAATATAAACAATAACAAACAGAAAATAACTTCAAAAAGTATAACGACTTGAATATTCAAACAATTAGATTTATCCTACAATAATTTAAAATAACAAAAATATATAGGTACTTATAGATTTCCTATCTTATAAATCTACAAGTATATACAAAATAAATAACTAAACAAATGGAAACTATGTGATTTACCAAACTAATAACCACATAAAAGGATTATTCTCCTTTTATTGTATCCGCTTATTTAAAATAAAATATTGTAAAACTAATAAAATTAACAATGCTTATTTACCGATATAAGCCTTAAATAAATATGTTATATTACAAGACCGCAAGAAAGAAATAACACTTATTAATAATAGAACAACCTTAAAATCAACAAATACAAAAGTATCTAAAACCGCAAAAAAAAATTAATTATACTTTTATGTCGAAAAAGTATCCAAGTAATTAGAAAAAATCCCCTTAAATATAAAAGTGACAAAAATAAAAACGCAAAAAGAAAGAATCGCATCCAGATTTGAAACACCGACCTCCAAATCGCAATCCGCCGCCCGCAAAGTTTCCCCAATATATGAATGAAAAATAGTGTGAAATTACTAAACACTATCCGCTACTAAACCAGGTGCAAACTTTATCATTTATTATTACCGCTAATAAATAAGACCGTATATTTACTTTATTATTTAAAAACAATTATTCCACAAAAACAATCAGAGGATGATAATCTAGCTGCAAGATTTAGAAAAGAAAAACAAAATACCTAGTGTGTACGGTGAAATGAAGTTTTTTTTTTTTATGTAAATTGAATGTGAATATGAAAGTGTAATTATATGGGGGGTCAATCAAAATCATATATATAAATACCTAACACTGAAACATAAATATTACCGCAAAATATGTGTACAGTGTATAAGTTTCCGATTACTACTTTAATAATTTTTACAACGTAGGTGGAAGCATATGACCTACGTGTATCCGCGATTTTAAGTGTTTTCTTTGTATAAATGATTTAAAATAGACAACGATAACGGGTTATAAATCCGTCTCGAAGCGATCAAATGTTATATAGAGGAATTTCGGTGGAATATTGACTTTCATCACCTACTTCATCTCACACTTAGGTGCTGGTTCAGGGCTCCCGTAATTCGTGTTATCGGTGTCTATTTTTTCCTCGATTTATGTGTATGCATATAAAAACAATAATAATAACAAATAATAACCTAAACTCACCCCAAATAACCGAAGATTATTAATATTTTTAATCACTGCCGTGGAGGTCGATGGTTGTTCCCGCGTAAAAGTTGACACACAGGCGTTGTTGCACGGCACTCACACCAGAGGGCAGGCGTTTCCATATATCCCCGTAATGACTAATTTACAGGGACAATATATATTTATATGTGTGTGTGTGTGTGTGTGTGTGTTGTAGAATTGTGAAAGTGTGGTGCCGCGAAGTAAAAATATTGCAGATAAATTAAACAATATATATAATTTTATATGTAAAATATAATACTATATTTTACATATAAAATTATATTATGAAGCAATTGTTTCATAATACGAGCTTCTACTATTTTCAATGATGTATGTATATTTAATAGTAGCAGCTGTTATATAAAAAAACTATTACAAATTATTCATTCCATGGTTTTAACAACATTTAGCCTGTGTCTGTATATTTAATAATTATCTAGATTGTAAGTAATTTGTGCATTTAATAATTATCTAGATTGTAAGTAATTTTCATTAACTATATATGGTAGCTTTTAATTAGCTTATTGTTGTCATGTCATGTTAAGTTATTATATCTGTAATTCTCAAAAATTATAAATAAATTAATAATTAAATATGGATATTAGAGACGACTAATATCTGAAGTTATCAATTCCAATCTGTATAAACTGTGAGTTTTTTTGGGTTTTTTTTTATACAACTTAGAATGGCAAATAAGCTGACGACGCGTTGCCATTCCTGAGGACTCAGATGTTATTCCTCTGTACCCTGTAAATTCACGCCATATTCCACCCTTCAAACCAAAACACAGCCATGCAAACACAACTGCTTCACGGTAGAAACACGAATGGGACAGAGGTGCCCAAGCAATCGACTTTAAGGAATAGCTCTTGAAAATCTATTTCAACATTGTGTTAGTTAGTTATAATTACGATCAATTAGTAAATCACTTTCTTAAAAATAACTTTGTTATGATAATAAAGTTACAGTTAATCAATATTTTCCGCAGCATCTAAATTTAGAAAGGAACCGCATAATGGACTTACGTCAGTGCGACCGCTACCTGCCCCCCAACTTGGAGCACCTGGCGCTCGGTCATAACAACATCCAGGACCTGAATGAGATCTGTCACCTTGTGCACCTAACCAAGTTAGACAGCTTCACTATACAGGGCAACCCTTGCATATCAATGGCGGGCAAGGACAAGTTGTATCCTTTTGAAAACAGAAATCATTTGTTTTAATACAAAATTCTTTATTACCGTTTTTGAGAGCTTAAGTTTGAGAAGATTTTGTTTTTGGGTATGTCTTAAAAATATTACGAAATAAAACATGCTGTGTAGCTTGAATCAGTTTATGTCATGCTAATATATTTTTTTAATATTTGACAATGGAATGGAGTACGCCGTTAGCGCAGATGGGGCACTAGTAAAGGATGATAGGTGAGATGAAATGGCAGGTCAGTTAGCCCATCGTTATGAATACACTAGGGATTTAGCAAGATACAATAGTTTCCAGAGAGGACCGTGTTTAGGTTGACCTGATAAGGTATATTGCTAACAGTGGGACTGGTAATCTGCATTACTAACAATCCCTTCCTATCCTCATGTTGATATTGAGTCTATCTACATACATTAGTACAATTTGTTATTTAACAAAGTATAAAAGTAACCATTTCAATATATTTGACAGTGGAATTAAGTTTAAAAAAGCAAACTGAGAATTTTTAACAATATATGTCTCATTTGTTGAAACTTACAAGGAACTGATCTAGTTGTGTTTCGATCTGCAAATCTGGGTACTTAAGATGTTCATGTTACAAAGATTGGTAACGTCTGATATCTTTAAATTGTGTATATATAATAATAAATTCTGGTAACATAACAATCAATTCAATAAAATTAATATTTAATCAGTAACTGTTTTGTCCCCCCTTTTCTTGTCCGAACTATTACAAGACAAATTATTATTATTATTTTTTTACAACACAGGGGGCAAACGAGCATTCGGCTCACCTGATGGTAAGTGACTACCGCCGCCCATGATCACCCACAACACCAGCGGCATTGCAGGTGTGCTGCCGGCCTTTTAAAAAGGAATATACTCTTTTCTTGAAGGTTATGTTGTCGTATCGGTTCGGAAATACTGCTGCTGGAAGTTGATTCCAAAGAATGGTTGTGCGTGGAAGAAAGTGCCTTGAAAAACGCACGGTGGAAGACCGCCACTCGTCCAGATGATTGGGATGAAACTTTAGTTTGTGGCGGGTTGTACGGTGGTGAAAATCAGCAGCAGGTATCAATCCGAACAATTCCTCAGAACACTCCCCATGATAAATTCGGTAGAAGATGCACAGAGACGCAACATCTCTGCGCAGTTTCAATGGGTCAAGTCGGATAGTAAGGCGTTGACTATCGATAATTCGAGCCGCCCGACTTTGAATGCGGTCTAACGGAAGGAGTTGGTACTGTGGCGCTCCTGCCCACAGGTGAGAACAGTATTCCATATGCGGCCTGACTTGGGCTTTATATAATTTCAGGCGGTGTTCTGGCATGAAATATCGTCTCACCCTATTGAGCACTCCTAACTTTTTGGAAGCTATCTTAGCCTTCTCCTCCAGATGACCGCAAAACTGGACGTCGCAAGATATATCAACGCCCAGAATTCCTAGACTCGACTTTTTATCAAGGGAAGTGCCCTGAAAGTGAGGAGATACGACAAACGGCGTCTTTTTTGCGGTAAACGCGCAGACTTGTGTCTTTTTGGGGTTAAATTGGACAAGATTTTGTTCACCCCAGATCGAAACTTGATGGAGTGAAGTTTCGATTTCAGACACAAGTCTATTCCGGCACTCATCGGTATGTGCCCGCGAGATCTTTGCATGACCGGTATATAATGTATCTCCTGTACTGTCATCCGCATAGCAATGAATATTACTTATCTGTAACATATCATTGATATGCAGAAGAAACAGAGTCGGAGATAGTACACAGCCTTGCGGGACACCAGCATTCAAAGGTTTTAAATCAGAGCATGCACCGTCGACTACGACCTTAATGCTACGTTCCTTGAGAAAACTGGCGACCCAAATGCACAGTCTCGCAGGCAACCCAAATGAAGGTAGCTTTGAAAGCAGCGCTCTATGCCACACCCGATCAAAGGCCTTCGCAATATCCAGACTAACTGCTAAGGCCTCTCCCTTACTCTCGATTGCCACTGCCCATCGGTGTGTTAAGTAAGCTAAAAGATCACCGGCCGAACGTCCCTGTCGAAAGCCATACTGGCGATCACAGATCAGCCGGTGCTCTTCTAGGTACCGGAGCAGTTGACGGTTAATGATGGATTCCATAACCTTCGAGAATAAGGAAGTGATAGCTATGGGCCTATAGTTAGCTGGATCTGAGCGATCTCCCTTTTTAGGGATCGGATGCACCAGAGCAGTCTTCCAAAACTTTGGGACTATGCCCGATGAGTAGCTAAGCCGAAAAAGACGCGTAAGAACCGGAGCCAACTCTGGTGCGCACGTCCTAAGCACAATTGGAGGAATACCATCAGGCCCAGTCGACTTATGGATTTCGAGGGAGAAAAGTGCTCTACGCACTGAGCTATGCGTGAATTTAATGTCAGGCATAGAGCTCCTACAACACGTGATGGTCGGTGGTGGTTTCTCCCCGTCATCCAATGTCGAGTTTGACGCAAAGATGGATCCAAGAAGATCGGCCTTTTCTTTAGCGTTCTGGGCCAACGAGTCATCCTCCCTGCGCAAAGGTGGAAAAGATGAATTACAGAAATTCCCTTGTGCAGCTTTGGCAAGAGACCAGAAAGCTCGAGTCCCAGAGGGCAAACTATCCAGTCTCTTGCCAATTCTACTAATATGCTCTGACTTCGCTGTGGCTATAACTCTTTTGAAAGACCTAGAGGCAGAGTTATACTTCTTTTTAAGAGCACTGGTGTTAGGATCTCGCGACGCCACACCTTTAGCCCAGGTTAGGAAGCAATTATGCTTAATTGATCCTCTGTATGTAACATGAGTGAGGAATGGGCAGCAGCATCCCTCTTAAAACGTCTCTAAAAATCTAACTGTGGTTGCCATCCGGCCTCCCAAGCGTGGCAACTACTGGCTAAACTCCCCTTATAGGGAAAAATTATGTTCGGTAGTAAACAGTTAACTACTGAAATAATAATAATAATAAAAATGTAAAATCAGCTGCTTTAGAAACGGACATTTCTGAAAGTCTGAGAGTTGATTAAATAATTTTTCATATATAATGTCTTAACATGAACTCCAGAGGCTTTGACTACCGACCATTCGTTCTCAATTGGATTTTGAGCGTCAAATCTATAGACGGATTCGTGGTCAGCGCTATAGAGAGGTAAGTGATTAAATTATATATCTATTTAATTTCTTTTATACAACTTAGAATGGCAAACAAGCTGACGGCCCATCTGATGGAAAGTGGTAACCGACGCCTATAGACATGAGCAGTACCATGGACATAACAGAGTATACTGTTTCGCCCATGATACCATCCATGCGTTACTATTCCTGAGGACTCGGGTGTTATTCCTCTGTAGCCTGTAAATTCACTGCCATATCCCACCCTTCAAACCGAAACAGCCATGCAAACACAACTGCTTCACGGTAGAAACACGAATGAGACAGAGGTGCTCAAGCAAACGACTTTTTGTACAAAATCTTCCTCTGGTAAAAATATTATGGACTCTGAGGTGCCGAGTGCATTAACAAGGATAAATGCTTAATTGACCTTTAAGGTTGTCTGTAAAAGATTTCCCTAGCGATAAGACCGCCTTTTGTACCTTTATGTGTATTTCAATCTGTATTTATGTTACTGTATTTCAATTGAATTATTCACTTGCCATTGTATATTTTTGTTTATGGTGCAATAAAGAGTTAAATAAATAAATATAACAATTACTGCTTTTAAAACGGATATTTCTGAAAATCTGACAACGTTAAGGTGCCTTAGAGTGCATAAGACATATCTATACGCCAAAATTGTTCAATCAAGAGTAGCAATGTCGAATTAGATGCGACCCATTACTGATGCGTGGCGCCTGTGTCCCCATTGGACCTCGACGTCCCCAGGCGCTCACCCATTTATACATATCCAAATCAATTTATCTGGGTCGTAAATTAATATAAATCGTTTTTAATCTTTCAAGCGGCCATTAACTCCTACGAGCGTATTCACATGTTTACGAATCGTTAAACGTTACAAATATTTGTACCGCGTTCATGTCTATAAACGACGGTTACTATTTAGAATCAACTTTATTTTTTCATGTTTGTTACCACTTTCCAGCAGGTGGACTTTTTTTTTATTGGATGAAAATGGAGTGGTATCCCCGCCTGCGCTAATGGGATACGCTGGCGGGGTACCAGTGAAGGGTGATCGATGAGGATGAAAACAGGCCAGTAAGCCCATCATGATGAATTCATCAGGAATTAATCGTGATAGTTTCCAGGGGGAACCGCGAGTAGGTCGACCTGGTTGGGTATATTGCTAGCAATGGGATGCTTAGTCCCCATTACTAACAATCCCTTCCCCCCTCCAGCAGGTGGACTGTCTGTATAAAAAAAAAGAAGTACCCGTCAGTTACCTATAATTTGGAAAATTCCTTCTTTTTTTATTTGAAAGTATATATACAAATTGGTCTTATAGTATAAATTACTGAACTGATTTTAATAGAATTTCTATGGGGCCAATCTGTAGGTTTACAACTGACAGAGTTACTCTGACAGCCCACCTCATGGAAAGTGGTAACCATCACCTATAGACATGAGCAGTACTATGGACATAACAGAGTATACTGTTTCGCCCATGATACCCCCCGTGCGTTGCCATTCCTGAGGACTCGGGTGTTAATCCTCTGTACCCTGTAAATTCACTGCCATATCCCACCCTTCAAACCGAAACACAGCCATGCAAACACAAATGCTTCACGGTAGAAGTACGAATGAGGTTTGCCCAAGCAAACGACTTTTGTACAGTCTCCTTCCATATAGATCCAAACTTCAGTCATCAGGCCATCTAAGGCATGTTCCATGTCCATTTTTTTATGACTTCTGTTACTAAAGAAGATATTTTCATAATTTATACTGTCAATATGCAATTATATAAGCAGTATCACCATGCTATGCGTATGCAATGTATGCGAAACATGAATATGCAAAAGCAAACTTTCACACTTTCGTTCTGAATACATTTTCTGAAAGAATCACTACATGGAAACTGTACATTTAGCAATATCTTAACCGATCGCTTCCTTTCCCGTGGGTGTCGTATAAGAGAAGAGATGAATAAGAGAACTTAATGGTCAAGGGATGGGCAGCAGCGTCCCTCTTAAAACATAACTAAAGCCTAACTGCGGTTGCCAATCTGCCTGCCATGCGTGGTAACTATAGATACCCTATTCCCGCACTCTCCCTTATGGGGAATCCTAACCTTAGCATTGAGTGTGGTATAGTATAACTGATCGACTGGAGGGAAAAGAATTGTTAGTAATGGAGACTGAGAATCCCATTGCTAGCAATATACCTAACCAGGTCGATCTCCTCGCGGTTCTCCCTGGAAACTATCATGGTTAATTCCTGATGAATTCATCATGATGGGCTAACTGGCCTGTTTTCATTCTCATCTATCACCTCTTACTGGTGCCCCTGCAGTGTATCCCATTAGCGCAGGCGGGATTACCATATCATTTTCACCCATCAAAAAAAAACTCATCGACTGACATATCAACGCATACATTGCCTTCTTGACCTTAAAAGCTTAAAATTTTCCATGAAAGCATTAAGATTTGCCTAAATTTCCATGGATATGGAAAATAAAATGTTTCACATAATTAGTAAAAGTTAAAAAAAAATCTTCAAAAGCATGAATGAAATTTAACTCCAAATTTAGGACATTTTATACAAAACGCGTGTGTAAATTATCGATTTAATATAAAAAGAAATCTATAATTAAATATCTACAATGAAATTGTTTAGTTAAAAAAATATTCGGTTTTATGACTATGTTCACACACTCCCTGGCTCAGTGGTGAGACACGTTGCTTTGCGCAAATAAGGTCTTGAGTTCGATTCCCGGCCTGAATTTAAGAAAGAAACTTTACTGAATTGGCTCAGGTCTGGATGTTGTGCGTTGTGCCTAGACGTGAGTAATATGGATACCGATCCGATATCTATATATTGGGTTACTTTGTACATTGATGGCGAGAAAACAGGTCATCACCCATTTCGATATCGCCCATAACTTTTATTAATATTAAATAAAATTATGTTACAGCTTAAAAGCAGAATGGTTGTACAGTCAAGGCAAGGGGCGGCACTTCCACGCCGGCCAGCATCAGGAACTATGCGAGTACCTTGCGTCTACATGCCCGCTGACTGCCGATGCGTTGGAGACTGAGGATCAAAGGAAACTGCGCCTTATTCTCAGCAAGGTACGATTAAAATTGGTATTCTTTATTCACAAAATGATCTAGCACTAAGAATGTTTCCCATCCTGTCGTTTTAAATAAATGGTAAACCACCAGGATATTGTTTGTTATTCCTGTATTTACCTACTTCTGGAACAATATAATAACAATATGTTTATACAATGTACGCAGACCGTGTGACTGCCTATTTTTATTTTTTAAAATAACATCCAATTTACGTGAAAAGGTTTGCTGGAAGAAATCTCTTATTAGAGATAAGCTCGCCTTTGTACATTATGTTTAAAATGAATTGTGCTTAACATTATATTTTGTGTACAATAAAGAATAAAGAATATCCTATATAGTGTGGCTGTTGGCGTCATCATCGTCATCATCATCTCAGCCATTATCTGTCCACGGCTGAACATAGGCCTCCCCCATAGACTGCCACACGAAATGGTCCTGAGCCATCCATAGCCAAATCATCATATGATGATAATAATGTTATAAAGCAAATAGTAATTTAAAAATGTTTGTAAATTTTATATAATTTTCAATGTAGAAAACTATATTTTGTTTTTCCTACTTCAAAAAGGAGGTACTCAGTTCGGTTGTATATATATTTTTTTAAGATTCAGAAAATTCTTTTTTTTTTTTTATCTGAAAGGACACGCTCACAGATTGGTCCTATAGACATTTTATCAAAATCATTTTATTTGTTCAGTTTTGAAATAAAAGTAACTGGTTTTAGCACAATCGAAGTCGGTTTTTTTTTTAAACAATATTTAAGTTACTATAATGTATAATTTGTATATGTATAATATAATTATAATTTCTTGAACTTCCAAATAACTCAAAAACACTGAAAAACAACATTTGAGAATTAATTTCATACAATTAATTTTAAAATTGTAACAGGCACAACATCATCAACAACAGTTGAAAGACCAAAATCACAGTCCTCTGAAACCTAAACTGCAATCACCGAGAATGCAATGTAAGTACATTTGTATTTGTTTCATAAGGAATAGGTAGTAGAACTGCACTGGGAGGGAAGCTAACAGGTTAGCGCCGTATTCAACGGATCTTCCATCGTCGAACGTAGCAACCATATTGAAACTCCGTCGCGCATTTTCAGTCGACTGCAAGGCCTCATAATCATCGTCATATCAGCCTTAAACTGTCCATTTCTGAACATATGCTTCCGCTTGGGGGGTTTTACCAGTAGTTGCCACACTTGGCAGGAGGATTAGCAACCGCTAGACTTTGCAGATGTTTTAAGAGGTACGCTGCTGCCCATACCTAGCCCTCCCTTAGTCGCCTCTTACGACACCTACGGGAAAGGAAAGGGTGACCTATTCTGTGCCGAGACTACACGGATTAGGCCTCATAATGTTAGCTTAAAATTAATTCTGTCTGTAACATAGACGCATAAAAATCATTTATTTAAAAAAGTTCTTTTGGAAGTGGCTTAAAAATATTGTCTGGTGTAGCTCGGATAGCGTCCCGGCACATGGGCCGGTCGCCGGATCGGTTGACGTCGAGTTACCACGCGGCGCTCTCCAGGAATTCTCCCTCGCACCAGCCAGCTGCGGCCTCAGACATCCCCGCAGCCATGAGCCAGAGCTTCGACTCGCCCGGACTCATGTACGCCATGGACAAGAAGGACGCACGGGACAGAGAGAAGGAGAAAGAGAAGACGCAAGGTCAGTGTAAATAATAGATTTATTTTAATATATTACCTAATTTTATTTTTGATATTGAATTTCGAAGGCTTTTAGCTACTAAGACTGTTTTTTTTTTTATTATACCACAAAAGTGGCAAACAAGCATACAGCCCGTCTGATGGTCACAGTAGCCTATGGACGCCTGCAACACTAAGAGAGTTACTTGCGTTATGCTGACCCTGAAGAAACCCTAATATACCTTTTTTGAAGAACCCAATACTGTAGTCTCTAGGAAAAACCTCGGCAGGGAGCTTATTCCATAGCCTGAGCGTTCACGGGAGAGAAATCTTCAGTAACTGTACTGCACGCGACCGTTTAGGTTCAATCGTGTGAGGTAAATTCTCTATCGATGGTGAACGATGTTAAGAATTCACAAAGATATAACCTTAGGAAATTATATATATTACTGTTATAATATTAGTAAAATAGAATGGATACGATAGATCTATCGTATGTTATTCACGCTCTTATATTGTAATGTCTTATTGTTTTAGAACAACCCCCGGCAGCTGTTAAAGTGGCGAACCATTCTCTCGAAGCAGCTTCTAAAATGGTACCAGTTCCCGAATCACTGATGAGCCCCGACTACCAAGATCCAATCTACGATATACAGCGAACCATACCAAAACCGACCAACAATTCAGTAAATAGCATCTCCAATACTTCATCACAGTCGAGCAACAGCAGTATACAAGAAGAGAAACCACAGAGGTCGAGTATGAACAAGAATTTAAGAGGTTCCCCTAAGTTAACGAAAAGTGCTGCTTCATCACCAAAACTCAAGTCCAAAATGGAACAACGGAAGGGCAGTTTGTCGAGCGTTAAACATGACGAGGGTAAAATGAACGGCGTAAAAGATGATCAGATAGATCCTGAAAAACTGGAAATAATAAAGTTAGCCTCGAATCAGCGGCGGCAGAAGATGACAGCGGAGTCGATGGCAGCTGTTACAATACAGAAAATGTGGAGGGGCTACCGAAGCAGGAATTTGAACAAAGACACCTTGAGGATCTTGCACGCTATTCAGGCAGCTAGAGCGAGACAACATATACAGTGAGTTTAACACATTGCTTTTCTTATGTGTAATTAGATTGAGAACGCTCGACTAGTTTTGGGATCATTTCGTGATTCTTAATCATGAGCGGCTGTGACGCGAGCTTGAGACTGAACTAGTCGAGCTTCCTCCATCTAATTACATGTAAGTTAAACTAATAGTTTTTACATTAAAATCTAATGTATGCTTACGAAACTGAAATAACATTGCTTTTTGGTCAGGTCTATTAAATAAATTCAAAAATGTACTTGCTAGCTATTCAATCAATAATCTAGAATTATGTATACTATTGACGGTTACCTCCTTTTAAATATTTCTAGGAGGCTGACGTGCGATATGGAGGCAACAAAAGCGGCGTTAGAGAGTGAACGTAAGATCCAACAATTGCAAATGCAGGCGATCAATGCTCTTTGGAAGAAGGTCTCTACTCTCCAAACTGCTGGTATGTTATGAAATTATAAAGATGTCTCCACAACTAATATTATGTTATGGGATGTGTTAACGTGTCATTCCACTAAGTAATGTTTTTTCTTTTAGTAAAAGATAATGTGTAAAATTGTTTTTGATTTCCTCGCATTGTTTGGAAAAAGTACTATACAAGCCTTGGCCACAACTAGGCATTGATGGACTCACGTATGTGTGCCTCGGCTAGGCCTCGGCCCACATTTGCACGTTCGTCCATCAATGCCTCAGTCGCTGGCCGCTGCAGTAATGTACTATATCTTTCCCTTTATTCTCCAACACTCCCCTTTACCATTGTTTATGGTGTTCCAGAGAGCCGGCAGCCGTGCGCGGAGAGCGTGGAGAGAGCGGAGACGCTGCGGCACGTGAGCGAGGCGTGCGCGCGGCTGCAGGCGCAGGTGGCCGACCTGCACGCCTGCATGCGCCGCCTACTGCACGCCGTCACCGCGCCCGCCGCCGCCGCCGCCGCCAACACCGCCGCCACGCAGACCGACATCTGCGCCGTCGTCACGCCGCAGGTGAGCCATCATCATCATATCAGCTGCTGACTGCAGGCGCAGGTGGCCGACCTGCACGCCTGCATGCGCCGCCTACTGCACGCCGTCACCGCGCCCGCCGCCGCCGCCGCCGCCAACACCGCCGCCACGCAGACCGACATCTGCGCCGTCGTCACGCCGCAGGTGAGCCATCATCATCATATCAGCTGCTGACTGCAGGCGCAGGTGGCCGACCTGCACGCCTGCATGCGCCGCCTACTGCACGCCGTCACCGCGCCCGCCGCCGCCGCCGCCGCCAACACCGCCGCCACGCAGACCGACATCTGCGCCGTCGTCACGCCGCAGGTGAGCCATCATCATCATATCAGCTGCTGACTGCAGGCGCAGGTGGCCGACCTGCACGCCTGCATGCGCCGCCTGCTGCACGCCGTCACCGCGCCCGGGACACTACTGCCCAACCCTCGACCGTTAAATTCCCAGTCACACGACATTCACGGAATAGGTAAAGGTGGCCCATTCTATGCCGGGACCACACGGCAGAACACCTTAGCCTTCAAAAATGGCAACGCATGAAGAGTATTATGGGTAAGACGGTATTCTATGTTGTGTCCATGATACTGTTCATGTCTGTAGGCGACGGTTACCACTGTTCATCATAAAAAAAAGTAGGTGAATTGCAGTGCCTGCATGCACGGCGGGGATGCGAATAACGGAAGTTGGACAGCGGTCTTTTTTTTATTTTTTTCCTTGGCGAAACGTTCTCTTTATTTCACTGAATCAAACGTTACGTTTACTACATAGGCAACAGTGAACAGTCAGCATTTTTATTTTGCATTTATTAACCAATTAAAAATAAAACAATTCAGTTTTATTTTTTGTGATTGGTACCTTATAATTTCATCAGTTGTTAATTGATTTGGATTTTTTTTTTTATGTGAAAGGAAATAATTGAAGGCGGTTTCTTTTTGGGTAACAATTGAATGAATTCATATATGCGTTAGGAGGAGCGATGCGGATGGCTGCGGCGGCCACAATCGCTACAGCTGTCGGGACCCAACGCCCCGCCCGCAGCATCCGCCCCGCCAGCCCCGCCCGCGCCCGCTGCTACCACGTAAGTTTTTTTTTTATAGATGAAAATGGTATGGTAACCCCTCCTGCGCTAACAGGATACGCTAGCGGGGCACCAGTGAAGAGTGATAGATGAGAATGAAAACAGGCCAGTTAGCCCATCATGATGAATTCATCATGATAGGCTAACACTCATCATTCATCACACAGGAATTAATCATGATAGTTTCCAGGGGGAACCGCGAGGAGGTCAACCTGGTAGGGAATTATGCTAGCAATGGGGCTGTCAAACTGCATTGCTAACAATACCTTTCCCCCCCTACCACTTAAGTTGCTGAGTAATCTGACGAACCCCATGACACAATGGCATCTAAGGTGCTTTAAATAAATACCTTTGAATATATTACGTGACGTCATCTACTCTCAGACTAAACAAAACTTGTCACAGTACAAGTTACTAATTAGCTGAGATAAATTTTATTTTTGTAAATACATATAGAATTCCACATCTGCCCTTCATACGCTTTCTGTTTTTACCCAATGGTTAGCGGGTAGAGAATACCATATGGCATTAAGCTCGCCATTTGTACAAAGTTTTATTGTGCAATAAAGAATAAATAAAAAATAAATTCCTTTTATGGGATAAGCCATTGCACTCATTATTTTCTTAAGAACTCTGTATCCCTAGTATTTAAGACTTTACTGTACAGTAAAGTGTTACAAACAAACAAACATTTCTCAATAATCTATTCTCAACAATTTCTCGGTTTGTCCAACGGTTTACTGGTACATAGAATGTGCATTAAAGTTTAAATAAATAAATGTAAAACAAAAAAAAACATATGTACACATTGATACAAACGTTTGAATTGTCCAGGAATCGAACCCACATGCGACTATATTTAAATTATTTACACAAATGAATGTGACTGCCACACAGCATATTCATGCTGTCGCAAGTCGCTGTTTTCTTTTTGTTAAATAAATTCTTAAATTTATTATCATTCCATTATGTGTATTAGTCTATGTTTTTTTTTTTTTAATTTATTAATATTAACATACAGTAATACAATATATAATTATTATATAATAAGTTTACATTGAATATGTTGAAATTTACTACCAACAACGTTATCTAGAGATTACTATATAAAGAAGAAAAGTATACAAACATGTAAATACAGCCGAGAAGTGCCGACTGACCATTATATCTATTTTTTAAATTACATTTATCACACATTGACACAACCACATCACCGGTACCAATTATACAAAACAAATATATTTAAATATATAGCTATTTTATAATGTAATTAATAATTTACACACAAAAAACCTGTAATATTGTGTTCACAGCGAAAAACCAAACGAGATGGACGCTCTAGACATAGAGCGTACCGAATCCGTGATAGAGGAGAAGGCAGACAGCATAGAAGAACTCGAACGACACCAAAGCATCCTCACCGACTGATAATGGACACTCCACCCTGTTGTATTGTTATTAAGGTTCAAAGCTTGAATCGGCTTGGTCAGGTAAGTGATAGAATTTGTTTAGTCATCGGGTATTATTTTGTAACATGTTAAAAGTTTAAGGCCATATTACACTATCAACTGTATAGGATCATATATAGATTGATTAAGTATAAAAAGATAATGAAACATTTTTAGAATAAATAATAGTACATTACTGCGGCGGCCAGCAACTGAGGCATAAATGGACGAACGTGCAAATGTGGGCCGAGGCATAGCCGAGGTACATATACGTGAGTCCATCAATGCCTAATTGTGGCCAAGGCTTGTATAGTACTTTTCTCAAACAATGCGTGGAAATCAAAAACACAATTTTACTTTTTAAGTTCAATGACGAATAACGAACAATAATATTTTTTTGTATCAGCTGTTAACTGTCCACTGCTGAACATAGCCTCCCCTTAAGAGGGGTTCGCCAGTAATTGCTAAATTATATGATTTGTATGAATTAGGAATGAACTAGTAAGATCACTTTTTGTTTTTATTCACTGTTTTACGATTATTCTACCAAAAAAAATCACAAAATATTGTTTGCGACATGGAAAAGGTTTATTGTAGCAAAAATAATGTTTTATAATATCTACAAGTATTATTCTGATAATACGCGATGTATGTACATACATATGAGCCTATATATTTGATAGTGTAATATGCCCCTAAAGGCGACTGAATTGTACCATTGTTTATTTTTAATATTTAATAACAGCATATTAGATTAAAATGTTGGGACGTTTTAAGTATTGTCGAGCCGCGTTTGAAAACACTCCTACCATTATATTAGGTCTGTTTATACAAAATTCAATTCTATAATTATTTATTACAAAGATACGGTAAAATATTTGTGTTAGGGGCGTAATAGACTATCAAATATATAGGATCATTGTCTATATCTATGTTTAATATTGATGCACTTTTAATAACAGCATAAAAAGTTACAGTGTGCTGTGCAACTTTAGGAATCATCACTTAGTTTTTAGCATTATTTGTCACTTCAACATATACATATGATCCTATATATGATATTGTAATATGCCCCTTAGAAAAATGACGTCTGCAAGACGTTTTGAAATTGTATAAAATAATTCATTGTGTGTAAATATACTATATTTTAAATTAAAAACATTGATTGAGCTTGGCTTTTCGAAATATAGTAGACTATTTTATAAAAGGGTGGCAATGAATGTTTATGTAATTGGGACACCATAATTGCACTATTAAATATATAGGATCATATCTAGTCTATTTTTATCTTTCCAACGATTTTACCAATTTCGTCAATTAAGTAAGCTAGTACTGGCTTCGATATTGTTAAAATGTAGTGATGTGTAATATCCGATATCTATAGTTTAATTAATTTTATTAATAATTAATTGAGTTTTTCTATACATTGATAGCCACCCATTGCGGTATCGCCCATACTAGTCGGATAACTACATTCATTACGAGCGGGGTCTTCTTTTCAATATTACATATTGGATAATCGATTGTTCATATTGGTCCACTTAACATTTAGAGTTTATTTTGTTTCAAAGAGGGAGACTTTGTACAAAAGTCGATTGCTTGGGTACTTCTGTCCCATTCGTGTTTCAACCGTGAAGCAGCTGTGTTTGCATAGCTGTGTTTCGGTTTGAAGGGTGGGATATGGCGTGAATTTACTGGGTACAGAGGAATAACACCTGAGTCCTCAGGAATGGCAACGCATGAGGGGTATCATGGGCGAAACAATATACTGTGTTATGTCCATGGTACTGCTCATGTCTATAGGCGACGGTTATCACTTTCCATCAGGTGGGCCGTCAGCTTGTTTGCCATTCTAAGTTGTATAAAAAAATCAGTTCATAAATAAGTTATATCAATCTAAATAGTCACATATAAAATACTATAAAATAACCGGTTAGTTAAATTGGCTGAAACTTTATAAATGTATTAGGTACGTAATTATCATTTAAGTATATAATACAATATAAGACCGGATTCATGGAGAGTTCCAATGGGAATTATTTACAGGAAATACATAGAAGCGGGCAACACCGCGGGAAACGGTTAATCTACATAATTTTTAAATTTCATAGTCCCTCCGTGGCGAAAAATGGTTTCAAATCTTAAGCATTTGAAAGTAATTTTCAACTAGTACGACGTTAATGTACGACGTAATATGTATGATCCTATATATTTGATAATGTAATATGCCCTTAGAGCAGTATAATATGATCAAAGCGAGCGTGTTTGCCTGAGCTTGGCATATTTATTTGCCCTCACATTAAACATAAGTACATGACATTAGATGATAAGTTATTTATTGTTTATAATCCTTATTGGAATATGGAAATTTGGAGGCTGTACAGGATATGCTACGGCTTCACACATCGTGAAGGCATCCTGAAGGCCTACCATGAAATGTTTTCCGAAATTTCGGGTCCGAACGAAACACAAATTTAATGTTAAAATTACATGATACATACCGTTTAAAAATATTAAAAATGCTAAAGTATCGTTCCTTTGGACTTTTATGATAGGATTTATGACAAACGAAATGTTAAGCTCACATTTACTGGGTCGATTTCGGTATGAACAAAAACACACAATTGAGTCCGAAAATTCGAAATTTCATTTCATGGTGGACCCCCCGGTGTGTGGACACATCATTACGAAAACTTGGTCACTTAAATAGATTTTTTTTTATGGGTGAAAATGAAATGGTAACCCCGTCTGCGCTATCGGTATACACTGGTAGGGCACCAGTGATAGATGATAGGTAATAATGAAGGCAGGTCAGTTGGCCCATCGTGAAGAATTCGACAAGAATTAACCACGATGGTATATTACTAGCTATGGGGCTTTTAGATCCCATTATTAACAATCCCTTTTCCCCCATAGAAAGAAGTTAAAAGCCACTTTCGCTACGCTATCAGTTAACTCCCGCACATCCAACAATTCGATGTCACCATCTATGTTAAATAATGTCTGAAAAACAATCATCGTATTCACTCACTCATATTTTTTTAACGCGAGTTACAATAAATGATAACATATTTTTCTATGTTGCAAAGCAGGCATGGAAATTATTGCTTCATTTAATTCTTTTTTTTTTTATTTAAGAGTTTCCTCTTATTGAGGCAACTAATACGTACATTCCCTTCCAGCCACCTCTTTTCCAGACTATATCTTTGACCTCCCTATACGACATGACACGTAGTGTTTTCTTTAGAGAATTTATAATTTAAAGAAAATGTATTTTTAATTATCACTGTGATGTAACATGTGACAAATGTTATGAGTGATATTCACACATGTAATGACCTAATATCGAACTCAGGGGGGAAAGGGATTGTTAGCAATGGAGTTTGACAATCCCATTGCTAGCAATGTGCCTTATTAGGTCGACCTCCACTTGGTTCCCCTTGGAAACCATCATGAATAATTCTTGTTGAATTCGTCACGATGGGCTAATTGACCTACTTCATCCTCACCTATCATCCTTCGCTGGTGCCCCGCCGGTGTATACCGATAGCGCGGGTGGGGTTACCATTCCATTATCATCCATTAAAAAAAAAATATCGAACTCACTACTAGTTGCTTTTGAAAGTGGAATAAGATTTTTTTAATTTTAAAAGAGCAGTCTAATTAAGACAGTGTGCTAAACTGTATTCACTCGTTATTTACGGTCCAATCGGCCGTCTACTATGATTTCATTGCACTACTGAGTACAACCTATGACTTACAAATAAAAGTGGAAGTAGCGACAATCTGTGATTTCATTTATAGCTATTTGTAGCTAAAGTATATAAAGCAATGTAACAGCAGTGACGTATGATTTTGCATGTCTTATGATATTACACATGCTATATGTGAAATAGAAATAAATGACTTTTGTAAACAATTACAGTTATATTTGAAGTATTGGCCAAGGATTTTGTAAATGCTTGGAGTATAAGGCAAGTCATTAATGTAAACCAAGCATTAGACCGTTCGAGGTTTGATTCTAGATATACACTTGAGACTGACTAAATGACACTCTGTTATGTCAGAAATTACTATATGAGTGGTCACCTCACATTTTTTGCAGCATTTTGTAGTGCAAGTCGGCACCAACGTTTATTACAGATCACTCGTTAATCTTTTTCACTTAATACACGATTATAGCCGTGTACATATGGTGTTGGCTCGGAAGAAGTTTTGCTACTAAGTATTGGATAATATGGATACCGATACGATATCTATATACTGGGTTCGTCTAGATATTGATGGCGGAAAAAGGTCATCACTCATTTCGATATCGCCCGTATCGGTCGGATATCTATTTAGGTATATGTTAAAAGTATGTATTATTATTCTTGGAATAACAGGCTTTTAACGTATTCGTTATTGTACCAGTATATATAGATATTATAACTAAAATATATAGCTATATTGTTACATGTTATTATATATTTGTCACACGAATGTCTTCACGATTTTTGATGCCGTAGCACTATAGGATTCAGTGGATTTAAAAATTTCTTCATGTTAGTTATACTATTAAGAATAAAAAAAAATATAAACCTTGTAAAGATCAAGTGGCACTAAAATTACCAAAGAGTCAATAATTGCATCATACCAAAAACCTCAAATAGTTTTCAAGAACGATTTCTTTGAAATGTCAGCAACAAACTTGCATTTTTATATCCCATTGCGACGGGGACAAACGTACGGCTCGCCTAGTGGTAGACGATATGTATATTGAATGCTGAAATGCACCGGGTTCGCTGTAAAATGTTAGAAATTTGTAGAATTTTGGTTTAGATTTTTTATATATATATAATGGGTGATAATAATACAATAGCCAACTGAAATAATGAAAAGAGGACTAATTTTAACCATTTTAAGTTACATACGGTTGGAGATATAAAAATAAAAGTTATTTTTTAATATAATTTTCCTATTTTCACACAATTTTAATTCCCTTATAATTGTTTTTGTCGACTTCAAAAAACGAGATTTTCTGACTCGTAGACTCGAAAAACTAGAACTGTATTCGACTTATTCACGCCAGTATTTTTAATCTCAATACTTAAATGTTCAATTTCGTTTTATATCGTACTCAGATCTGTCATTTTAAAATGTTTCATTCCTTTAGTGTACAAAGACCGTGTTCATACATTAATATAATCTGGGCCTTATTGAACATAAATACTAATAAATGACAAACGAGAAATGTGAGAAACATTCCAATTCTTATATTTTTGCCTTATGCCTTATAAAGTACAAAATCTAGTAGGAAGGTAAACCAAGTAAGTTATTGTTTTTTAATTTACACTCAAATAATTTGAGTGTACCTACTCTACTCACTACTCAAAAATCATAAAATGGAATGAATAACATTTTTGTTCATACTATAAAAGTTTCAATGTCACCTCACAAGCTTCTCTTGGAATAGTCATTTGATTTTCATAATCTTAGACAAAAACTATTAGTCTGTCTTCTTATGGCAAAAATCAGGTGAAAAATAAATATAATAATTTATGGTACGGTTTATCTTTCTAATAGATTATGTCTGATATAGTTTCACAAAACTCACTGCCATTTTATTATCTACCCATATTATTGTATGTTTGTCTACCATAGATAATATTTATGTGACATACATGTTAAATGTTGCTATCATTAGGGTTGCCACTCAGAAACTTATTGTTCAAAGATTTGATGAAATTAAATCTTTGAAAGTTCTACGGTTCAAATTCGAATTTTACTTAGTTTAAGGGCGTTAGTAAGTAAGATTCGGTATTTATATATTGTTGAGAATAAATAATTAATTACCATTTATAAATGTTTTCAGTGTGGCAACCCTACATTCCTTGTAGAAAGGGAATTAATTGTTAAATGTAACTTTGATTAAAAAAACAACGCATTCAATTAGTGTTAAGTACCTACATGAATCTACAAAGTATTTAGAGTAATTCTAAAATTAATACCAAAAAAGTGTTTCACTATTTTCATTGTAAAAATAATATATCGACACAGGAACCAAAAGTATTAAGAAGCATGATTCGGAATGTATTTAAAAAAAAAACATGGATAATTTTAAAGGCGTCTGATTGTTAATTTAGACTACGAAATTGTCTATTTTCAATATTTTAAATAATATGCAAAGTTCTCAAAATTAATGCATACAAAACATTTATCCAATTATAGTCTATTCTCATTTATTAGTCAATTGTTTTTCTTTGTAATGCTGTTAAAATTTTTTTTTAATTTTTACTGTCTGAGTACTGTGCAAATCGTCCCGCATTGTTCGAAGTTAATGTTTTAATTTCTTAAATAAACCAACAATTCAAAATAATCAGATCTCACGAGTGTAATAAAAAGATATTGACCAAGAAAATATTGTTTAATATTTAAGTACATTTCTTTTTTAAAATTTAATATAAATTATTTTAAGTTTTATCTTAGTGTAAGGATTTGCAAGTTTTACGAATTGCTTTTTATCACAATTTTTTATTATAGTTATGTATGTTGGATGTGTACACGAATCTCTGATTACGCTTCTATAGTTATTATAATACATTTTTATATTATTTACAATTTATTCCTTGATATAATAAGCCAGGGTGTTGGGAATCTGGGCGTAAAGAGTTTAAACTTAGACTACATACCAGTAGATGGAGTGTCTTAATAAAAACACTTTCGCAATTATTTAAGCAATTATTTATCATATTGGCGTCGGTTTTCAGTCACCGACCCTAAAATGATTTAAAACTGACGTCTTATTTGAATCGAAGACGTTATTTTGCTACCTGGGTTGCCAGAAATAAACCAATTTTTATTCACGTGTGCGTGAATAGGACTATTAGAATGTACAGTTATTACTCTATATTTAGGCAAGATTTGTATAATAAGATCGATAAAATAACATTATGAAATTCTTACGAATAGGTTTGTTTGAAAGAACATGGTAAATGGAGCATAATAATGCTTATCTTTATCGATTTCTTCAAATGATTACAGCCAGTCAAAATGATGTTTAGCTTACTAAATTTTGATCTGTTTTTCATACACGATACTCCATCTTAAGGTTATATATCTAGTTTAAAGTCCAATGTACATCAATTTTATTGTCAGATATTTTGAACGCTTTATCTCTACCATCAAAGGTTCGTGTTCGTAAAATTATAATTTTAACACTAATGGTTGTAAAGGGAATCTAATATAATAACAGCTATGTACTAGTCATTTTAATTATCTATCGTCAGTCAATTCAAATTTAGCTTTCCTTTACTATTGTCACAAATATAATTCGCTTTAATTTTTAATAATCTAAGACCTCAATATTGATGTGAGTTTATTATATTTTTTACTTCATCTACTATTTATTAAGGTCGTTTTTAAATTGTGCTAACAATGTAAACGTAAGAGACAATTGCTAAAATTGTTTTTTTTTTTGTTGTCAGTGTTTATATTAAATTAAAATACAGTTTAGTAAAACTTTGTGTCCGTTAAGAGCAGTTTACGAAATACATTTATTTCCAACTGTTCTCTTACTACTCCCAAGAATTAATATTCTGAAAGGGTATACCCATATTAATCCGAAATCCTGTTATATTATTTATTGAATACTAAGTTCCCTAAGGAACGTAGTCCGAGATATGACAATAATTTTCCTTGACGAAATTTGAATTCATAAAATATTCGTAAAATCCTAATTTGATTTCTTCAATTACTTTACCAATCACTGTATTTTTTTTTTTATTCTAGTTTTTGTTAATATTTCAGTACACCTAGGTGACTATGCCAGCGCCAGTCACTGGATTTAAAGCAGTATACCCTTTCAGTATTTTATTTTATTATTTTCTAATATTATGGTAGTGGCTTTAACCCTTAAAAGCCTGATTTTTTAAATCAAATTAAAAAAATACTTTACTGTGTTTACTAATGGGGGAAAATAGTAAAAAAAATCAAAACGATTTTTTTATATATTTATTTTGAAAAAAACATTTGGTAACATGTAAACAGCCAAATATTAAAATAAAATCGATTGTAGGCGCCCAATGCGATTTATAACCTCAGTATCAAATTTGAAACTTCAGGTATTTATGGGTTAAAGTAGTCTTTACGTGTTTAATTTTATATGGCAGTTACATTATTTATTATCATTCATATACATATTTCAAATTTTATAATTATTTTCAATATATGATTATCTAATGTGAATTACGAAGGGGAAAAAAGAATTCACACCATAAAGTTTTCAGGGGTTCACTTACTAACATCCACAGTAAGCACTATCATGCCAATCTAGTTAGTGGCATTAATAGCTATTGAAGTCAATTCTGAAACGTCATTCTTTAAAATTGAAATCGTCTAAAATTAAAATAATTCAATTCGAAATCACAGCGAAGTTTTTATTTAAAGGATTAATATAGACTAGATTTCTAATAGATTTGACAAAATTATTATAAACTTACCCTCTTATTCATAAAAACTAAAACCTTATATAAATCTACTTTAACTATTACACTGTTTTCGACGTTCACCGCAAAAAAGACGCCGTTTGTCGTACCTCCTCAATTATCTGGACAAGTGGCGGTCGTCCACCGTGTGTTTGTCAAGCCACTTTCTTCCACGCACAACCATTCTTTGGAATCAACTTTCAGCAGCAGTATTTCCGAACCGATACGACAACATAATCTTCAAGAAAAGAGTATATTCCTTTTTAAAAGGCCGGCAGCACACCTGCAATACCGCTGGTGTTGTGGGTGACCATGGGCGGCGGTAGTCATTTACCATCAGGTGAGCCGCATGCTCGTTTGCCCCTGTGTTGTAAAAAAAATTAAGAATTTTGTGTAAAAGAAAGAGACAAAACAGTTCAAGAGCTTTAATAGATTTCTAAGAAATTTGTCATTTTTATGAATAAGGGAGTTAGTTTATAATGATCCGT